CTTGCCCACCTGATAGCTTCGCATTTGTGTGACTGAGTTATGCAGAGCTCTTTGGATGGCGTTTTTCTCGTTGTGCAGCGTACAGGTTCTGGAAACTTCCCTCTGAAAGTTCAGGAACGTGAGTGAGTGAGTCTCACTGAGGTGCACTCAATTAGGGCTGCTTGGTGAATTTGACTGTTAGAGCTGATAAAATTATTGTTATCGTGATTAACTTTTATCATGATACATAATATGCTGTTCTGAGCGTGCTCACCAACTGCATGTTTCATTAGAAAGAGCATAATTAGTCCTGTTTAATTGGTTTTAGGGCAGTACAGTGTGAAATGTTAAGTTAAGTTATGTTGATGGATGATTTTAAACGTGGCAGTACTAACATATTGTGTCTGTGTCAATGTCATGGCACGTGTTATGTATTGTGAAAATATCTTTTAAGTGTCACCATATATTTAAAACAATATTGTAAACCCTTAGTTTCTGTGATAAACACATTGTTAAGAGCTTTGATGACGGAACACATCAGATTACTTCACACGAAGTGCCAGAGTGACGAAATCACATTGGATCATATCAGAAGCCCAACAAGTGTTTCTCTGTGCTAGGCCTGAACTTTGCTTTCTAATGTGGAGAGTGAAAAATAATTTAGCTTAACGGTCAATTACAAAACAAACAGCTTAAAAAGCTACTCTGTCCTCAACTTACTAGTCTGTAAAAATGTTTTAAATGTGATAATTTTCCTTAAAAGCAGTAATAGCTACTGTCACCACAAACATGCATCGCCGTGAGGAGCTTTTTAAGGGATCTAAATATATCGCAGCTGTCAGGACAAAGCCTCATGTCTCTTTTTAACATCATTTGAAAATTCCAGCTGCTGTTTATACTGTATGAAAATTTCATCCCAAACTGACAAATTGATATGGAATAAATTATGTTAACTTGTATTGAAAGTGATTTCCTTCTCCTGTAAAGTGACCTTTTGTTTTCTGATGTGTTTAATTTGTTATTGTATGAATATATATGTAGGACTGAAAATATACATGGTTACAAATTTTTTGTAGGCTGTACTGAAAAAAAAATTGTTCAGGGAAAGCTGACAGTTTTTTAGTTTTATAGTGCACAGAAAGAATAACCTATGTTTTATTTTAAGGTTTCTTAATTGATCAGTCTGAGATCAGCTCTGAGGGTGACCTTCATTTACAGTAAAGCTTAGCAAGTTAAACAGGGATTGAAGTAGTTAAAATTAATGAAACTGAACCAGATAAAAACTGCCAAGACTAAATAAACAAAGTAAAATAAATTAAATAAAAAAATAAAAGCTCATAATAGAAATACAGATAAAACAGCAGTGAAATGAAAAGAAATGAAGTAGGTAAAAGAAACAACTAAGATAATAGATAAGAAAATATTCAAATATAAATGAATAAAAGAGAAAAACAACATAGTAAAAGAACTAATATCAAATAAAGCGGTTGAGTGTAGGTGGGTAGAGATTAAAAGTACTGTAATGTGTTGATCAATTGAAGCTCAATGTTAAAAGTTAGTTTTAGGGAATAATTGATTGTTTTAGTTGCTTCACTGATTACCCGTTTAAAACAGGGTTGCATTCCTGTTTTTAGGCAAGGCAAATTTATTTATACAGCACATTTCATACACAAAGACAGTTCAGTGTGCTGTATGTAAACAGAAGCGAAGCAAAGCATTCCCCTCCACTCAGACTTGGCTCCTCGGTGCGTTGAGGTGTGGTTGGTGCTAAACGAGCCATCCCAGCGTTCAGCTGCTCCTCTCGCTGACCCTGGCCATGACTCGGCCGCAGATGCAGGAACTCACTCAGCACTATTTCTTCTGCATGTTTCCTCTCTCCCCGAGAGCGGGAGTGGACAGGTGCCCTGCTGCCCCCCGGAGGAACCACCGGGGAAAAGCGGGAGCGTTAATCGGTCCGGTCACTCTGGATGGGCTTGGCTTGATTTTCCGTGTCTGTCACTCAGGCTTGTTCTCAGAGAGGTTCTGCTTCCTCTGAGGGGAAATAAAGCTGAAGGTGCTTGTTCAGAGCTGAATCAGCACAGACACTCCCAGCAGGGGTGGACGGAGAGGACCGTCAGTCATTCTGCAGAGCTGAAATGACCTGCTAGATTAGGGACGGACCTGAACCTTCGCCTTAAACCATGTGCTTGTGTGTTTAGCACTATTGGTGCTTTGACAGATGTGCAGAATACCCTCTGACACCCCACGCATCATGACAGACCTAGGCATTTGAACTTTATCTGGATTTGAACAATCTGGATGGCCACTTTCATTTCCCGCTCCATTTCGTCTAGTCTTTCCCATCTGTGTTCAAAAATGTGTTATTTATTTATTTTTTTATTAAATGGTTAACTCCTCTTGAGTAGCTTAATGTGGTTATGTAGGCTGGTATTTGGATCAAATGTGTTCCTGTAGCGCACATTTCCCATTGATAACACAGACTTCATTAGTATATCCAGGAAAAAAAGCAAGTTATGGGCTGCTACATATTTATTTTTCTGATATCTGATAAGTTGGAACAGAGTTGTACCAAATTTAAAACAATAATACTATCAAAATATATGAATACAATGGTTTCAATTCAACATTTTGCACACTGAGCTGCAGAAATCCATTAAAAATGACTATTTATGCTCTCTTTATAGTGAAACATGCAATTGGTAAGTACTGACAATATCTGTGATATGCTCAGAAAGCACATGCTGACATAACGTGAAGGAATTTGTCAGGATAACAATAAATGTCATATTGCCCAGCCCTACGCTTAAAGATGGTTCTTCAAGGGTTCTTTGGTAAAGGCAGTGATTTCTATTTAGAGCCATGAGTTCAGTATAGAACCATTTCATGCTTAAATGGTTCTTTGCATGTGGAAATATTTAAGGGTTCTGCTATTGTTGCAGTGTCAAGCTTGTAACAGCAGCGGAACCCTTTTTGGTGCATTTTAAAATCTCATCCGGAGTTGAGTAAATGCTCTCAGCGGATTTCTCAGCTTGACAGTCACGAAAGCGGCTGGAAGACGTCACTGCTCCTGGACGTCTGAAGGTGCTGTAAAGTCACTGTAAATCTGCTGCACTGGGAGTCCTGAGGTCCGTCTGTGCTGCTCCGTCCACTCTAAACTGTGCAGAGCCAGGAAACTCGGGAAAGCAGCCCGTTTTCGGCCCCGCCCGAAGACTGAGGCCAACCGTCACCACAAACACCAGACAACATCAGACAACACCACTCGCTACTCTCACTAATGTGGAAGTGCTTCTCCAGACTCGGATTGGAACCCATACAGGACAAAGAAAATAAAGCTAACTGAAACTGTTGTTTCTCTAAAAGCTACTATTTATTAGTTTTAAAAAGTACCTAAACTTGTACACTAATATTACACTAGTGTTATTGTTAAGTCTGATGCACTGTTTTTCATAGCTGCACAATTAATATTATGCTACTTTGCCACTCACACTTAAAAGATAGTTCTTCAAGGGTTCTTTAGTAAAGGCTGTGTAGAACCATCTCATGCTTAAATGGTTCTTTACATGGTGAAATAACTCTTCATATTGATGCGGAATGTGGCAATTTGACACTGGTTCTATATAGAACCAAAAAGGGTTGTACTGTTGTTATGATGTCTAGCTTGTAACAATAGAAGAACCCTTTTTGGTTTTATATAGAACCCTTTTCAAAAAGAGTCCATATAGAACCATATACAACACATTTTCTGTCAATCTGTAGAACCATTTCACCATGCAAAGAACCATTTAAACATGCACATGGAGATGGAGGGAGTAGGTGAGACCCTGACTGGTTTCGCTAGATGAGATGGAGACCATAGACGAGACCCTGACTGGTTTCGCTGGAGGAGATGGAGACCGTAGACGAGACCCTGACTGGTTTCGCTGGAGGAGATGGAGACCGTAGACGAGACCCTGACTGGTTTCGCTGGAGGAGATGGAGACCGTAGATGAGACCCTGACTGGTTTCGCTGGAGGAGATGGAAAGCGTAGCTGAGACGCCGACCGGGTTCGGTGGAGGAGATGGAGAGCATAGCGGAGATGCCATCTGGGTTCGGTGGAAGAGATGGAGAGCATAGTCGAGACGCTGACTGGTTTCACTGGAGGAGATGGAGAGCGTAGCTGAGACGCTGACTGGTTTCACTGGAGGAGATGGAGAGCGTAGCTGAGACGCCGACTGGTTTCACTGGAGGAGATGGAGAGCGTAGCTGAGACGCCGACTGGTTTCACTGGAGGAGATGGAGAGCGTAGCTCGTAGCTCAGACACTAATGGGATTTCCAGCTGTCTCACTGGCGTTTGGAGCTTGTGTACTGTTTTCACTGCGTCTGCTGTAACGCGTCAGGCACAAGAACCAATTCTGATCATGTTAGTTTGCGTACCAGAGAATTAGATTCATTCAATCATGTTGTGTTTTAAAATATCTGCTTTTTATGAGGAGGTATCTCTTGAAGTGGAATTATCACAAATATCAGTATGTAACGTATTTATTATAAACAACAATGGGCCTCGTTCTCCGATATCTTCCTAAGTTTGTTCTTAAATGTATTCTTGAGAAAGGTCCTAAGAAAAAGTCCATCAGTTTCATGACTGTTCTCACCTTTGTGCTCTTGTGTGTTTCTTAAATGTACACAGTAATTTTTAATGTGTCTTTTCAGGATCTCGCGTCCAGTTTAATAATGCTAACAATTTTTCTCTTTTCTCCTTTCCTCCTCTTTTTTCTCTATCTTGCTCATCTTTTTTTCTCCTTCTCTTTCTTCCCTCACATGGTCTCCGTTTCTTTCAACCATTCTTCTGTCTCTTTTTATTTTTCTTTATTCTCTCTCTTCCTAATTGTCCTCTCATTTTCTCTCACCCCCCCCTCTCTCTCTCTCTCTCTCTCTCTCTCTCTCTCTCTCTCTCTGTGTGTGTCTGTCTGTGTCTCTCTCTCTCTCTCTCTCTCTCTCTCTCTCTCTCTCTCTCTCTCTCTCTCTCTCTCTCTCTCTCAGATCGTGAGGACCAGTCTATTCTGTGCACGTGAGTAACTGAGTTCTGCTCTGTGATGTCCCTGATGTTGTGAGTCTGTTATCTCTGTAGTTATAGATATCGATGAGTTTTATGCATGGAGTCATATCTGCTCTGGGTGTTCTCTATCAGTTCCTGTACATGTTTGGCATTCAGAGTCATTCGGTGATCCAGAATGTGACGACCAGATGGAGTAACGTGTTATAAATAGTACGCTTATTCAGTCAGAAGCCTCCATGATAGTTACAATAAACACTGTGTATATTTATGTATATTGTTAAATATTGTAAATACTGATAAAGCACATTTAATAAATGGAGCTCTTGTGAACAAAATAAAGTATATGTAAGATGTTTTTGTAAAAATCATATAAGCACAGTATAACATTGATTCTTTGTATTTAAAATAAAGGGATCACTGAAATGTGAATAAAGCACAGTTTGGCTCTTTTTAATGTAAAATGTTGTACAAAATAAAATAGAAAGCAAAATAACTGATTATCCAGAAAAAAGGTGGAGAGTTCAGTATGTGGTTTTTTCATCGAAAGGGGCTCGTATCGCACCAAACCACTCCGAATCACTCTGTTTACTTTTCAAACACTTAGTTACAAAGAAATTTTGAAAAATCAGTGGATTTTTAAATTAGGCTTTGAGCTGCTGAACCTGAAGTGAATGTTTTCCTTCCTCTCAGAGAATCTGTGGTATGTTCAGCTACTGCAGCCAAAGCTGAGGCAATAAACACCAGCGGCCAAACCTGCTCCTCATTACTGACCCAAACCACCAGCTCTGTTTACTTTTGTTTACTTTTAGACCCACAAAAAGTGCTGTGTAGTGATTTTATGACCTACACGAGCGTGCAGGCGCAGGCAAACACAACAAACACAGATTTCATTTCACAGTCAGATTTGATCAGATTTGATGCCTCCTGTCTGTCTGTATGTGTTAGTGTTTGCGTTTGCATGCTTGTGTAGGCTGTAAAGTCATTTTGTTGCAGCCTGTTTGTGTCTTAATGGTGATTTTGGGGTGGGGATGTTTTAATTTCTCTCTCTGCAGAGGTGAATCCGGAGCTGGAAAAACAGAAAACACCAAAAAAGTGATCCAGTACCTGGCACACGTTGCTTCCTCTCACAAAGGAAGGAAAGATCACAACATTCCAGTGAGTTTCTCTCCTCTCTCTCCTCTCTTCACTCTCGCAGGGTCAGAGAAGGACGAACGTGGGCTGATTTGAGGAGGATGTGGTTAATACTGCCGATTTAAACATCACTCAGGGTTCAACAGCATGTACAAACTACTGGACAGTCAGACATTGGAGTGGATTGAAGTTTATATCACAGTATTTTCCACCGTCCAGACCATAATGATTTATCCTAAGGGTGTAACGATACGATACATGTTGTCCTTATTATATCATGAAAGTTTTTATAATGGTAAGAAATACAGAGTTAACACAAACCAAGTTGTTTTTTACAAGACAAATAAATACACAAAATACGCAACATGATTTTTGAAAATTATTGCCGTTTGTGATGACAGCCTGTCTGGCAATTTATTTATTGCAAATAATAATGATTAATAATGAATATGCATACCAAGACACCCTTAATATGAGCAAATGTACACATAAATAAATACTGAAATAATTATAATAATGCAATTTATTATAATATAATATGTAAGCGTGTCATTCATGATTATGACAAAATATAAACATTTTGTGGCTTTTTGCAAAATTACCTATAGCAGATGTATAGTAACTTAGTTTCATTGGTTAATTAGTTAATTTATATCAGGACATACATACAATACAATATTAAATATGACAAGAATTATTTATAATAGGGCTGGGCAGTCTGACAGTATCGTTATGGTAAATTACATGACAGTATGCTTTTCTGAGCATAATATTGATGCTTCAGTATTTAAAAAGCCCCTCCCAACTGCAGGTTTAATTACAGAGAGAATATAATTAGTCCTGTAATTGGATTTAGTGAAGTGTGTGAAATGTTGAATACAAATCACTGGACTTGATAGTTTATGGTAGTATTTTTTTTTAAATGTGGATCTGATCCAAACAATCAAATTTAAATTCTGAAATAAAGAAAATGTGATGGATCATGAAGGTCTTTAAGGATTACAATGTTGTTTTTGCCATATTACTCAGCTGTAGTTCATAATAATGCAACAATAACACCAATAAATATATACATTTTTGGGTTCATTGCAAGATCACCTGTAGCATGTTTAGTAACTTCATTGTATTGATAAAATAATTAAAACTGAAATCCATATCATAAGACTTTTATACCATCTCAGAGTTCAGCTTAAAAAAACAAATTCATGTTTGGATGTTTCATACGTCCATGGCACATGTTTAGTGGGGTATTTTTTGTTTCACCAAAGTGAGTGTAGCCAGAGATTCTAGGAAGCTGCTGTAAAACATTTACAGACAGTGTTCTCAGATAAACCGGCCAGTTTGCTCGCAGCAGCAGATTTCACAACAGGCTTCAGCGTCTGAGCTCTCTGTAGTGCGTTTGCTGAGTAATGCTGGAACGCCTGGTTATTGATTCCAGTCGTAACCGTAAATGGAATTGATTGTAGTGCGTCCGTTTACGCCATCGGCTAGTATTGCGTTAGCAGTTGGCTGCACAACGTCGCCTTTGTTTGTGTTTATCCAACAATTGGCTAAGGTTTTCCAGATACATCATTTAAAGTCATTTTTCATACCCCTCCCGCTCCAAAAATGTTAAGTTTTGCCAAAAATACTGAATTGAGCGGCCAGCAGGGTATGAGGTATATCCTAGCATCACTGTCTTCCTGTCTAGGGTAGGTCAGTGTAGTGGTAATGAGGTGTACCGCAGTATTTAAAAATGAGGTTTAAATTTCTATTGCAAGTCTGATCAGCTTAGTAGACAGTCCTCCTGTTTATATTTCAGACGGGTCACTAACAGGTGGTGTGAGAGCTCACAGATAGACAGAGCTGATAGAAAATCAGAGCCAGAAAAAACTGAAACTAAGTAGAACTAAACATGATAGCGACTCAGCGACGACTAAGAGCTCCACTCACCACAGGACATGCTCAGTGTTCACTCCAACACCAGTCACTCCACTGTGCACTATTAGATATCCCCTAGATGGGTCATTTTAGCTTCGGTTAGCTGGAGCTGAGCCTGTGTTGTGTTGTGGCACATTTGGCCTGCTAACTAAGCTATTGTTAGCTAACACACTACCGTCCAAAACACCACAGAACGATTCCATTTCAGCATTCTGTCACTCCAACACCAGTCACTTGACTCTACACTCTCAGATAACCTCTGAACAGGTCATTTTAGTCTCATTTAGCTGGAACTGAGCTTGCGCTGTGTTGTGTGGCTTGTTCGGCCTGCTAACTAAGCTATTTTTAGCTTAGCTAACACACAACAGTCCCAAACACAACAGAACAGGTCTGATTTGAGCTTTGTCAGTCACTCACACTTTAGTTTTTATCATCTACACTTGAGCAGAGCAGCAGTTAGTCAGAATCAAACCTGTGCTGTGCAGCTCTGTTTGAGTCTGTAGCTGATCGCTATGCTAACGTTAAGTTAGCCGATGAGGCTACAGATCCAGACACCATAGAACAGGTTTCAAGTTCTCCTTTCTGCCCCTTCAGCTCCAGCTGCTCCACTTCACTCCCCTTGCTAGCTAAGCTGTTGCTAACCAGCACCTCCCTCCTAGTTAGCAGCACTGTTTAACATTTATAGTAGTTTTTAGATGGTTTGGCGTTTATTAAAAAAACAGCTTGAAAATTGTGCACTGAGTTCAAAGAACTTTTGAATTTTTTTGAATGAGGGTCAGAATTGCTGATGATCAGGATTTGTGGGATTTGTATGCCGGTACAGGTCACATCACTGGAGGAGATCAGATACAGCAATGAAGCAGGAATGTTTGTCAGTATTGATGATTAGCTAGTCTATTTAATACCACCTGCAGTGGAATTTATTAGGGAACATAATCAGATCAGAGAGCTTATCTGGAATAGCCACAACAGAATTAACCCTGTCTATGAGAATGAGTGACCTTTTCAGAAATGAACAGTGGGATAGAGGGCTAAGTGCCCCGAATCAAATAGGTTTACTCTAAAATAAGCCCAGTGGTTTGAGTGTGGGTGTGACCATAGCAAAAGCGCCACCTCCTCTCCACCCACTTTACTCTGATAGGCTGCACCCAGATACCTAGTTTAGACCACTGACAGTGGCATCTGCCATACAGTTTTACATTAACACACTCACATTTGTGCTGTATTGAAATCGTTACACCCTTAGTTAAGTCTGATTACCATGTTAACATGTTATTTTACTTCTAATGTTGTCTTAAATGCTAATAATTTTCAGCCACTGAAGGTACAGATCGCCTCTTAAAGTGATTTCCTACTGTCACTGAACGTCTGTGTGTGTTTTTGGAGGTTCCTGTGCTGCTGTTGATGCTCTCAGTGCCTCATTAACCCTGAGCTGCAGCTTCCGCTGTGTTTAATTAAAGCCTATGGCTTATTCACAAAGCATCCTCGGATCAGGAGTCCTTCTGTCTGTGCTGGTCACTCTGACTGCCTGCAGAGCACAGAACCGATCAAGAAACAGCCCTTTAGTATCCAGAGCTGCTTTGTGAATTCAGTCCTTTGTTATTAATACAGCGATCCCTGCTCCCAGTCCAGGACACCAGCACTCTGGTTTTTTTTCAGCACAGGTGGGTGTGGTTATTCAAATAAGCAGATATGCAAACTCGTCTTAGTGTTTTTGTACTTAAAGCAGTAGTTTAAATATCAGATTCACCCCATTTCCCCTTTTTTACTCTTACTTAAACAGCCAACACATATTTGGTGACTGAAATTTGAAACGAGGCTAATGTGGCTAACAAGTAATGGAAGCTTAACTTTCTAGCATGGTGCTAAATGTATGCTTATGTAATCACAAACTTGCTTTAAAAAAGGTTGTTGTTATCTCTAATAGACTTGATAATGTGGAGTTTAGCCTCATATTTAGCACCTTGCTTACTGTTTGAGTATAAGCTTTTATTACTTGTGAGATACATAAGCCGAATAATTTGCATTTAAGGGAGGGGCTGGGGTAATCTGATTCTTTGCTGAAAAAGTCAAATACTTACAGTAAACAGAAGAGACTGGATATCTGCTTATTCAAAAAACCACTTTCGTCTGTAGCTGAAATTTCTGAAGTTTAAAGTGGTAGCACAGAGAGGGACTGGGTGGGGAGGAGGGGCGTGTGTTGCTGGGGGGTCCTGGACTGGGATTGAGCTCCATTCTAACAGTCTGCATTTGTTTATTACATACGAACAGCCAGAATCTCCTAAAGCAGTGAAGCTCCAGGCAAGTTCCTCTACGCTTCTTCTCTAAAGCTCGCATGCAGCACTAACCCGCCGCTCAGCGCTGAACCGAGCCGGTCCAGCCGCTCACGCCACTCACTTTTACACGGGGTGTAAATCTCTGAGCTGAATGCAGTTAGTTTGCGATTCACTGCATCAAATTTAACCATAATTTGAATAATTTCTGTTCTTTTTGTTCGATTCAGAATATTTTTTTTTTCAAAAATGTAAAAATTTTAATATCTAAAATTCTGCCTCGGTTTCATTATTTTGAGATAGATTCAGACTTATTTTTCCAACAAAAAGAAATCTTTAAAGTTACTGGAGATGCATGTTTTTCTTTGGACATTAAAGATATAAGAATAGAAATGGATCAATAATTTCACTCAGTAGTGAAATGTAGACTATAAAAACAGCAATGCCAGGATATAAAAAAAAAAAACAGGTATTTTTATATTGACCCCAACAGTAGTCTATACTTTAATAAGTGAAAATAATAGTAATAATAACCAAAAATAATAATAAATAAAATTGTAATAAAATAAGTTTTGTTGTTAGCATAATAAGAATTTTATATTGACCCCAAAATTCGTGTGTACTAAATAATAATACTTATCTTTATTGTTATTATTGTAAAAAAAGAGTTGAATGATCATAATAATTTGTAATAATTTTAATATAAATAATGTTAAATAATTATTGAAGTACACACTAATTTAGCACTGGATATAATTTAATAGTTCCTTATCCTTGTTTATACAAATGTATTATTATTATTATTATTATTATTATTATTCTGTTGTTGTTTTTTCTAACCTTCTGAAGTGATGCAGTTGAATTGCTGCCTGTAGACTGATGCATTTTTACACCCTCACTGTTTACCCTCTGCTTAATCAGCTGCAGTGCATGTTTACAGTATGTTTCGTTAATTGTGGGGGGATTTTAATTCCGCAGTAAATAAATGTAGATTTTGGGCTTAACCGTGCGTGTGCTGAGATTAGAGCTTAACCCAGTTATCTGTCTGGATGGTCAGGGTGCAGTAATGTGGAGGGCTTTATTCCTGCATGCTCAGATGTCTGAATCATTTTAATCATGTTACATAAATGCCTGCTTATGTAAATTTACAGTATTTTTTCTGTTTAAAATGTTTTATGCTGTGCTCAGCGTAGTGCACATGCTAGCTGATATATTTTCTGTGGATCCTAACTGGCTGTTACGGTGGCGGGACGTTACCCTTTAGAGCATCGCTGCTGCTCCGCTTTGTGCGCCCCTGGTCAATTTTAATGTATTTGTTGATTTAAGTGTTAACACGTCCTATACAGCGCCAGTCCTCTGCACATTTTAATGCACAGTCACTGTTTATTTGCTGAATTTAACATCTTGAGGGGGCTTCTCCCTGTGCAAACATTAGGGCACATTTTACTTTATACTTTCCCCCAGTATTTTAAGCTCAGAAAATGAATAAAAATTTAAAAAATGACCTTGTAGAGGATTTGTTGACTTACTTTTACCTTAAAAATCAACAAAGCATGCAGTTTGATCAGCAGTGTTTAAACTTCTGCATGCAACTGCATATATTCTTTTTCCAAATAGATCATTATCTCTTTACTTTGTTTTCTTTCTCTCTAATGTCTGTCTGTGTGCACATTATGGACTTTTTAACATTGTTTGCTGTTTAATTTTCCCGAGTGCTCACTAAAAAAAACTATACCTATGAACAGAAAGATGAGCTGCAGTGATTATATGTGTATGTGTAGTGCTGTTATAACCCCCCCCTGTTCTGTGTCCATTGTAACTGATTCATTTTGCCGGCTGGTTTCAGAGTGGACTCCTGGTCTATGTGAGTAACAAGTAGCTTTCTACCTCTCTTGCCCTCTCTCTCTCTGCCTCTCTCTCTCTCCCTCACCACGTATTACAATTGGGCACATTTTGGGCACATGTCTCTCTCAGCCACTGCCTGCTCTTTTTGGGCTGTTTTCCTTGCGGTTGTTGCCTGTTGGGTTTTATATGGTGGGTATTGGTGTAAGGTATTGTTCATTTTCCTGATTGTTTTACTTTCTAAAATGTGAACATGACATTTTCTGTCTTAAAGGCTGTACAAGTGAAAAAGTTCATATGCCACACATCAGAATCCTGTGAGTTAAGGTCTGTTTACGTTTATTGGGCTGTATTTCTCAGGCAGTTGTGTATATAATGAGACTGAGGGGCAAGTTTATGTGCGTATAAAAGTCTGAATGTGGTGTAGCTTTGCAGTTGAGGGACTGAAGGAGGGATTTTTTTGCTGTTAAGGATCACTTTATGCAGTTTAGATAAAAGGAATAGACATTTATGTTTTTTCTGTGAAATTCAATTCAAATTTATTTATGTAGTGCTTTTTACATTAAGCGTGAGCCCCAAAATGAGTATCGGCAAAGAACAACTCCCTCAAAGCAGGAATAAAAAACACTGAGACCCCATCCTGCTCTGGTTGACTGCAGAACAGCAACGCAATAACACAAGAGCAGTGTGAATAAAGAATAAAGATTTGACAGTGAATATTCAGTGATGAATATAGAAAAAAAGAACATTAATGATCCTGTCATTGGACAGTTTACTCTAGAAATAATCTGATTCTTATTGGAAAAACTCTCTAACAAAGCTTATGTAGTAAATGAAATGGTTTTGTGTAGAACCATGAGTTCTGTATATAACTGTTTGCATGCTTAAAAGCTTCTGGACATGGTGAAATGGTTCTTCAGATTGATGGAGAATGTGTTTCTATACGGTTCTATATAGAACCTTTATAATGGTTTATAATGGTGTTATAGTGATTCTTTTAGCACCAAAAAGGATTCTTCTGTTGTTACAAGCCTGACATCGTCACAATAGAAGACCACTTTCAAAGTGGTTTAATATAGAATCATAGAAACACATTCTCCTTTAGTTTGAAGAACCATTTCACCGTGAACAGAACTGTTTAAGCATGAAATAGCTCTATATAGAACTCATGGTTCTACATAGAAACATTCCCTGTACTAAATAACTCCAGCCATCTTTTTTTTTCTGTTTTGTGTCAGTTTAAACTGCAGGCCGACAGTAAAAAAACTAGTTAGGAAACCAATTAAGTATTCAGAACTTAAATATTGACAAGGATTATATGCTGATCTATTTAAACCCAAAGCATTAATGTAATACTTAGCATTTTTTTTTAGTTTTTAAAAAGATCTTTTTGATTTCATTTAAAGTTGAAACAGTTAGATTTACCATGAGTTTAATGTTTAAATAAAACAAAACTTTCCTCAGAAATGCTGTCCAACATTTTCATGTCACTACTAAAAGTCTGTGGGTGGAGCCTTATTTTAGCCATTCCCCCGCATTTTAGAGCAGGAAGTGAGACTGCATCCTTGTCCCTCGTTGCCACATGGTGAAGTTTGAACCCCTTGTTTTGCAGTAAATGTGTCCCAAAGACTGAAAATCAGTGTGGGACATTTAAAAATTGTCATTTTCTGCAGTTCAGTAGTTTTTAGTGTTTTAATGAAAAATATGATGATTTTCTTTGTGTGCAGCTGTTCAAAGCTGTGTTTGCTAGTCATGTCCTGGCTGTGTTTTTGACCTTAAACTAAGCTAAAATTGTCACTACTGAAACATTTGGTAAAGTTTTGGTAGAGTTACGATGGTTGCGGTAGTGACAAAACAATGTTTTAATCATCAGTTTTAATAAAAAATAATTAAGTTATTGGGTCACTCAAAGATAAAGGATTTTAATCTAAATTCCAAGGTCAGTAGACTAATCTGTATCAGAAACTTTCAGTTGAAACATTTCGACTGTTACATTTTGACAAGTGTTAACTGGACTTCTGGTCCAGTTAAACTCTTTATTAGCTGTAAATTAACGCTCTTTAGTGCTGTAAATGAATGTAATATGCAGTAAGTTATAATAAATGTAGTCTATGTTGGGTCCCATTTTAGTGAACTTAGTCATACTTTCGTCTGTAATCTCATCCAGACTTTGCTAAAACCGTATCTGTTACAGCGTTCAGGATATTTTAGCTGTGACCCACAATTCCCTGGGGCACTCTAGTGGCCGCTGTGTGTGCTGATGTAATGCTGCTGGCTTCCTGCAGTCAGGAGCTAGAACAGGAAACAGATCCTCGCTGTGATTCCTCACCGTCTCCCGGGACGTTTTACACGCTCGTGACGGGACGGTGGTGCACCTGTCCAAACATCTGCTCAGGTGGTCATTCACTGACCCACAGTGGAGAGGGGCCGAGGAGTTTTGGGGTCCCAGTTTTAGACCCCTACAGTGGGCCTCTGTGGGCATTTCTGACCAAATTATTTCAATTTACAAAGAATTTTTTAGAAGAATATTTATTTAGGCTAGAAAATTCATTTAGGCTTGAAAATAAACAATAAAACACTTTAAAAGTTTAAAAAATGTAAACAAAAAAGTTATGATAAGTAAAATAAAGAAGAAATATTGAAGGTTCTGCACTATTTCTATTTACTATGTCACTGTTTAAACTTTTGTGAAATTGACCTTGTTGACGTCTTCCTACAAAAAGGTCAGATAGTTTTTAGTCTGATCTCTTTCAGCAAAAAAAATATTTCTATATATAACCATGAACACTCAGAGAACCCTGTGTGTTAAAGGTTCTCTGCATCATGAAATGGTTGTTTGGATTGGTATAGAATGTGTTGTATGTGGTTCTATATAGAACCTTTTGGAAATTGGTTGTGTATAGCACCAGAAAGTGTTCTGCTATTATGTACAATGTCAGGCTTGCAACAACAGAAGAACTGTTTTGTTGCTATATAGAACCATTTTCAAAAAGGTTGTACATATACTATGTACAGCACATTCTATATCAATCTAGAGAACCCTTTTACCATGCAAAGAACTTTTTAAGCATCCAAATGGTTTGAGTATTCACTGTTCTATATAGAACCATGGTCTTTACTAAAGAACCCTTGAGGAACCATCTTTTTTAGGAATGTAGCTTATGATTGGGCTGTCACTTCAAGCCCTTACCCTCCGAAAAAGGCTGTGTACACATTCTAAAAAGATGGGTCTTCACGGGTTCTTCCTTAAAGAAAATGACTCTATATAGAACCATAAACACTCAAAGAACCATTGATGGTTCTTCTGTTACAAGCTTGACATCATGTAGCTTGTGATTGGGCCGTTGCTTCAAGCCTCTGCCTTCTGAAAAAATGAACACGTTGAACTAGTTTGTTGTTTATTTATGGCCATAAATTATATAATCAACAGAATAAAGTGTGTAGTGTTTTATTCACACATTCAAGGCACAAAACATCTTAATATCTTATTCATAATATAATCATCATAATCTTAATTGGATCATGCGGAGCGGAGTGGTTTCTCTGACATGTGAGCGAGGAGCGAAAAATAGAAAACCCGGAGTGGAGCTGGAGCGGAGTGATTACAGGAACGTCTGCTGCTCCGCTTCACTCACTCGCTCGTGATCAGACGCCTCTCAGGTGGCTCTGATCTGCTGATCAGAGGATTTTGTCACTGTTAGTGATCAGAGTCGTGCAGCTCGAGTTCACACTGTCATTAAAGCAAAAGAGAGACAAAAACTAGAGCCATTGGTTCTCTACGCGACTTCTAAAGTCCTAACGGATCATAAACAGACTGGGCATCTCACACTGTCTGATTGGTTTCTGCTGATTGCTTTGAGTCGACTTGGATCACACACTATTCAGCTTTTAAACCGCTGCTGAATCGAACTGAACATGGCGGCCTCTGTTGAAGAGGAGCCACTCCCTATGTAGATATGAAGGGCTCTTTCTAAGCTAAAAGAAGCACAGATTTGTAGTTATAGATGATTTATACACTAATGAACATGGTTTTGTTTACTATGTTCAATTTCTGCTATTAGATTCCCCTAAATCTTTCACACTGGACCTTTTAAAACATTAGTAAAAGGTCAAAATAAGAATCATAACTTTAGATTCATTTTGTGACTGTGAAGTTTGGACTCCTCTGTGGTCGATAATTAGAGGAAACCCACCCCCAGTCCCACAGTAAGACTCTAGTGGCTTAAGTATTAAGTGTGCATGTACTCACTGTAGATATGATTCTGTAAAGCCTGTAGTTTAAGGCTTTAACTGGGTTTGTAGGACAGTTTATTTTTACTCTATCTGGATCATCTGCTCTTCTGAGGGTCAGTTAGACTGGGAGGGTTTCACTGAAATGCAGATGAAGGCGTAGCGTTGAAGAATTCTGTGCACAAGCTCACATTTCCGTGACGTTTGCAGCAAAGTTTTGGTCCAGTTTCTCATTAGGTTGAGTGAATAACTGGCTCAAAATGTAGGTATTGTGATATAAACTGAGTCTATTCTACAGTTTCTCATCAGGTTTAGTGGGATTTTTACCAGCGTTTTGGAAATCTTGTCCAGCCCTCACAACAGTAGCTATGAAAGAGCAGCTAGGCTGAGCCTGGGGAGGACAGTTAAAGCGATAGTTCAGTGAAAGAATTGTCTAATTTACCCCAAATGTAGTCGATCACTCCATTCCTTTTACAACAATATTACGTATGCCTCAGTGTAAAGCGGTTAATTTTAAATTTAATGGCCTCTCTGGTGGAAATATGCAATTGCACGCAACATGCAGAAGAACCTTTTGTAATGTGGGTTGTGCTTTGGACCCCCACAAGCAGATGAATCTGATTTTTCCAATTTTAAATCAAATTGAAAGAGAACTCTGTGAAGGATGTGTCTTCTGATGATGTGAGTGAATTATTGTTATCACATCTTCATCAGTATACTGTTGATTTTGAAATCATTTGTGATCTAAACATCGAGCCGGAGCTTCTTTTTGAGTCTGTGTATGATGTTGACGCGTAACGACGTACGACGTGGTGTGAAAAACTGGACACATTTCTGACTTTTAAATGATTACTTCAGGCTTTACAGGGGATTCGCAGCAGCGCGCACTTTCCGTATTTTAGTTCTTTTTTCTCCTCACTCAATAATGCTGCTTCTCTCAGTTTTAACAAAAATTATGTGCAGCTTTAAGCCCTGTCCAGTTTCCTGCATGCAGCTTTATCATTGGTCATTTGCTATGGAACCTGCAGCTGTTTTTCACAAAGCTGCAGGTTTAGTTTGAATAGACCAGGAAATGTCCACTCGGGGACTGTCTCACCATTTTACACCGGGTTTTCTTGTTTAATATTTGGACATGTGTGCTTAGGGATGGGTGATACGTATAGAGTATGATTTGTTTTTAAATGTTTTGCATAGTCCTTATGTGCAAATGAGGCTCTGCCAGATTGGCCTTTTCTAATGATGAATAAATGTGGTAACTGCTGAAACTTCTCATTCCAAACGGCACTGGTGCAGCCCAGCATGTTCTAGGTAATGCTAAATATTATTATATCAACTTTTCCATGAACTTAAAATGAAGTCACAGTATCACCCATCTCTGGAGTGCACCAGACTTGGTTATTCACGCAGCTTTCTTTATACGCTTCTCAAAACCACTTGGGTTGTTTGTTTTCACGCAGAGCTGGTTTTCACACTGATGGTCAAAAAGAGAGAATCACTCGTGTGTTCTTGATGTGTTTGTTCACTTAAAGGAACAAAACCGTCACAAATAAGAAAATTCAAGTAGACCCTCAGTTCATACAGAGAAATTCAGGCCAGATCAAACTAATTAAGATGTTGTCGGGCAGCTTTGGGAAACCAGTGGAGATGAAAACTCCAGCCGCTGTGGATGGTGGTCCTAAGAAAAAGTCTACGTCAGGTTTATCATGTGTTCTTAAAGCGCAGAACTGTTCTTACCTTTGTGCTCTTGAGTGTGTGTAGATTCTGTTCTTACCTAAGGACAAATCCCAAATAGGAAAACATTCACCAATGTCAGAATTTTTTTTTAAAGAAGAAATTTCTTCTTAAGAACTGTTGGAGAACGGTATCTCATCTCAAAATTCTGACTTTCCCTCATCATATTCACAATTATTTTCTCAGTATGTTGTCATAGTATCTCTAAATAATGACTTATTTTACGGTGTACGTCAAATGTTAAGAAAGTAAGTCATGACTTGGAGATACAAAGTCAATATTTTGATTTACTGCTGCCAGAAAGGGCAAGAAAAGTGCTGATTTGGTGGAAACTTAATTGAAAACTTGCAGCATCATTAAGTGAATTTTTGTTAGGTTTGGTATCAGATATCTGTGTTGGTGTTGGGATCCACACTCCACAGTGGTTACATTTTTTTCTTTTCCAGTTTTTCCATAACGCAGCCCCCCAACATCTCAACGAGTTTTAAAATGGGGTCTGAGTTTCTCTGAATGAACTGTGGGCCATCTTGGACTATCAGATGTTTGTTGTGTTTTTTCTTGCAGTGAACAGACAGAATAAACATCAGAATCAGCTGATTAACATCAGTGACCGACTGAGCGGATCCTTTTAACCGCATTAGTGTTATTTCCACCAGGGGGAGCTGGAGAGGCAGCTGCTGCAGGCTAACCCCATTCTGGAGTCCTTCGGAAACGCCAAGACGGTGAAAAATGACAACTCGTCTCGCTTCGTAAGTTGTTTGAGTTTGTGATGCTGGTCTTGAGCCCCTTTCTTCAGTTCTGCCTGAAATGCTTTCTTAAATATTTAAATATCCACAGTAGCCTCAGTGCCTCTGTGTTTAACAGTGAAGCAGTGCTTCTCCATCTTATGCTCCTTCTGCTTCTCCATCTTCAGCTCCTTCTGCTTCTCCATGTTCTTCTCTTTTTGCTTCTCCATCTTCTGCTCCTTCTGCTTCTCCATCTTTATGCTTCCATCTTCTGCTCCTTCTGCTTCTTCATCTTCTGCTGTATTTGCGTCTTCAACTTCTTCTGCTTCTCCATCCTCTGCTCCTTCTGCTTCACCTTGCTTCTATATCTTCTGCTCCTTCTGCTTCTCCATCTTCAGCTCTTTTTGCTCCATCTTCTGCTCCTTCTGCTTCTCCATCTTTATCCTTCTCCATCTTCAGCTCCTTCTGCTTCTTTGTCTTCTGCTCCTTCTGCTTCACCTTGCTTCTGTATCTTCTGCTCCTTCTGCTTCTCCATCGTCTGGTACTTTATCTCCTGCCTCTGCTTTACCTTCTGCTTGCCATATTTCTTTTGCTGAACTTCCTGCTTCTTCAACTTTACCTTCTGCTTCTGCTCCATCTTCTGCTGTTTCTCCATCTCCTGTTTAGGGTTATCTGGGTCTCCCTGGAGATGATCATGTGCACCACAATGACGTGAGCTTATTTATAGCGTTAGGAGCTCACTGTGGAGTCTGAATCTGATTAAAATATTCGGTTGTGGTTTAAGAACTCATGACTATTACGGAGATGAGACTGAATTACATTAATCTCATGTGCTTGTATTTTTCTGTTGTAATGATGTCAGTGGTGACGATGGTCATCAAGATTGAGCTCCAGCCTGAACTTCTGTCTCCGTCTCTTCACTCAGGGCAAGTTCATCCGCATCAACTTTGATGTCACGGGTTACATTGTGGGGGCCAACATCGAGACCTGTATCCTTTCATTTAACTCCGTCACGCTTAACGTATCTGATCATCATGTGCTGTTTTAGAAGCAGCAAAAAGATGAGCTGAAGCTCCCGATTACAAAAATACCTCATTTAATTCTCAAACACCCTCTTCTATCAGAGTAAACAGTCATTTATCAGTTTATTTTTCCTGTTTACTTATTGAACTGTTCATTTATTTATGCATCTGTTTTTCTGTCTCTCACAATTCCTTTATTTATTCATTCACGTGTTTATTCATTTGTGTCTATCATCCATCCATCTATCTGTATACCATCCATCCGTCCATCCATCCATTTATGTCTGTGTGTATTGTCTGTCCATCCATCCATCCATCCATCCATTTATCTATCTGTATATCATCCATCCATTCATCCATTATCTATCTGTATATCATCTGTCCATCCATCCATTTATCTGTTATCTGTTTATCTCCATTAGTTTTTTCACCCATTAGTTTCTGTCTATCTATTTATCCACTGTATGTTTTATTTATTTATTTACATCCTTCAGTTTACTTTTCTATCAGGTTTCCATTTATCTATCTATCCATCCATCCATTTTTGTCCATCTATCCATCTATGTAGTTATCCTTTTGTTTATTTTTTTTATTTATTCATCCATTAATTTACATACATCTGCAATTCACTTGGTGGAAGAGGAGAATGATGGTGATGATGAGGAGGATGATGATGGTGTTCTCTGTAGGTTAAAATATCAGTTTGATCCTGAAGCTGTTCTGATCAGATCTGCTGGAGAAGTCCAGAGCGATCCGACAGGCCAAAGACGAGAGAACCTTCCACGTCTTCTACCAGCTGCTGGCTGGAGCAGGAGAACATCTGCGCTGTGAGTTTCATTTCCTTTATATGCTCCATTGTAGACTTGCACTGTAACACCGTTCCAGAGCGGAGAAGCCGCTCGGTCCTCATCTGATGTTAAAGGGCTGCAGAGCAGAGAGTCTCTGAAGTGGTGAACCTCTGACCTCACAGCCAATCAAATCTGTTAAGATCCCTTAGAGGATGATTTAACGCATCGTTGGCTGTGTCTGAAACTGAAGACAGCTGTCTGCCTGGGCTGTCTCAGAACTCAGCGCCTTAGATGGGAGTGCTGTGACGAAGGTACCTGCAAACGAATGAGTCTAAGCTGCCTTCAACAGGCAGAATTTATACAAACACTGTTTGGACAAAAACAATACACCAAGGTTTTTAAGAGACTTTTTGTTTGAAAATGACTTTGATATTGAATTCTGCTGTAATCGATTAGAATTATTTCTAACATGCTAAAGTTTATGAAGTTGAATCACCATAACTTAGTTTTTACAGTCCTGGTCGTCAGCTCAAATTACTTCACATTTTAAGGTTAAACGTTTCAGCTGGACTAGAGTTTTCTGCGTCTCCTGACTCTGAATGCTCGTCTTTAAAGTTTATCGTGGCTGACAGACGTCAGTAGAAGCGCGAGCTGAGATGATTAATGTCTTTTTTGTTCTCTTTGGCAGCCGATCTCCTCCTGGAGGGCTTCAATAACTACCGTTTCCTCTCCAACGGCAACATTCCTATTCCCGGCCAACAGGACAAGGACAACTTCCAGGAGACCATGGAGGCAATGCACATCATGAGCTTCTCACACGATGAGATTTTGTGTAAGTGTGTGTGTGTGTGTGTGTGTGTGTGTGTGTGTGTACACGTGCATACCTGAACTGTTCAGTCATACAGTTAGAGATGAGTGATGGAGAAGTTAAAGGCTGGCTTTAAAGGGCCCGTTTCGAGTTTGATTTAGCGTTTCGGTCTCCAGTCTATACAAGCTGACAATCTGTTGTTTTTGTAATGTCACACAAATCTTTGCATGTGCATATATATCTGTCTATTGGAGCAGTTTAGCTCCACCTGCTCATGGTGAAGTATACTTGAACTGAATAATTTCTGCATTAACTTCTCCATTAAAACTTAAAAACAATTGTCACTGTTCTCCTTGTTCTTTATATATATGTGAGTATGTAGGTATGTATGTAAGTATGGCCCTTTCTAGAGATAATAAACATGAATGTGTCTGTATTTACAGCGATGCTGAAGGTGGTATCAGCTGTGTTGCAGTTTGGAAACATTGTGTTCAAGAAGGAGAGAAATACAGACCAGGCCTCCATGCCTGAGAACACAGGTAATGCACACGGGTAGCGCACCCCCAACACAGGTAACGCACACCTAATTCACGGGTAGCGCATGCCCAACACAGGTAACTCATGGGTAGCGCATGCCCAACACAGGTAATGCACACCTAATTCACGGGCAGCGCACACCCAACGCAGGTAACTCATGAGTAGCGCATGCCCAACACAGGTAACGCACACCTAATTCACGGGCAGTGCACGCCCAACACAGGTAACTCATGGGTAGTGCATGCCTAATTCTCGGGTAGTACATTCCCTACACAGGTAACTCTTGGGTAGTGCATTCACAGGTAACGCACACCTAATTCAGGGGTGGCGTGTACCTGACACAGGTAACGCAGCCCCAAGTCACAGGTTACCCCGCGAGTCACAGGTAATGTCCGTAACAGGTCACACACCCCTGCCCAACCCCGCCCTCCCAAGACACGTTAACGCACCACCCCTGAGTTAAAGGTAACACCCCCTGAAACAAGGTTAACTCATCCCCCCATCCACACTCCCGAGACAGCTAACACCCCCCCAAGTCACAGGTAACACCCTCTACACAGAACACACTCAAATATGACATTTTTCTATTTTAGTTTATAATTTCCCTTTATTTGCTGATATAATAAAATCCTGCTGATATTATAATGTTATTTTTTTTCCCAATGTCACGATCAGTTTTGTGCAAATACGCGTTAACTGATTTTGTCTGTTCAAGAATAAACGTGGACATTTAAAGCTTAGAGTTTTATCTGAAGCTTGTAAGAGCCATTATCAAATGTCTGGTCTTGTATCTATCAGTGTTACGATGACACTTTTTGAGTTTTGGCATAGAGCTGCCGCCGCTGTTTTACATTCCTAACATCTAACCAGAACACTGCTTAGACTACAGCTCACATTCACAGTCAGTAATGTATATAGAACTTCCAGAAAGATTAGAGTGACTTCTTGCTAAATAACTACCTTTATAAGTCAAAGTGTGATTGTCACTTCCTAATTATGTTGGTAGGTAATCTAATGTGTAAGGCCTTCAGTCCAGCTCCTGAAGTCCTAACCAATGGGAGAGCTCGTCAGCTGTATCTGCCTAGATACCACAGAGAAAAATTGTTTTCTGTTGGACAACACATAGCATGATGAACGTATTCAATAAAAATGAACTGAAATATGTTTCCAGGATTAGCAGCAGTCTGGGTGAGCAAGGCCATAAATTTCAGACACATTTGTGTTATTCCACCCAGAGCGTCCTGCTGCTTAATGCTCCTCTGGTGACGGCCTGGACGTCTTTTTTGGTAAGCGTTTTTGTGCAAAGAGGAACGTTCTGGAATGACGTAGCAGAGTCGTGCTAAATCAAACCTATTTTCCCAGCACTGCCGTTTCACGCTTTCCACACATTCCAGTGAGCTGACTGCAGCAGCGAAGAAGATGATTTTCTCTCTCTCCTTCACCATTAAAGGGCCGAATTCATTGCAAACTGAGCTGCTTTACACATTGAACTTTATAACCAGCAATAACCAGACATGACAATGACATACAGAAAGTCTTGAAGTTTCCTCACGTTAAATTCGTAAAAATCATGTCTTTATGAGGAAAGATTGCATGATTCAACATTAAACTGTCTGTTAATATTTGAAAACACAAATTCTGCTTAGCTGTTTAATGACTTTTATTAATAACCATCATTAAATTAATTAGTGGTCACTTCCCAATAAATAAAAATAGTAGTAAATAAATAAATAAGAAAAATGGAAAAAATGTTCTGTTAATACTGCAGTAAGAAGGTCCATTTGTCTAGATGTTTATTGCTCTGTTTTTTTTCTTATAGCTGCGCAAAAGCTCTGCCATCTGCTGGGGATGAGTGTGATGGAGTTCACCCGCGCCATTCTGACCCCCAGGATCAAAGTGGGCAGAGATTATGTCCAGAAAGCCCAGACGAAAGAGCAGGTAACACATGCATACACACACCCTCTCAGTCCAGCCTGAGAACCTGGGAGTTAACTCTCTAACCCAGCGTTACGCTGCGCTGGAAAAAACATCATTCCAACAGCAGCACGGAAACTGATGATTATCAGAGGAGAGCTGTAGTGGTGTAGGTTGTTTTATTTTAAGGTGGAAAAAGGCAGGAGGTGCTCTGTACTCTCTTATTTTGTGTTGTGTAGCACTTGGTTCATCTGGAATTCAACTCAGACATTTGGCGTCAACGGTTCCCAAAAAATCAGTGTGATAATATTTTGACATTTTATTTTAGATTTAGAGCGGTTTGTAAAACACTGAATAAAAATCATTGTGTTTATATTTTATTATTATTATTATTATTGTCATTCTTGTTGTAATAGCGTTTTATGTGTGGCACTACAGGTTCTGTTCTGTCTGTTCCAACTTATTACATCTCAGAAAAATAAATATTTTTATGATTATTATGTATCGTGATATAATATTTTTGCCATATTAACCATCCCTAATTCCAGTACTTAATTCCCTCCCCCAGTTTAGTCATGGCCAGTTCTCACTCTCTAGCTAACTCTAACTTGATTACAAGATGCTACCAGGCTGTGAGGGTGAATGTCAGTCTGAGCTTTCTTCGAATCACATGAAGCTCCACCACATCTTCTCATGCTGCTGCTAACATAGCGTCACTGGAGCTCAACACTCCTGGTTGAGTCACTGGAGGAAGCAGTAGTAGAATACAGACAGTCTCTTATCAATTCTAATATTCCAAACTGAGGTCTCTGCTTCTCAGCAAACTTCAGATGCCTTGGTGCCTTTTTACACCCCAAAGGGCCACTTGCTTTTAACTATGCATATGCACCGGAAGATGTCTTCCTCGCACACCCTGTGTTCATTTGAAGTGTTAGTAGGGGCAGTATACCACAGTATGATCAGTGATGTCATTAGCACACTATACACAATGGTGACCATGGCAGAAACTTTTAAAGAGAGGCTGATGGAGCTTGTCTGAAACTACCCACATTTATATGACATTTCTATGCAGCTTCACAGCTGTAAATATGCTTGCCAACTGTTGCTGTGTTTGCTGATTGTACAAAACCACATACAGCTGTCAAAAGTCGCAGTGGCGATTGGAGGACTTTTAATCCTCCAGATAAACAATAGTTATGTGAGTGAATATGTGAATAGTGCTGCTCACGTAGGTAAAAGCAGGTATACTGTGACCCTAAAGTGCGCCTTTCTCATCCTCCTCCTCCTCCTCCTCCTCCTCCTCTCAGTCCTTTCTGCAGTAATATTATCCAGCTCTCGCTGGTCATCACTCACAGTGCGCTCTGTGGTTGATTTTGGAGAGATGCAGAGTTAGTGGATTGTGGGAATGAACGCCAAGTTCAACCTGAAGTAGAATTACTCTATGGCTCAGGCTCAGAAATCAGGATCAGAAAATTCTGAATATTCTGAAGTTTCTGATCTTCCTAAACTGCTCAGAACAAAATGCTAAACTGATTTATTTCCTTCCTTTTGCTCAGGCTGAATGTGGGCTTATTGTAATGATAAATAATAGTAATAACAACAATAATAAATGTTGGTTTGGAAAGCTGTTGGACCTAGCAATTGTGATGTCCGCACTTAAACCTCTCAGGTGTTTAAGCCACCTCACAAGAATTTGAAAAGAATTTCAATATGAAAAAGAAAACTTGGTCATTTAGGCAAACTTTCCTCTCTGTGTTTCTGTTCAGGCTGATTTTGCAGTGGAAGCTCTGGCCAAAGCCACGTACGAGCGGCTCTTCCGCTGGCTCGTCCACCGCATCAACAAAGCTCTGGACCGGACCAAACGGCAGGGAGCGTCCTTCATCGGCATCCTTGACATCGCTGGCTTCGAGATCTTCCAGGTGCAGCATTTCTTAGCATTCATTCTGAGTTTGAATCAGGACTACTGTTATACTGTTAGGGAGCCGCTATGTACCAAAAACAGTCATAGTTAATTTTTACGTGACCCTTTTCTTTATCTTTATCCCAATTAAACAGGCTGTTTTTGTTACTGTTCCTTTGGAATGATGCATGTTAATTAACTCTGTTTTAATTGGCTGCCCTGTATTGTGCCTCATACAAAAACACTCCTTATAATTTCAGCTTGAATGGGCAGGGCTAAACTGCTGTGGGCTGGACAGGCGAATATATGTAAATGCATGATGTGTGTGTAACTGTGACGTTAGAAAGACAGTTAATAAAAAACTGTTAAACTTAATTCAGACTGTTTTTGCATTTCCATATATGGACCAAAGAGTGAAATGTTCGCGTACTACATCAGTCGCTTATTTCTAAAAAGAAAAGTATGATATGAGGCTTTTAAAGTGGTCTGATGAGAAAATAAAAAAAAGAGAGCTTAATAAAAGCAGTGAATATGATCTCATGGAGTGTCCTCAATCATACATATTTATTTGTGCTTTATTTAATATTTTTTATTTCTTTATTTATTTTTTTTTACACTATTGAGTTGCCATTTAATCATTGAGCTTGCTTCCTCTCTCCCTCTCTCTTTCCCCAGCTGAACTCGTTCGAGCAGCTATGCATCAACTACACCAACGAGAAGCTCCAGCAGCTCTTCAACCACACCATGTTCATCCTGGAGCAGGAGGAGTACCAGCGCGAGGGCATCGAGTGGAGCTTCATCGATTTCGGCCTCGACCTGCAGCCCTGCATCGACCTCATCGAGAGGCCGGTGAGTGACATTGTCTCGTCTCACTGGTTCAGAGCTGACAGCAAGGCTGGACGATATTATATGTTATCGTTATTGTGATTAAATCATGCCACAATACACTTTTCTGAGTCTATGATTCTTCTAGAACACTGAACACCTGCACTGATGATAAACATACAGATTTAGACCCATTATAGGGTCTATAAACAGTAACTATATATACTGCATAATAACAAGTAGCTGATTGGATGGCAGCTCAAACTAACATTTTATTTATATATATTATTTTATTTAGTTATTTTTACAATTTGTTTGAACATTTTCCTGTTATTCCTTTTCAAATAGTAGATAAATGTCAAATAACAGTCCAATACCCCTCTAGCCAGAGCTGTGTGTATATCATCAGTCTTTGTAGAAACTGACCAACTGCATTATAAAGATAGAGGAAAATTAGTTACGTTTAACTGGATTTAGTGCCAGAAATTGAACAGAAATTTTTTTTTTTTTAACGTAGCACTGCTGGGTCCTTTTTTTCCCTGATCAGACGTCTGACAAAATAACTATCGTTACATATTGTGTATCGTAAAAAATTCTTAAAGTATCATAATATTATGTTTGCCATATCGCTCAGCCTGCATTTGGCACTGGGCATGGTAACCCTGGGCTCATGTGCGTCTCCTCCACAGTGTCCTATTCTACTGGTCAGTGCTTTTTCAAAGACTTCGAATTCATTATTAATGACGTCGGCATTCTGAACTTACCAGCAAGGTTGGTTCTTCACAGTAAAGTGCTAGGATAAAATTGACCTTAATAGATTAGTTATGGGAGAATGCATTATGTATGTTAAAACAATAGTTCATCGCATTTAATGAAAGCTGATGGAAATCAGCTTGTTTAGTCTTTATTTCCTCCAAATTAAAGCAGCATTATGTAATATTTATTGTTAAAACTGTAAGAGTTCTCTTTGAATACTTTCTCAAAGCACTCACAAAAAACAGATTAATCTGCTTGTGGGCATCTGAAACACAACCAACGTTACAAAACGTTCATACGCGTGTTGCGTGCAATTACATATTTCCACCAGAGAGGGCTCCAAATCCCCAAATCCTACAGTGTTGCTTTAAAGCTACGTGAGATTCTTACGTTAATCATTGGGAATGTGAGTTCTGTAAGTGTTGCAGTAGTTGATCTTTATTTGCAAAAGTACTAGAAGGCAAGTGGCATCATTAGAGTGATTTTATAAAGTGTATGTGTTTGTTTATTTTTCTAGGCAAACCCTCCAGGTGTGCTGGCCCTGCTGGACGAGGAGTGCTGGTTCCCCAAAGCTACAGACAAAACGTTTGTGGATAAGCTGGTGCAGGAGCAGGGCTCGCACGCCAAGTTCCAGAAACCGCGGCAACTAAAGGACAAGGCTGACTTCTGCATCATCCACTACGCAGGCAGGGTACGTAATGCCTTTAACTGGGCCCAAACGTTTGGTCCTTACCTGAATCTTACCCCAAAAAAGCCTTGTTCAAGTCTAATTCAACCCACAGCACCAGCAAAACTGTGCCTGAACCTGACCAGCACAGCCTTACATAGCCTTGTAGTGAAAACACTGCCATCAGATAATCAATAGAAAGCCAAATAATCCAAGGAAACCAAGTAATTTCATAAAATCTATTAGATCAGGCAGTGTCATATCACAGTGGTTGAATTTTGGCTGTATTGCGTAGATTAAAAAAGGTGTTTTAATTATACTGTGGAAGGTGATAGCAGTTGGCTTAAATAATTAGTCATCTCAATAATTGGTATTAGGTGATTGTGAGCTCTACCTCTCAAACTCAGAATCTGTACTGAATGGCTAATGAACAGTGTTTATACAGCTGTATGCAGCGACAGCATTCAGAAATCACTATTAATAAACAGCTGTTATTGTTCCACTTTAAAGGGTTAATATTTACTGAGCTGCTGATTTTGCTCTGATAAGAAGTTGGTGTTGTGAGACTCAGGGAGCTGCAGTTGCTTTAGTTTTTTCTCCTGAATATTTACTGTAATGTTCAGTACTGTGTTCATTACTGTGTTCAGTACTGTGTTTCATGTCTGTTGACATTAAATTCATTAAGTCTTTTGAAATATGAGGCTCGTTTGCTGCGGCTCTCGACGAAAAAGTTTAAATTTCCATCAAAATCTGCGGTTATCAGTGTTAGTTTGAGCTTTATGGCTGCAGACTGGACTAAATGTGGGTCAGTTAATGAAACTGCAGGTCTAGTCAGAGAAAAAAGGCTCTAAACTTTAGCTAACTTTGTGACCGCGGTGCGGCCCATTATACTGTAATTCTACAGCACTGCTGCCACCATCAGGTGAAAGGAAGAACTATAGTGTACTGGCTGGAGGGCAATTTATAACACACACTAAAACAGAAGACACAGGTCAGTTAAAACCAAATTTGGCCCTGGGGCCGGACTTTGGGTACCCCTGCAGTGTAAGGTCAGTATGAGTGATTGGGCCTAGAAGTAATCCTCTCCTGACATCTCTCTATTAATCACAGGGTCCACACAGCCTGTGACTCAACTCAAACCACCATCCATGCCTTTTAGAACTGAACCAGCAGAAGGGTTTGTGGAGTGAGCTCATCAGGGAGCGATCTTAATTACATCAGAATATCAAAGCAGGGTTCAGATCATGCTTTCCCAGCTCTAACCGAACCTGCTGGAACCAATCAGAATGCCCCAAATATTTTTGCTCTGTAGACAGCCTCACACAGGGAGGTGGTCTCGTGCTGTAATCTGGAGAAAATTCCAGAGAATGCAACAATACGCTTTGACCAGCCAAACCAGACAGCCACAATAGAGTACAGCTTGTGCAAACATTAGACGGAGGGGGGCGGGGGGTCCTTGAACAATCATAATTTATCTGAAGTATCACTTTACAGGTTGTCTTGAGTATTTGTCTTAAATTAACATGATCTTAGATGCTAATACACAGAGACGTCATTTATACGTTTATTTACTGGGGTCACTGTGGCGATGTACAGTCGTATGCAGAAGTTGAACGTTTTATTGGTTTTCTAAGTGGGGGAAAAAAAAGGGAACGCACTTAAATATGGCATTTTTCTGCACAATCTTTGCACACAGTTTTTATTTATTCTCGTAACAAAAACTCATGTCTTCAGAATAGCAGCTTTACAGAAGTAAAAAAAACTTATGCCAAAGTCTTTTTCTAAATAATTTGGAATAATTTCTGTGGGTCATCATTAAATGTTTGCTCAGTGGCAAGGGTAACTAGATTTTTTTTTTTTAATTATGTTAAAAATTAAAAAAGTAGGATGGCAATAAGTTTTTGTGTGACAGCAACAATGTTTATAGAGTACTGTACAAAAGTTTTAGGCACCTGGAAAAAAAAAGAATTAAAAAGCTGTTTATCGGGGCTCCCGAGTGGCGCAACCGTCTAAGCGTTGGCCCTATCATCAGGAGATCGCGAGTTCGATCCCTGGTGATGCTACAGCCATCCGTAGCCGGGAGTCCGAGAGAGCACAATTGGCCTCGCTCTCTCTGGGTGGGTAGGATGCCCCCTCCTTCTCCCCCCATCACTCAGCGCGATGCTAGTCAGCGCAGGCGTCTGTTAGCTGATGTAACAGATCTGGCGGTTGGCGCTTTCCTCCGAGCGCGTTCAGCTGTCCAGTGACGTTGCGTGAGCGGCAGCTCGAAAAGAAGCGGTGGTTGGCTTCACAGGTCTCGGAGGAAGCCTGTGTTAGCCTTCACCCTCCTAGCGCTGATAGCATCGTGTGATTGGGGGAGTCCTAACTAGCGGGTGGAATTGGAGACGACTAAATTGGGGAGAAAAATCGGGTAAAATAAAAGCTGTTTATCTGGTCAGCAAGTGTTTGTCTTTATTCTTACTTTTTTTATTCTTACTTTTTGTTACTGTATGTATACTTCATGTTTATTTATGACTATTCTAATGCTGTATGTTATTTTTACTTGCAAAAAACACATTGAATAGCTACGAGGCATATACAAGAACTAAATTATAGCTGCTACTGTTTTTAGGTATGTTAATGCACTTCAGTCCATTTTTATAGGTCACTGTATGCTTACAGTTCCTGGCTGGGTGTGAAATAGTGATTTAAATTATTAAAAACACCATCGCAAACGATCCACTACTGCCGAAACATAAGCTTTCATTACTTGTTAGCTACACTGGCCTCGTTGTTCCAGTGCTGATACTAAAGAAGCAAACTTCTGATAGCTGATTGACTGTATGTGGGATAAGAGAGGGAACTTTTTTTGCAGAACTGTTCCTTTAACCCTTAGAGAGAGTTTGCTGCAGTGCGTCTGTAGCTGTATCTCTGCTGCTGGATCCAGCTGTTTGTAATGGCCTTCACAGAAAACATCTGCTTCATATCAGCAGCTGTTTTGCAACAGAAACCCTGTGCCTCTCAAACAGGAGACTCTGACCTGCTTGCTGTGGCCTCAGGGTGAAAGGGCAGGACAGGAGGTCTCCTCTCTGTGGAGATAGTGTTTGATGGAAAGCTCATGAGATGTTTGATGCATGTTTTACTGGTTTATGCACTCAGTGATGGTCATAAATTCATAAAGAGTTTAGGTAGTGAGTAGATATTGTTGTAGACGAGAGTTGCTTTATGCTGGAACAGGCTGGATCTGGCACCTATTTTAGTGAATGTGGCACCAATTTTAATGGATCTGGGACCTCCCAGATTGGGCCCTGCACCTATTTTAGTAGATCCAGCTCCTATTTAGTGGATCCAGCACTTCTTTTAATGGGTCTGTCATCTATTTTAGTGGATTCAGCATGTATTTTAGCGGACCCAGCACTTCTTTTAATGGGTTTGTCTTTTAGTGGACACAGCACCTAGTTTAGTGGATCCAGTACTTCTTGTAATGGATCTGTTGTCTATTTTAGTGGATTCAGTCCCTATTTTAGTGGATCCAACATTTCTTTTAACGTGTCCGTTATCTATTTTAGTGGATTCGGCACATATTTTAGTGGATTCAGCACTTCTTGTTAAAAAAAAATAAATAAATAAAAAATCAGCTCCACATACTATATTTACTACATGTGTGTTGCGCTGGTCTGAGTGGATCAGACACAGCAGTGCTGCTGGAGTTCTTAAGCACCTCAGTGTCACTGCTGGACTGAGAATAGTCCACCAACCAAGAATATCCAGCCAACAGCATCCTGTGGGTAGTGTCCTGTGGCCACTGATGAAGGACTAGAGGATGACCAACACAAACTGTGCAGCAGCAGATGAGCGATCATCTCTGACTTCACATCTACAAGGTGGACTGACAAGGTATGAGTGTCTAATAGAGTGGACAGTGAGTGGATACAGTGTTTAAAAACTCCAGCAGTACTGCTTTGTCTGATCCACTCAGACCAGCGCAACACACACTAATACACCACCACCACATCAGTGTTACTGCAGTGCTGACTCATTTCTGCTGTGTAACCCGTGTGACCTGATGTGGACAGTGAAACAGATCAATGTGAGTGTCTGTAATAGTCCTGTTAATACTACTAATGCTACACTGTTATAATAATGTAATAAAGGCCTGTTCCTCCTCCTCCTCCTCCTCAGGTGGATTATAAAGCGGATGAATGGCTGATGAAGAACATGGATCCTCTGAACGATAACGTGGCCACTCTGCTCCATCAGTCCACTGACAAGTTTGTGGCCGAGCTGTGGAAGGATGGTAAGAGATGACTGTTTTATACAGCTGTCTGTCTGTTTTTTTCTTTCTTGCTTGCTTGCTTTGTTTCTTGCTTTCTTTCTTTCTTTCTCATCCTTTTTCTTTCTTTTTTTTTTTTCTCTTCTCTAATTTTCCAGACCTCTTCTGCCTCTCCTTTTTCTTTTTTTTCCTGCTGCTTTTTCTCTTTGATCTTTCTTGCTTTTATTTTTCACACTCGTTCTCTCTTGCTCTTTTCTGTTCCTGTGTCTCTCTTTTCCTCTTAATTTCTGTCTGTCTTCTCTTTCTTTTTCTAACACAGTTTCTTTCTTGCTCGCCCTCCTCTTTCTCTTCTTTTTTCATTCCTTTTCACTTGTCTCATTTTCTGGAGCTTGTCTTTCTTTCTTTTTTTTTTCTTTTTTTTTCTTTTTCTTTCTTTCTTTCATTCTCTCTCTCTCTCTCTCTCTCTCTCTCTCTCTCTGTCATTTTTACAGCTTTTCCCAGACAGTAAAGAAAGAGTCCGTTTTTATTTGTATGTCTTGTCTGAGTGAAAATGTGCAGCAGTGAGCAGACTGGAATTTTTTTTTTCAGTAAATATAAAACTTAAACGTCTGCTTGTGTGTTGTGCTTTAACGTGTCTGAGCAGTTAGTGTTCCATAGTACAGTTTTATTTAATGATAGTAAGAATAATGTGTCAGCAGTGTGAGACTGCAGTAGTACTATATACAGTAATGTCCCTTCAGCTTTATTGCACTAGTGCATCACCAGAATGTGTAATGAACTTGTGCGCTTTTGACTTTCCGCCAGTGTTGCACTAACCAGTGTTACTGTGTCTGTGCTTGCTGTGTTCCTGTTTTTCTTTGTTTTTTTTTTTTTTTTTTTCCTCCCTCTCCTTGGCCTGCCCCTCTGTCTCTCGACCATAGAGATTCAGAACATTCAGAGAGCGTCTTTCTATGACGTTTCTAGTCTCCATGACTCTCCGGGTGAAGGTATAATGCTGCTGCTGTTTTGTTTTTTTTAGCGCTTTCTGTACTTCCAGACGCTCCCCATGCCTTTTCCACCCAGGCCCTGATCCTTCTGGCTGGCTATAACTTAAGAATTGGCCAGATTTCTGGAGGAAAAATTAGCCTGACTCCACAGTAGGGCTGCAAATAACTGTTATTTCTGCAATGAATTAACCTATCACCTGTTATCTTATCAAACCATTCTGCTTACTTTGGTTCCTCAGTCTTTTCCGCTGCTATCGATCAAAGTGACGTCTATGCGACAAACTTCCTGTAGTGTATTACAGTCTGTCAGTATGACTGTGTGGATCATATGAACATTTATAGAGCGCTTTTTCAAGGAAATAATAGAAGCCATATCGCCCCCTACACTTCCTGTAGAGTATTACAGTCTGTCAGAATGACTGTGTTGATCATATGAACATATACAGCACTTTCATTTAAATGGACGATTTATAAACGTCTGTATTTGTATCTGATCTTGTAACTATTACTTTCTACAAATAATCGGCTAATTGTTGCAGCCCTACTCCAGAGCAGATGCTGAGTTAAAGGCCCAGTCACACTAGCCTTTTCACAGCGAAATTTTGTGGGCAAATGTACATCTTAGTAGAAATCATCATAATCAAGATGTTTATTTGGAGTAGAGATGAAGTTTCATGTGTGAAACTTTACTTTTGAGTTTGAACTTGGATCAGCGACCAATAGACTGCTCTGGCTGTGCTATACGAAGTACCGCCCCTCCAGAGTTTGGCATACGCGGAGGAAAAGCTCATTTTCATTTGGCCAGAAACATACTCAACGCAAGAACGCAAATGCACAGACCATCTGTACAAACTCGTGTTCTTACAGTACTGTGGTAGTTAAAACACCCAGTGCTCAAGGGGGCAATAGAGGACAAATTGGAATGGAAGCTTCTATCATTTCATCATCCACAACTTCTAAACATTTGGCCAGTAGAGGAGTATGAGCTGCTCTACCTGTTCTATCAGTAGGAAAAGGTAATAACCGACAAACCATTTTTTACAGTGTATGTAGCTTGACTTGTCTGCATTCACGTACGTAAAGTATGTTTCTGGCACAACATTTTATGTAGTTCTTCCCAAACAGACCGTAACTTAATCCAGAATAGAGCCAGAGTGGTGCACAGTCGGACATGAGGCTAGAAAAGATGGTAAAACTGCCGTTACTTCAGTGCTTTTTAACATTTTATAAGCTAGCGAGTTGGTTAGCTCTATTAGGTAGCAGCCACATCCCTGAACTTGCAGTCTAGCCTTTTTCACCAGGAGAATTTCTAGTGTGACTGTGGCTTCAGTCTGCATGACGACGAGTGCATGGCTGTAGTGTTTATTGGACACAGTGAAGCACCATCAAAGCACCATTGCAGCACCGGCGCTGTCTGGCTAATTTGAGCGGTCAGCTGTGAGGAGGAGGGCCCTGCATGTGCCTTTTGTTTAGAGATCCTCAACCTCGCACATTAGTGGCCGTCCTGCTCCCCCCTCAGCTCGCCTGGACGATCTGCACCGAATCCTGCAACCATGCAGCTTGTGGCAAATCATTTCAGTGCTTATAGTTTTATAGTTTTATGTAGCACTTTTAATGGCAGACGGGAATTCAGAGGTGTTTATACTAGGTGGCAATTTTGTAGTTTTGATTATGGGGATAAAAATACTGTTTTCATTATTTGAGACAGCTGGTGTTTTGCAGTTGCACTTGCAGTTATATCTAGGAGCACAATGCTCATACATACAAAATAGAACAAAGGAAAAAAATGAAACGATAAAGTTGTCAGTTTATTGGTGATTATTGATAACTATTGATAAGTGGTACCAGCGCTGTTTTATTCACAAATGGCGACACCTTCTAAAATAAGCAAAATAAGATTTAGTTCGTCACTGTGCATAAATAATGTTGCTTGTCTTTTTGGTATGTGTTTATTTATTGATATATTCACTTACATGACTTCACTGTCTAATTGTGACAGCTTTAACGATGAATCAGAATTTTATTAGGCTTCATATGGCTGATACCGATCAATTGACTACAGCACAGATCTTTTGGATTGGATCAGGACTTTCCTGCTAGACAGACAAGAATAGATCTGATTTAGTACAGCAGATACCTTTAGTACCTATATCCCCCTTGTGTAGCTGAGAAGGTTCTGATATTTGGAAGGATCCTGAGCTCTGTGTTCTGGTTCTGCTGCTCTGGCCTCTTCACTGCTCACAGTCAAACGTAAAGTTTTTTTTAAGCGTCTGACGGTCAGCTCCAGCGGCTCGGAGCAGGAATTCGACGTGAGGGCCGAACAATGCTGCTGCTGTTTCCTGCCTGAGTCGCAGCCAAACGCCAGTCAACACCAGCCAATCAGCTGCAGCGCAGCAGGGGTCAGGAGGTCACGCCAGGATCCCTCATAAAGAAATATACGAACCTCATTCCAGACCACACTGAGGCCTGTGCTGAAACTCTCAGACCGGCTAATGTCTTTAACAGCAGACGCTTAGAAATGCAGAAGGAGCCTGTTTCTGAAGAGAAGGAGAAACAGAACGACTCCAGTCTGTCTCTCTGTCGTTCTTACGGCCTTTCGTTTCAGAGCAGTTTGCAGAAAAATCCTCAAATGCAGTTTGGGAAGACCCGTTTGCTTCTTTAGTTTTAGCACTGGAGCTTTGACGGCAGAGATCTTGATGTGATGGGCTACATTAGCCTTGTAGCTCCAGCGTATGATGTCGTTTATTTTGGAACAGTGCGCTGCACCGGAGCCACATTGCCAGTCTCGATAGCAGCCGCCTCGAGTTCTGCACAGACACCTGGTGAGAGAAGAAGATTAACTGTGCAACTCAATCGATTCCTGATCGGCCCCCTAGCAGATTCCAGACTGATGACTGTCCATCCTGTGTGACCGCTCACAGTCAGTCCCTTAAGCAGCAGCTGTAGCTTAGCTAAGGCATACACTTTACTAGCTTGCTAACTTGCTAATTTTATCTATAACTCGGATAAAACTTGCCATTAAAGTAAGAAATTGAATTTAAAGTAGTTAGAAATACAGTTGGATGCAGTCATTTGGACACCCCTGGTCAAATTCCATGTGGTGTTCGTTTTCTAAGTGTGAATAAGTGAACACACTTCTGCACATTTTTTGCAGAATTGATTTCTGTTTACTCAGTTTAACTCATTGGGGAATATATATATATAACATTAAAATGTAGCCTGTGCAAACGTATAGTTAGATTTTGTTTTTTTTGTTTTCCCTAATTCCCTTTTTACTTAGAAAATCTAGAGTGCCCAAACTTTTGCATACAGCTGAAAGCGTCAAACAGATAAACAATATTTAAACAGTATAGTAGATGAATGAGACCCATTTATGAAAAGAACCTCAATGACTTTCAGTGAGATAAAATGCGAAACACTAAATTTTGCAGTGTATATATGTAATAAATACTTAGTACTACTTGAAATACTTAGTCAGACAAGAGTACACAGATTATGGAAAGGAAAAGTTGTGAAAACAAACATTTATTTAAGATTTTATTTTACAAACATTACTGTGTTGCAATAGTGAGAAGCTGGTCACTTTAGTTGATAAATCAGCTAGGCTCTACAATGTACACTATATGGCCAAAAGTATGTGGACTGTTGACCATGGTTATGTGCTTGATTTTATACACCTGTTAGCAATAGGTGTGGCTGAAACGCCTGAGCTCAGTAATTACTATTGGACATATTGTGGATTTGCTGTTACTGCAAAAGGAAATGGAAACTGGTAAATATCTGGTCTGTAAACATTAATCAACAGGTAATGAAGCTCGAAATATTGCACTGCAAAAGTAAACTGGGCTGGAATTACGAAGTGTCTTAAGACATAAATTTTTTTTTTTTCCTCCCCCCTCTCCTATTGGCTGTTTCTTCCCCCATCATCTCTAGATGTTGTTTGCTGAAGTTTTTTTAAATGTTTGATTTGACACATTTTGCACATCTGAGCAGATTAAAGTAAATTAAAGTTAATACAAATTCAACATGTATCTCTTACCATTTATGGTAAAACTGACATGAGAAAACAATTAAGATTTTCTTAAGAACATCTTAAGAAACTTCTTTTTTCCTTAAAACTTCTGTGAAGCCAGACTTTTATTCTAACCAGTTGATTTCACAACAGCTTCATCGTTTGTCTGAACGTTTTTATAAAGAGATTTCTACTGACTCTTTGGGTTGTTACTCCCTTTTTGTGAGCTGTTTTTAATCAGTTTATTTGGCTTATTTCTTCTTGCTTTTCATTGTTGGGTGGAAAAAATGAAACGTGTTGACACAGTGGATAAATACTGTATGAATATTAATGAGACCACAGCTGGTCTTCCAAAGCCTTGGATCCAGTTTATTGAGAAATACCAGGAAATGAATAAAGAACATTATTTCTGCGCTTTGGGACGCTTGTGGGGAGAAACTGAAAACTGAGTCTCTGTTATGCAGGATGCATGGAGACTGTGCAGGAGCTTTAAAAGCCCACAGAGTTAAGCAAAAGTGAAACTGGAGAAAGTTCTGCTCGAGCTCTGTGTTGGATGTTCTGTCACCTAGAAAAAGTTTACTGCAGTTCTAAAACATTCACACACAGTGCTGTGCTAAAGTCAGACACAACCATTACTTTAGTTCATTCAAACTGGCTTAAGCACAAATCATTTTTTTTTGAAAAAAGGGAAAAACTGCAGTTAACAAGCTTAACAGGAAGTCACAACAGCTTAGTCTAGTATCAGCTGTCTGAGTGTTCAGTGTGTCACTCATTCCTTTTATTACATTCCATTCATTCTTTTCAGGAGACTCACTTTCAGTTTCTCAAAGAATCTGCAGACACACCTCCAAAGTTTCAGTCTTAGAAGCTGGTTGATCATTTTCTGAAGTAATCAAACACGTTCAGTGATGCTGAGGTCTGGACTCTGGGGTGGTCAGTCCATTGATCAGCTTCTTTGTTTGATGTGTCTGTCTCCTTTTCTCAGTGAGGCTTCTTGACAGCTACACATCCTTTCAGACCCATAGCGCTGAGTTGTCTTCTCACAGTGGAAGGATGGACAGAAACACCTGTGGATGTTTTCAGATCTGAAGCAGCTTGATTTTTTTCCTATCTCTCAAAGATGAAAGCTTCAAGTGCTGTTTATCTGATGGGGGCAGTGTTGGGGGTCTATAAAGTCTTCCAGGTGGTTGTTAGGAGTCCCGTTTTCTCTGTGGCTTTTAATCAGTTTTTGACCTTCCTTTTACTTCAGACTTTTCTATGCAAGTGGGTTATTTTAAATCTAATCTCCTCACAAATATATCCTGAGAAAATCAATACATTGTACTTAATGGCTGTTTTGACTGGAAATGAAATAAATTTACCCCTTAAATGGCCAGGGCGCACAGACGGGACTGGAGTTTTGTTTTATATATTCTGTAATCTAAGAATAGCTAAACCAGTTTGCACTGAAATCCCTGTAGTTACTGAATAATCAACCTTAGCATGTAATAAGCCTGAGATTTTAAGGGGTTAAAAGCTGTTATGTGTGTTCTTTATTGCGCATGCTGTTTAGGTAATGGGCTGTAATGAGTTTGGTAAAAATTGTATTACTGATGGAGTAGTCTTTTATCAATTGACTACCCATTATCTGGGTCTGTAAGTAATCTGGGTGTTTTAAAGACCGAAAATGATTAATTTAATCATGAAATGCATAGTTTCATGTACCTTATGCCTACATGGTCTCAGAAAAAAAAGAAATTTATTGAATTTTTTGTAACAGAGCATTAGCTTCATTTGTATTTTCAGTGATTTTTGCAAAGCCAATTCAGAAATATTTTCAGAGTGCATGTACAAAGAAGTATCTCAGATTAATCACTTCTGTAGTTTTTCAGTAATCCGCTTATTTACTCTTACTTGATTAATTACGTTGATCAGTATTTTTACTTGGTACTCTAGTAAATAATCAAACCAGTTAACCCTTTAAATGGCCAGAGCCCACCGGCAGGCCCAAAGTTTTGCTGGGCACTTCTGTAACCTAAGCATAACTCAGCTAGTTTGCATTGTAGTCAATTTAATTACCAAATAATAACTCTTAATATGTCATACGTCTGAGATTTTAAGGGGTTAAGGGAGGTTTCTGACCTTTTGCACAATCATTGCTATAAACGAAACCGGGTTTGTGTATCCTGTGTGTTTCTGGGGGAGGGCGAGAGTTTTCTCCCTTAGCTGGGTCTTCAGTACGTATGTGAACGTTTTTGATTTTCTTTTGCAGTTTGTGCTTGTTTAGATGTAGTGGTCACTCTCCACCCTGTCTATGTTCCTCATGCACCATGACCGGCTCAGAGACTTCGCTTTACACCATCTGAGCTTCTGCACCAAATGTCCAAAATCCACTTGGCTGCGGAGTTGGCTCACTTTCATCTTCATTTCAGCCGGCTCGCCCAAGGAGCTGAACGCCAGCTGTTTTTGTTTGTTTGTTTGTTTGTTTGTTTTAACCCTTAGAAGTTGCCAGCAATTAAGAAAAGCATGTTAAAGTTTATATGAATTAACTCATTAGAAACAAACCACACTGTGTGGAAAGTGCAGATTCTACACTTTCAGTCCATACCACATGACCAACTGTCCAACAAAGAAAGCATTTTTTAACATTTGTGCCATTTTGTTTACTTTTTTGGCTTTTAAACAAATAAGAAAAAGTCAGAATTGAATAATTAGGCTAGATAATATTGCAAAACTTATGTCACATTGCTTTTAGCCGTTTTCACGATATATGCATCTTGATATTTAGTTTTTGGAGATTAACAAAACTAGTTGGAACAGACAGAGGGCTGAAAAATAGGCAATCCAGTCAGCTACATGTTACTATGCAGTTTGTACACTAGTTGTTGTTGTTTACAGGCTCTCTATATTTAATTAAAATGTGTTAGTTATTCTAGAAGTACTAAAACTCAGAAATGCATGCTGGCCCTCACTTATCAAAGTTGCATACATCCAAAACTGATTTATGAAAGAGCGCATGCAAGTTTTGTTATCTGTCAGTTTCGTTGTTGGCGTATCTATGCCATCAAACTCACATAAATGAAAAGAAATGCATATAAATGTAAGTGCAATATTTGCGCAGTCTTGAAAAAATGCTTGTTTGTGGTTAAATAATAAAAATTAACCAATAATGTCAATAAGAACAGTAAAAATAGAAAGTAACAATCATCATCATTGTGTAAATAACAATCCTTGGGCTAAAGTGGATGCACTTTATTTTTTTTATTATAATTTTTTTTGGTATAAACAAGTGCTGCAAGGATACGTATTTAGAGATATGCTGCGCTTTTAGTTTATACTACAGGAGAATTGATCTCATATACTGCATTCTCACATCATTCTATCGTCATAAATAGAACTTAACATTCTTTTCATTACATGGTTTCATTTCAGCAGTTGCTGGATGTTAATGCTATAAGCCTGTTTAAGCTCTGGCCAGTAGGGGGAGCTGTGCTAGACCCCAAACTCCGCCTATGAGAACCTGCTAAATTTCCTTTTATTGGCTCGCCCTCAACATTTGCATAAGTTAAATAATTTAACGTACATTGTATGATTAATTATATTCAAATTACGGTACGTCCTTTGTAAATTAAGTGTAAATTAGACACTTGCCAAAGCTGATGCAGTTACCATCAAAACACTGCATCTTTCACCTTCGTACGACAGTTTCACAAATCAGACAGGAATTGTTCATACGTCAATCTGGACGCCCAAATTTGCGCTCAATTCTATGCAACTATAATGAGTTGGGGCTGCTGTAACACGTCATTATCACGATGAATTGTCATGCCGGCCAGTCTGCTGAGAATGAAATTCTTTATTTAATTATATATTAACTTAAATAACTATGTAGTGCTGGTCACATGCACAGCAAAGCAGTTTCTAAGGGTTAAAATAATTCACCTCAATGGTGGAACTGATCCTAGGCTGAATGTCCTGAATTGAATCCAGCCCTGCTGTAAGCTTTGGATGTTTGTTGGTGCTTCTGCTTTGAGATCCTGGATCTGGAGGCCTGTCTGGGCGCTTTATGGTCAGAGCTCTGCTTATAGAGACCCCCATCCATCTGCACTGACCGTGATCTTGCTGGACCTCCACTGCAACTTCTGTAGATCTGCTAGGACCTCTAGACTGTCGTTCTGTTCACTCGTTCACTGATGTTCTCTCTTTCTCTCCCTCTGTGCTCCAGTGGACCGCATCGTGGGTTTGGACCAGGTGGCCGGTATGAACGAAACGGCGTTTGGAGCGACGTACAAGACCAAGAAGGGTATGTTCCGGACGGTGGGACAGCTCTACAAGGAATCTCTGACCAAACTGATGGCCACTCTCCGGAACACCAACCCCAACTTTGTCCGCTGCATCATCCCCAACCACGAGAAGAGGGTGAGTTCCCCCCCAAAAGACCTTCAGCATGAAGAACATTTTATATTTTGGGTTTAACTCTTTGTCTCCACTTCAGTTTGATTAGCGTTCTTTAGAAAACAGTCGAGTTCATCATGTAATAATTGAATCCTGGTAAAAAATTGAGGGGGCAAACATCTAGAGCAGTGGTCACCAGCCATGATCCTGGAGATCTACCTTCCTGTGGAGTCCAGCCACGATCTTCTACACCTGCTTCATTTAATTAACTACTTTAGAAGCTCATGATTGGCTGGATCAGATGCGTTAGGTGTGTGTTAGGTGAGGTGGAACAGCACTTTAGATGCAGGTTGAAACTAAACTCAGCAGGAAAGCAGATCTCTGGGAAGAGGGCTGGTGACCACTGATCTAAAGGCTATAGCCCTCATACAGTACTGGCACATAGAGATGACGTAATGAATTTTCAGATGACGCAGTGATTTTTCTTTAAAAAAAAATTAAGTGGGATATAATGCTCATACTACACGAACGCTGCGCCCCCACAGGAGGAAACACACGGCTAACAACACCACATCACTCCATCAGGTTTATTGGGAAAAAAAATATATATATATATAGATAGATAGATAGATATAGATATATGAAGCTTTTTCTTTAACTGACCTTTTGTTTTCTTACCTTTTGATTTCTTTTCCCCCCCCGCACCTCTGTCCTCACCCTCCCCAACTCTCTCTCTCTCTTCTCTCCCGCAGGCTGGTAAACTGGAGCCCCATTTGGTTCTGGACCAGCTGAGGTGTAACGGGGTTCTGGAGGGAATCCGTATTTGCAGGCAGGGCTTCCCCAACCGCATCGTCTTCCAGGAGTTCAGACAGAGGTACTCAACATCTATACAAGGACGTAACTGTTAGCTTACGGTTTACAGGGCTTCAATAGGAAAACTCAGTCTGTAGCTGCTAGCGTACATGCTAATAATATTAGCATTGGCATTGCATTACTCGGTCGATATTTTCTTAGAAGACTCTTTACAAATTAAATAGCACATCATCTACACATCAGTGTGGTGTTGTAGTTTCCATTCTGATTGCTGATCAGAAACTTTTTCCTCACCTGACAAAGTAAAGAATTCACTGAACTGTTTCTGTAAGATGATTTCTCAGTAACATTAACTCCAACTGCAAGTGATGGCAAAGACAGGAGAATTTCAAGCAGAAGACAAACAGCTTAAACTCAAATAAACAAACAGTATACACTTTCGCCCTTTCAAGGTGTTACTGCACCTGTTTTAAAGCTACTCTTACTGCTTTCTTAAGACGGCGAAGATGTTTCAGTAAGTATGGTCTTAGGTGTTGTGTTAATAATGTGATTGTACCTCTTGTTCTCCAATCAGATATGAGATCCTCACCCCTAACGCCATCCCAAAGGGCTTCATGGATGGGAAGCAGGCCTGTGAGAGGATGGTGAGTTTAAAATGATTCACAACACATTTCAGTGTGTGTTAGAGATTTGCTTTCTTCACTGGGAAAAAATGATGCAACACAAATAAATCACTTTGCCAGAACACACAAATGACTAACAGATGGAGTTTTTCTCTGGCTTTTTCTCTGCAGTTATTAGCAGTGATTTTTTTTTTTTGATTGTCCCATACATTAAGCTATATTTAAGATGTGTTGGACTGATGATGCATGACCTGTTGGTTTCCCATGCTTTCTTATATTAATTTATTAAAGTGTTGGGAGAATTCCTAGCATTCCTACGACTTCAATGATGCTTTATGAGATAACAAGGCCATAACTGATCCAGCAAAAGCAGTAACACACATTTTTCTGGGAATGCTCTTTTAAATCAAACATATTCACCAATATATTTGAGTTTATTGCTTTGATTTGTTGCTGTAGTGATGATAAATGAAAGCTGAAATCTAAACGGCTGAGATTTCCCGCTGCATTGCTAGCACCCCGTCCCAAACCGCATACTACCTCACTAAGTAATGTGTGGGAAAAAAAATGAATACATCCCATTAGAAGTGTACTAATTAGAGTAGTGGGTGAAGTGCAGAAGTGTGAGGTTTGGGACACAGCGTTAGATCAGCCAGTGAGACGTGTTCAACAGCTGCTCTGTTGTGCTGCTTGTTAGCTGCTCATTAAACACCTCCAAGAGAAAGTTTGAGGGGTTTGTTGTTTAAGGAGCATTTATTGAGGTCAGCTGGACATCTGAGGCGCCTGAATGTAACTGCTGCACCATGTAAGGTGGAACAGAAAATTTGAATAAGAATTTCTAAAACTGGACTTTTTCAACTGTAGAGCTGAATTATCTCTACGCAGTGCTCCAGGTCAAAAGGGCCTTGTTATAGAGAGAGCTGAGGTTGTTCTCAACATTGTGATATATAACCTGTGGGCTTCATGTGATATGCAAGTGCCTTTAAAAGCGCATTTAAGAACATATTCAAAAATCAAGAAAAAGGCCTTTAGACCCCTGAGGTTGAAAAATGGGCTTTAGCCTTGTAGCTCCAGCACCAAAACTAAAGAAGCAAATTTCAGACCCCAAGCATGTCTTTGGTGATTATCTACATTTAGGTCAAAGGAAATTGACGTGTTTATGGACACTGTCTCTCTATTCAGGTGTCTGTTATGATAAAACTGATCTGATTTTGCTGCTCTCAGGTATTAAAGTTATTGCATGTTGTTCAGTTTTTAAGCTGTTTTTGCTCTCTGCAGATCCAGGCCCTGGAGCTGGACGCTAACCTGTACCGGATTGGTCAGAGTAAGATATTTTTCCGTACCGGAGTTTTGGCACATCTGGAAGAGGAGCGGGACCTGAAGATTACTGACATCATTATCTACTTCCAGGCCGTATGCCGAGGATACCTGGCACGCAAGTGAGCACCTGCACTCGCTGAATACATACATGCACTGACTGGCCACTTTATCAGAAACATCTCCCTTTATAGTTCCACTGTTGTTGTTGTTATTGTTATTGTTATTATTATTGTTATTATTATTATTATTATTATAGTATTTTTCTATGTGGCACTCCAGGTTCAGTTTTGTCTGTTCAAATTTATTGAATCTCAGAAAAGCTAAAAATTCAGTGTTACAGTTTTTCCGTATCGCCCAGCTCTACCTGGGGGCCAGTTGGAAAACAAGTGTGTGTCCTATTTGTTTGTTTAAATTCAACTACATTCATTCAAGTGAACCTCATTCAATGTTTATTTGCAATTCTTCTGTCATAAACCACAACAGTGACTACTACAACTAGTTAGAGGTCCAAGCACCTTCAGGTGCATGGAAGCCTATTGCTTTTGCTAGGATTTCTCTTTTTTTTTTCAATATATGAACACAATGTTGGTCTCAAAATGTTCAGGGGAGTCTGGAGGTCAAGAATTATCAAAAAAAATTTAATATTTATAAAAAGTATCGCTGTCACGTGCCAATTAAGCCCCTCTGGGTTTGGCTTAATTCACATAAATGGCTGCAGATCGAGATGGCTTTGGCCAATTCACATCAAACTTATCAGTCCTGTACCCCACATGATTCTGTGGAAGCCCACCAAGTTTGATACCGATTACTCAAAAGGGGGCGCTGTAACAACCAAAAATCTGTTTCTCAGCAACCACTTAGCCAATTGAGCTGAAACTTTGCATGCAGTTTTGCTTATACAAGTCTTTTAACTGTACAGGAAATCATATAATTTGATTTCAACAAATTTTAATTAGCGCAAGAGGTGTTTTATATTTCTGTAGCCACCAGAGGGAGCCAAATCAGCAACTGCAAATGTCAATACTGATCTAATTAATAAAAAATATACAATCAGTGGAAAGCTTTACTGTATGTCTTTAGGTCAAGACCATTTCTGTATTTTATGCTTTCCACCGTGCCTGACAATTTTGCAAATACAAGTCTTTTAAAAAAAACTCTATTGTTTTTCTCTAAATCATCAGAGTTTGAAAACTAATGTTTTCGCACTGCTTGCTGAAATGTTTTTGCAACGTCTCAAACCTGGTCTCTAAACAACCGTCAAAGTCTCAAGATCAATAATTATTTAAAAAATCTTGCCTTTTAAGCACAATATTATTGCAAGTTATGGAAAAATCTGTTCGGTCCAGCCTATTCAAAAACAAGGGGCCACAAATCTGTCACTCACGCTCTGATTGTGACCAAAAATATTATATACTTTGACAGTAATCAGCTGAGGAAACGTATGACATTAGGCTTGAATTGGCTTAAGTTGGCTCTTACAATGCTCAATGTACTGCCAACAATCTAAAATGTAATTATTCCTGTCTAAGATTAAAATAAAGACATGACAGTTGTTTCAAATTATGCATCTTAATGATAATTAGCACTTTGCAAATACGTGTAGGTTGCGTAACTGTACAGGAAATCATACAATTTGATTTCAACAAATTTTAATTAGCGTGAAAGGTTTTTTATATTTCTCTGGCCACCAGATGGAGTCAAATCAGTAACTGCACATGTCAATGTTGAACTAATTAGCAATTCCTGTCTATTTATTCCTGTCTAAGAATAAAAACAAAAACATGACAGTTGTTTCAAATTATGCATCTTAATGAGAATTGTCACTTTGCAAATATGTGTAGGTTGTACTGTACAGGAAATCCTATTGTTTGATTTCAGCAAATTTTGTTCAGAGCAACAGTTTTTCTCTGGCCATCAGAGGGAGCCAAATCAGTAACTGCACATCATTGTTGACATATACATGGAAAGCTTTACTGTATGTCTTTAAGCGAAGAACATTTCTGAATGTTATGTTTTCCACTAAGCCTAACAATTTTGCAAATACAAGTCTTAAAAAACTTTCAGTAATATCACAGTTGAAAAAAGATGGAGAATAGACGTTTCTTACTAATTCTTGAGTTTAAATCAAATTTAAAACAATCATATTGAAAATATCATGACTTGAGCACAGTGTGGCTGAAGATTTGAATGAATTCGTGTGAATTGGCTTATTCTGCTAAAAATACACCAATAATTGTCTGAATATAACCCAATTTGACATAAATATACAAAATGACAAATTAAGAGTCTATTATGATGATTTCATTTGGAATTGTACTTCTCAGTAGTCACAGTAATTGCAAGGTGTGAACTAATTCCCAAAATGGTGCTTGGTTCCTTATTGCTCCGTACCAATAAATTCTCTCAAAAACAACAGGTCTGCTGTGGGCGTCTTGTAGCTCACCATGAAAACATCTGCCTTTGAAGATTAAGGTTGTGGGTTTGATTCCCTGTCACAGATGTTGGATGGTGCTGTAGCAGTTGTTGTGAACACATGCTTAATTATCTTAATCTTAATGAAGGGTCTTTCTTAAAAATCCAACAATTTGCTGCCTTCTGTGTCCAGAGACATAAAATTTATTTATGCTGCTACTTTGTCCTAAAATGGTGTGTGGTTCCTTGTTGCTTCCTTTCAATAAATTGTTTCAAAAATTGCAATTTTGCCGCAGATGTCTTGTGGCTCACCGTTAGAGCCTCCGCCTTTGAACTCTAAGGTCGTGGGTTCGAATCCCTGTCATGGATGTTAAAATGAGTTGCATAGATTGTAGCAGATGTATCACCTAGTGGGCTTAATCATAGGAAAAGGAGATCTTTCTTAAAAATCTAAAGATCTGCTGCCTTCTACGACCAGGGCCCACTACTTCACTCTTCGATGTGTTCCCGGTGCTTGGACCCCACAGATTGCCGCTTGCGGCTATATTTGTTGTTGTTGTTGTTGTTATTACTATTATTATTATTACTATTACTATTACTACTAGCACCTAATAAACTGGCCACTCGGTGTGCACAAACACTTGTCAATGTTCTAGTGGCCACTTGGTGTCCAAACCTTAACATAAATAGCAAAGATTACAAATAACGAGACAAAACAAATATGGAAGTGTTTGTGATTTATGATTTATGAACTAGTACAGCTGAGGAGTGAAAATGCAGCTCAGTGATACAGAATAATTTGCACAAGCATTACAGCAGCACACACCGAGAGAACCCGTAGTGCACGAGAGCTGAGGACAGTGATGATTCCCCCTCTGTTGTAGGGCGTTTGCTAAGAAGCAGCAGCAGCTGAGTGCTCTGAAGGTTCTCCAGAGGAACTGTGCGGCGTACCTGAAGCTGCGGCACTGGCAGTGGTGGAGACTTTTCACCAAGGTGGGTCACTGGACCCTTCATTAATGGGCCCTGTTCTGTTCATAAACATTACAGAACAGTCATGATTCATGTTTTGCATAATTACCTGTTTTTGTTGTTGCATTTAAGACTAATAGGTGTAAATATGCTCTGCTCTGATTGGCTGCCCTGTATTGTGCCTCACTCAGAAGGCAGTCTAGGCTGACGTGCTCCTTATAGCGTAAATGGGGCGGGGCTAAACTGCTGTAGGCTGAAGAGGTGGAATTGTGTAACTGTGTTGGCTTGTGTGACATCACCAAACCAAAGAATTTAAAACTGTGTGGTTTTGCAGCTTTAGTTCCATATATGGGCTTTGAAACGTTTTTTAATCTTAAAATAGTGATATGAGCCCCTTAACATTACACCTGTACAACACTGTGTGTGTAAATTACAGGATATTTTAGTACTGAAAATGACTGACCTGTGTATGTGTGTTTGTGTGTCTCCTCAGGTGAAGCCTCTGCTACAGGTGACCCGTCAAGAGGAGGAGATGCAGGCTAAAGATGAGGAGCTGGTGAAAGTGAAGGAGAGGCAGGTGAAGGTGGAGAACGAACTGGTGGAGATGGAGAGGAAACACCAGCAGGTTAGTGCAGAAACATCAACGGAGTGACGCACAAACCCTGTGCACATTGAAGAACTAGTGCTGACTTTGTCTGACCGACGATCACCTTCCATCAGCTCACTTGTCTCCAGGTGCTCCATGAAAATACAGATTAGATGTACTGTACATTAAGGCTGCACAATATTAACATAAAATGCAGCGTTTGATAAAGCTGTTGCATATCATGATGACGAAATGAGAAGCAATAAATTGTTATTAACATAGTGCAGCTCTGACTGGATGTGACGCAAGTACGTTTGGATGTGTGAACAGAAATCAAATAGCAAAATACAAAATCATAAAAGCGCCGTTTACTGTTGTGTAAAATTTTTCTATAAAGCCTACAAAAACAAACACATTTTCATAGAGACACATGAGAATTAAAAATTTTGGTTTACTTTTGTTTAGTTATTAAATATTTATTGTGACAGTAGCCATCACTGACTCACATAATTAAAACACAGTGTGAGAACAGTCCTCATGTTTGGTGTGTTTTAGAGACGTGTCTGAGGAAACTCATATCGCGATAAAAATATTATTCATTGTACAGCCCTTCTGTGCCTGTTTATGTTGAATAACCTACTCTGAAATATTTATATATATGCATTTGAAAAACAGCTGATGTTTTATTTTGGTTCCCGGTTTTAGTGTAGATCAGTGAAGCTTTTCTAAATTGGTACATGAAACCATTTTGAGGGCAGTGATGGTGCAACATTAGATCGTGTTATGGTGGGACAATAACATTAAAGGGATCTGTAATCTAGGGCTTTTCCTTTCCACTTTACTATGTGCCAAATGTCGCAGCGCCGCCTGAAGGAGTCCTACTCCACCCAGAAGAACTATGAAGGACCCATAGATGTTTTCTGGAGACTTTCTGAATGTGTTTGTGTTGATCTGCAGCTCCTGGAGGAGAAAAACATCCTGGCGGAGCAGCTTCAGGCTGAGACAGAGCTGTTTGCAGAAGCTGAGGAGATGAGAGCTCGTCTCGTGGCTAAAAAGCAGGAGCTGGAGGAGATTCTGCATGACCTGGAGTCCCGAGTGGAGGAGGAGGAGGAGCGGAACCAGACGCTGCAGAACGAGAAGAAGAAGATGCAGTCACACATACAGGTGATACTGTTTTCCATACAGGTGATACAGCAACTGTGGGTGTTCATTAAAGTCCTCACTGGAAACAAAAATTCTGTAAGTCAAGTCAAAATGTAAACAAACTGCAGACTGAAAACACAAAGTCCATTTCTAATTAGGATTTAGTTACGTGTTTTACAGTTGTATAATAAATGTAAATACAATGTCAGTAGTGTAAAGTGGACAGTTTAATTTTCCAGCGTAACACTGACATAGATGACTAGATAACGTGCATAATTTGAAGTAGAAACTAAATAATCCATTCAGTTCTGAATAATTCATAGTAGTTACTGAATAATTTGTTGAAGACACTGAATTTGAATTACTCCATAACCACTATAAATGCTTCAGTATCTAGCACAAAGTACATGTATAATAATTTTGAGTGGTTAATGGATAATTCATAGTAGGTACTGAATAATTCATAATAAATACTGAATAATTCATAGTAGTTACTGAATCGTTCATAGCATAGTTTATAGTCTCAAGAAGAATCGTTTAATAATTAGCCTGAAGTTTAAATAACTTAATGTTACTAAAGTATGGACGTACTCATACAGTTAAGGCTGCATATGTAGGAAAAGAACAGACAGAATAGTGTTTTATCTTTTAGTAAGAATCTGTTTAGTAATCTGTATCATTATTGTCTTGATGATTGATTGATTAATCCGTATTTTCTAAGGCCAAACAATAAAAAATGAACTTTTTAAAGACTGAAATACTTTATGAGAAAAAGCATAAACCAGTAAGCCTTTTAAAAGACTTGATACAAAACTCTATGTAGTAAAAATGCATTTAAATGCGAGTTTCGGTCAGGTCTCATACTGTAAGAGCACAGCAGGAGAATTTAAACACATTTGATTTGTTTCGTAAGTGATACAAAATGTTTCTGTGATGTTTCAGCCTAAATTAGGGGAAGAAACTCATTAAACCTCATTGTTCATAGCAGACCGACTCTGGTAAACAGTTTCAGAAACATGTCTCTGTTTTGGTGCATCACATTTTCCACTCCATTTGCCATATTTATGCATTCTCAGATCTGTTCCGTTTGTTTATTTTTAACCTCAGTAAACCCATGAGTCAGTCTGAGCTGATTTCAGAGTTATCTTGATGATTAATTTATGCTGTTGCATGGAAACAAGCTGTGATTTTGTTCTGGTAACAATATACAGTAATGTACAGCATAAATTAAACAGTGTGGTCATTCACTTTGTATTTATAACCTCATAGATGATTTAATGAGCACAGAAAAGGATGTTTACTAATTTTAATGAGAATAATGTGCGTGTGCGTGTGCAGGACCTCGAGGAGCAGCTGGATGAGGAAGAAGCCGCGAGGCAAAAGCTCCAGCTGGAGAAAGTGACCGCAGAGGCCAAAATAAAGAAAATGGAGGAAGATCTGCTGCTGCTGGAGGACCAAAACTCCAAATTCCTGAAGGTCCGTTTGGGTGTGTTGGTCATAATGAGCGCACTGGTCTTACCAAAAAAAAAAACCTTTAAAGTCAAATTCCACAGTCACATAGTTGTCAAATCCAATACAAAAATATATCCATTCAAATGTTTAAAGCCATCTCTGCTGCTTCTCCCAGTTCCAGGCCAATTAGTTACTAATATCACAACATAACGGCTACCAAACGGAGGCAAGAGCAAAAGCCACGTTTACATGCAGACTGATAATCCGGTAGTAATCCGAATAATTGCTCAATTGGAATAAGAATTCATCCATGTGAACACCCTAAACAGAAAAGTCTAGCTCTGTTGAGTCCATTTGGAGTATAATTTCTGTCTGATTGAATGCTGTAAATAATCTGTTAAATAGAAGAATAATATCTGTGTAAACGCCTGTATCTGATTACATTCCTAATCGAAAAGTGTAAGTACGTTCTGCACTTGTGACTGTACTCAAGTGATGCTCATTGTCATGGTAACGTCAACAGTAAGCGGTTCTGTACGTGTAATTTTGGATCGGATAACTTGTAGTGTGCATGTAAACAGATTTTCTATCAGATTGTTGAGTAGAGTGACCATATAAACACCTCAGTCTTAATCTATAATCGAAATGTATTCAGTCGGATTGGCAAAAATCTTTTCATGTAAACACAGCTTAGACAATGCTTAGAATTATATGGTTATTTGCAACCATTTCACAGGTCTTTCTGAACAAGATGATATGTTTAACATGCACCATATGGCCAAAAGACTGTGGACACCAAATGAGCTTGTTGGACATCCCATTCCAAAACCATGGGCATAGTTCTTGTGCTGATGTTGCTTCCAGAGGCAGAATCACCAGGGCAGAAATTTCACCTGTGACGGTGCTACGTTTAGTCACTTTATTCACCTGTTAGCAATGTGTGTGCCTGAAATACCTGAACTCAGTCATTAGGAGAGTGTGTCCACATACTTTGGGCCACACAGTGTACTTTATAACACCTACAGAGATATGTTCTTGTGTGAAGTAACCGAACGCAGTAAGCCAGCAATCACCTAATATGTATTAGGTAGTGAAGTTAGCTGCTAGTTTAGCTGCATGACTAAGCTGCTGCACAGCTACTGCAGCTTCTGGCCACAATTACAGATTTATACGCTCACTGCTGTCGCTCTTTCAGCTCAGCTGCTCTCTTTATCTTATACCTTTTATGTGTAGGTCACTCTGTAATGCAATACAACAGATTTGAGCACCTTTTTGACGACCATCTTGAGAGTCACGACCCCAGACCAGGAATCATTGGTTTGGTTTTGGGGACACTTGATAATTTATGCTGAGTACCCCCTTGTGGATTTAAGAGAAATAAGCAGTTATTTACAATACAGTATCAGTATCAGCTGTAGCAAATACTGACATTATGAAGCAATTTCTGACACATGCTACCAATTCATGCATTCATTACAGCTTTCGAAATCAAATTCACATAATCATCAAATCCAATGCAAAATTGTCCATTCAAGTGTTTAAAGCCATCTCTGCTGCTTCTCCCAGTTCCTGGCGAATTAGTTAGTAATATCACAACATAACAGCTACCAAACGCAAGCAAGAACAATAGCCATGTTTACATGCAGGCTGATAATCTGAATAATAGCCCAATTGGAATAAGAATACATCCATGTAAACACCTTAATCGGAATAGTCTAGTCCAGTTGAGGCCATTTGGAGTATAATTTGTATCCGATTGAGCAAGGTGGGTAATGCTGTTAACAGTCTGTTAAACAGAAGAATAGTAACCATGTAAACGGCTGTATCTATTACTCTTTTAGCTCAGCTGCTCTCATTATCTTATACCATTATTTGTAGGTCACTCTGAAATGTGTCACAACAGACCTGAGCACCTTTTTTTGACGACCATTAAGACCCCCAGACCAGGAATAACTGGTCTGGTTTTGGGGACACTTGATCATAACATTTACTTAGAAATCTGGCATTCACTGCAGTTATTTAGTCTATTTTCTTGGCAAAGTAATATAATTTATTATTTTATAAATGTTTTAATATTTGGCAAATAAACAAGGGGAAAAAAATACATTTGAGTTCCATCTGGCAGCCCAGTAGATGGAACTTAACTGAAGCAGCAACATGGAATTATTTCCTGTTTGGGATAAGTGAAAGTTGAATAGACAAATATATAATATACCAGTTTGAGCTTGATCAGCTTTTATGTGTTTCCAGAAATGTGTCATATTCAGAATGTAATGTTACAATGTTTTTTTCTCTATTATTATTATTATTATTATTATCACTATTTCTCTCTGCAGGAGAAGAAGCTGCTGGATGAGAGGATCGGCGAGATGACCTCTATGCTGGCCGAAGAAGAGGAGAAGGCCAAGAACCTCGGCAAAGTGAAAAACAAGCAAGAGATGATGATGGTGGACCTTGAAGGTCAGAAATAATAAACTTGTCTGTTTCAGCTTTAAAAACACAGCTTTAACATTTTGGCAGAGCATCTGTGTGACCACTGAGTGATCCTGACGTACGTGTGTGTGTTTTTGTTGCCTCCAGAGCGTCTGAAGAAGGAGGAGAAGACCAGGCAGGAGTTGGAGAAAGCCAAGCGTAAACTGGACGCCGAAACCACAGACCTGCAAGAGCAGATCGCTGAGCTTCAGGCTCAGATCGACGAGCTGAAAATCCAACTGGCTAAAAAAGAGGAGGAGCTTCAGGCTGTTCTGGCCAGGTGAGACCACACCTGTCTGACAGCATCACTACCTAAAAGACTAGACTGGATTCTGTATAGAGTGTGACAGCTCTCAGAAAAGAGGTAGAATCTGATTTGTGGAGTTTCTGTAATTATCATATACAGTTGTATGCAAAAGTTTAAGCTCCATTCTCTGCACATTTTAATGCACAGTTTCTATTTGCTTGTTTAACACACTGGAGAAAAAATAAAATCTAAAATATATAATCCAAATGAATTCGATCATCCAAGACACGTTTGGTGTGTGAATTTAAACCTACTGTCTTAGCACTGGAGCTACGAGATTAATGTAGTTAACGAATAATAAAAGCGTGTACCCCACCAGTTAGCATGTTGCCAACTGCATGTCTCCATTCATCTCATGTTATGTGGTTTGTGACACTGTATGACTCACTGATATCTATAAAGCTGAAAACATTAGCAGCCACCTAGAAGACTGAGTTCTGTCCTTATTTCAGTTCAGAAGTTTGTGAGGTATAAGCTTCCATTACCTGTTAGCGACATTAGCCTCGTAGCTGCAGTAGTAAAACTAAAGAAGCGAATTTCAGACACCAAACATGTCTCAGCTGAGCAGCTAAATGTAGACCAAGATTGAGCGAAGTTTTGTAAATGAGATTTTTCAGCAAATGGTCACTTTAAATACTGTATATCTTAGCTGTAGTCTAAACAGGTGTAAGCAGCCCAATCATTTAAAATCAAATTCTGTGAGCTGTTAGTCGTAGCAGTTGTTAATTCTGATAGAGATGTTTGTAATATTTGGGTTTTAAAGACCCGAACTGCCTGTTTGAGCCTCTAAAGCCTCTTAAACTCCTGCTGACCTGTTAGTGAGAGTTTATGAAGGCTCAGCGGTGGTGGGTTGTTTTGTAGCCTCAGGATCTGTGTACATACGGGGGAATTCAGACTGCGGGATTAGTCACCAGCCACAACAAACAGGCAACTTTATTAAAGCTCTTGCTCCGTATTTCCTCCAGTTTACGTTAGCAGAGCTGACCAAACTCAGACCTGCCACCCCCTAGTGGTGGAGGGAGGAATGTTAGGGTTATTGGTGCAGTTCTTGGAAAGTGAAAAATTGCAGTGATGAATAGTAAAATCCCTAGTGTATTTTACAACACTCATTTGTATAATGCTTTTTACAACTAATGTTGTTGTTGTTGTTGTTGGTAAGTCTTTTAAAGTAAGAATTTAAAATTCCATTACATTTGCAATGTAACATCTCTTTCTTTCAAGCCAAAGAAAAATGGATTTGGATGGCAACAGTAACGTCCCAATAACATCCCAATGGAGGAAAGTTTTACCAAACTGTCAGCTTTGAGGATTTTTGTTCATGTGTTTTTTCCGTGTCTGTAACAGGGGCGATGAGGAAGTGGCCCAGAAGAACAATGCTCTGAAGCAGGTCCGGGAGCTGCAGGCCCAGCTGGCCGAGCTGCAGGAGGATCTGGAGTCGGAGAAGGCTGCTCGGAACAAAGCGGAGAAGCTCAAACGGGACCTCAGCGAGGAGCTGGAGGCGCTGAAGACTGAGCTGGAGGACACACTGGACACCACGGCCGCTCAGCAGGAGCTCAGGTACACCATTGATACGCACATTGGGGGCTGCGGTGTGGCTGTTAGGGAGTCATGCATCTAAAAAGTTACCTTTTTAGATGCAGGTTTTATCCTGACCGCAGCAATATGCTTATCGAGTATATTTTCTACACAGCAGTTCAGAGTTTGAGCATTTATTATTGCACATGATGCATTTTGTAGGTTTTGTGATATTTAGGAAAAAAGCCGAATGTGGTCTTGTAGTCAAGACTGTTGCTGTAATTATTGTAGCTGAGTTTGTGACTGCATTGCAGTTTAGTATGTCTGTTTGTGTTCTGAGGTGTTTTTCTTCTGTGCAGGACGAAGAGAGAGCAGGAAGTGGCTGAACTGAAGAAGGCGATCGACGAAGAGGCTCGAAACCACGAGTCCCAGATTCAGGAGATGAGGCAGAGACACGGGATGGCGCTGGAGGAGATCTCAGAACAGCTGGAGCAGGCCAAACGGGTCAGACACCGACATGCGATAACTACGGTCATGTGCAAAAGTTTGAACACGCCCCTCCCGCTTCCAATTGTAAAATGCAAATAAAAACGCAAGGCAGTGATTTATAGTCTACTTTGAACTGTATTTTAACAACAACATTACAAAGACAAGTTTGATGTTCTACCTTATCAGCCTCATCGTTTTTTTAATATATGCTCATTATGAAATTAGTGCCTGCTACATATTTCAAAAGAGTAACAGGAGCAATTTCAGACTAGGAACATTGTGAAAAGTGGAAAAAAAAATCTTTAACAGGTGATGCAGTCATGCTTAGGCATAATAGAAGCATCCAGGAAAGGCCCAGCCCTTTATGAGCGAGGATGGGTCAGGGCTCACCACCTTGCCAAAAATGCATCAGCAAAAAATACAGCAGTTTAAAAATAACTCAAATGTGTATTTTTTTCCTGTATATCTATAGGAAACAGTGATTTTCATAAAGTAATGTTATTTTTATTTTTTTTTCCGTTTTCAGGTTAAATACAGGTCAGACAGAACTTACTAATCACTGCTTGCTGTTTATGAGCATTCCACACACTGTCACAATTTTTCTGGAACTTGTTTTGTAAGTTAACACATCCTCTACAGAGAACACACTTAAATAGGCTATTTTTCTGCATATTTATTCTGTTTATTTGCAGAAATAATACCAAACATAAAATGTGCCACATTAGCTGTGTATTAAAATGTGTGTGTCTGTAGAAGATGTGTAACTTATTTACACTCAGAAAATAAACAAAACATAGAATTTGACCAAACATTCACATCAGACTGTAAATACAATAGTTGTCATTCTGTAGTAAACTGACTGTTTTGTTATTGTATGTTTTGTTAATGTCTCGGTGTGGAGTGACAGAGTGTCGTACTGTGTTGTGTTGCAGTTTAAGTCTAATCTGGAGAAGAGTAAACAGACTCTGGAGGGCGATAATAAGGAGCTGGCGAGTGAGGTGAAGGTTCTGCAGCAGGCAAAACTGGACTCTGAGCACAAGAGGAAGAAGCTGGAGGCTCAGCTGCAGGAGGTTCTGGCCCGCGTTACTGAAGGAGAGCGGACCAAGGGCGAGCTCGCTGACCGCACTCACAAACTACAGGTCAGAGTCAAATAGCTGGTTCTCCTAGTTTGACGCTTCGTCCCGTCCGTAACTGTGCAGGCTGAAGTCCAGCTGCAGTGCTCTGTATGAGCTCTGATAGAATCTGTGATTGTAGCTCTCGTTCAAATACGGCTTTTAACATTCAGCAGACAGACTGAGTTCACTCTATGGAAATCACATGACTTTTGTGTTTTCTGTCTGACAGAACTAACAGAAACAATTCATTATTACAGTTCTTGTTACATTAACTTCCATTATAAGTTAAGAATGTTTTTGCCTTCTCCTGTATTGTTTTTTGGAGACACAAGGTTTTGTTCTGAAAGCGATAAGTTAGTGTTTTGATCTGTGTTTTATTGTGCTTTAGCTGCCATTGTTCTCAATTCTCCATGTCTGTTCATCTCTACTTTAGTTCATCAGAATCAGAATAGTTGTTGTTGGCGTAGGAGGTCACTTATGTGTAATTTGTTTTGCTCACATTGAGGAATTAAATAGACAGATAGAGCACAGATTAAACAGTCGCAAGGCAGTTGCTAGGGTGCTGCCAAATGCTAGGGTGGCTGCCATTCTTGGTTGTTGCTAGCGTGTTGATAGCCATTTGGTATGGTTCCCCAGTTTATTGCTAGGTGGTTGCTATAGTATCCCTGATGGTTGCTAGAGGATTCTATGGTACCCCATATGGTTAATAGGGTGTTGCTAATGAACTCGACTCATCGTGATAAAAGATGGGTTCACAAATTTTTGCACCCCATTCATTGCTATTCATTCTGAAAACTGGCGGACGAGGACAAAAATTCAGAAAAAAAGTAAGAAGTAGAAGTCTAATAACCTTTGGATAATAATAACGTTTAGTTATCCCTAATAAATGACTTTGAAGATTTTCAGTGTCCAAAGAAAAACCCTGTCCAGTACTGACCCTCTGTGTTTCTGTGTGCGTGCACAGACGGAGCTGGAGAATGTATCTACTCTGCTGGAGGATGCGGAGAAGAAGGGAATAAAGCTGGCTAAGGACGCCTCCAGCCTGGAGAGCCAGCTGCAGGACACACAGGTAACCTGAACGCTCCAAAACAGTGAGGTGTGTTTGTGCAGCAGCTCCTGACTGACACCCTGACTGTCTGTGATGTCTGGCTGTAGGAGCTCCTGCAGGAGGAAACGCGTCAGAAGCTGAACCTGAGCAGCCGAATCCGTCAGCTGGAGGAAGAGAAGAGCGCCCTGCAGGAGCAGCAGGAGGAGGAAGAGGAGGCACGTAGAAACCTGGAGAAACAACTGGCAACCTTGCAGTCTCAGGTACACATTCACACACCTTCATATTCACATCTGCTCTTTTTTTCTCACTTTTGAGTTTTGACTAAATAAGTTTACTGAGGAAACTGTCTGTGGTGACGGACTGTACGCTGCAGGTGAGAAAAGGGTTCTTCTATCGTTATAATGTCAGGCTTGTTGAAGAACACTTTTTGTGGCTACATAGAACCATCTACAGCACATTGTTCATCAATCTGAAGAACAATTTCATGAGGCAAAGAACCCTTTAATCATGCAAAGGATTATTTGAGTGTTCATGGTTCTATATTGAACCATTTTCTTTACTAAAGAACACTTGAAGAACCATCTTTTTAAAATGTGTAGCACAACGAGTCTTACATAATTATGGCATTTTAGTTCAAGTTCAGCAGCAGGCAGGATGTGAGAACATCTCATCTAATTAATTATCCCCTTCCTGCATCACTGCTCGTCAGCTTCAGTCTATGATTGGTCATTTTGCTCGTCAGTCAAACGGCCCTCTCTTGTAAAAGTAGGTGGTTCTTGGCTGATGTTGGGCAGTGAGACCCACCAGGCTTTCTGACAGAATTTCTGGCGTACGTGTAATAACCGCTGAATAGTCTCTGATCTGTGTTCCTGCAGCTGTGCGAGACGAAGAAGAAGCTAGAGGATGACGTCGGAGTTGTGGACGCTCTGGAGGAGGTGAAGCGGAAGCTGCAGAAGGACATGGAGGCCACCAACCAGAGACTGGAGGAAAAGGCCATGGCCTACGATAAGCTGGAGAAGACCAAAACCCGGCTTCAGCAGGAACTGGACGACCTCATGGTGGATCTGGACCACCAGAGACAGATAGTCTCCAACCTGGAGAAGAAGCAGAAGAAATTTGACCAGGTAAACGTGAGAGGTTTAAGTTCTGTATGTTTTGAAAGACGAGTGCAGGTTCCAGAATGAAGTTAAACAGACAAACGAGGATGTTAGTTTGTTTGTTATCGCTTTCATTGTTAGGATTGTGATTTAGACAGTGCTCCAGACGTTACTGATAGACAGCCAGTTACTGTGTATTATCAACCAGATAACATCAATTATTAGTTTTATTGGAGTAGTTAGACTGTAGGTGGTATGCAATTAATTTACACAAATGTTTAGGTAAATATTATAGTAGCTCCATGTTTTCTGTTGTTAATCTAACAATTTTAAGTTTGAACCACACTTTGAATCAGCTTAGGGTTAGAAAATGGAAAACAACAGAAATAAAAATGACGGCACTTGAAGTTAGATTGAGATGGAGGCTTTCTGTGGTTGACTAATTATAGAAGCCCATCAAGTAGACAAATGGAGCACTGTTAGTAAACAGTGCATATAATAAACAACCAAAAAGGGTGTCACAAAATATTCACATTCTCGGATATATGAACTAAACAGAATGCATGTACCAGGATAACTGGGATATGACTGAAGGCCTATTTGGACAGGATTAGTTTTATATGGCAAGGTGGGTAATGTAATTATCACCAGTGTTTCTCAGCGATTTTAATCGTATCTGAATGCACCATATCAGTCATTATAACCGACTGAGTGCTCAGTAAAGATTCTGGCACCTTTTACCTCCCATAAAACAAGGGGCAGAAGTAACCTCAGGTTACATTAATCCTGTGCAAATGGACATTTCAGTAAAAACACCATCGTATCCTGCGGAAAGTAGGTCTGGGCGATTGGGCGATGTAATCAGATATCATTGAAGATGGACAAGTAACCCAATGGCGATGTGTAAAAGGCGATAATCACTATTTTGGTTAAGGAACTGGCAGAAAAAGAGGACTAATTTACTGCTAAACAGCTTGGAAAATGCGATGGGAAACTGGGGTTTACATTTAAGAAGTAAGTGGGCAAGACTGAGAGGGAGAGAGGTTTGTTAAGGAACCGCCCACGTTATTCCTCTCCGCTACACACTGTAATTCTAGCCTTACTGCACAGATTCCCCTTACTTTATGTGAATGGAATTAAAAATGAATGCCGATGTGCTTTGGATCTTCAGCCTCAAAGTGACTCATTGTTTTAAAACTGAAATGACTGCAAGCTGGAGAGAAAGTTCCTCTGATCCTCGTCTAAGGTGTTCTCAGAAAAAGGCAATAATACATTATGTTAATTAATAATAATATTATATACACAGTGTTTTTTTATTCACTTTTACTCTCATATTATTGAGTGATAATGTGGCCTTTAAAGATGCGGTAAACTAAACTCTGTACTGTGAGCAATATTTTCTGTACAGATTAAGTACTATGAAAATGCTGCTCTGACGACAGAAAGCATGCTAATTTTAAGATATTGTCCAGGCCTGGGGGAAAGGGAGTATCTTAAGTATGGAGGCTCAGAGAAGTGCTTACTTATGTTCTCTGACAAAGCTTCTTATTTGCCAGCTTCTTGTACAAATTTGCCACTGTTCCACTTTAAATGGTGCAGCAGTTAATAATAACGCCTGAGGCAGCAAAATGTAACTGCTGCACCATTTAAGGTGGAACGGGTAAATTCAAACAAGATGCTGGTGAATAGAAAGCAGAGTTCAGCCTCGTTGTCCTCTGGGGCTAAAGTCAGGTGTAACGTCCTGCCTCACATGTACAGTTCAAAACGTAAAAAATTACAGAAGCAAGTTTGATTTTATGTGGTGGTGTGAATTCCCAGCTAATGGTGCACTGTATTCACAAAATAATGGCTAAATTCAGTGTTTTAACATGTTTCGAGTCACCACTCTCATCTCTGTCATTTAGACCAATATTTTTTATCCCTTGCGAATCGCTCATAAGCATTACAGACAGTAAACTGGCATTACTCACTTCCCCGTGGAAAACTAATGCTTTCCAAATAGGGCTAAACAGGTGCTAAGGATTTCAGCTAAGGAACAGACTTATGGATACTGCTCCATAGTACATACTATAATGCTAAAATACATGATAACACTAAATTATAATATAATATGCCTTGCAGAGTTCACATTTATGTTCACCTCTGATGTTTAATATGGCTGTGCTGTGTGTAGATGCTGGCGGAGGAGAAGAGCGTATCGGCGCGTTACGCTGAGGAGCGAGACCGAGCAGAGGCCGAAGCGCGGGAGAAAGAGACGAAGGCACTATCGATGGCCCGAGCGCTGGACGAAGCACTGGAGGCTAAAGAGGAGTTCGAGAGGCTGAATAAGCAGCTGAGGGCCGAGATGGAGGATCTGATGAGCTCCAAGGACGACGTGGGAAAAAACGTGAGTTACTGAGCCACAAAAACAGAAATACCTTGATCGCCATGTAAAAACACATCTTTCCCCCATCCATTTATCAGAAGCAGTTATACTAGGCACCAGACTGCAACTGCTGCTCCATGTAAAGTGGAATTCCACAATTTTTTCAGAATTCCTGCAGAATTAAATGAGATGTAAACAGAGTGATTCAGAGTGGTTTGGTGTAAAATGCTTCAGATTTCTTTACAGTGGTGGTGATAGGAACCAGAGGTCACCATGACTACAACACAAATATAGACATTTTATTTACTATTCAAACCACCAGTGAACCTACACGTGTCTTCTGAGTTTTATATGGAATGTTGATGAGAAAATAGTGAAAAATCTGAAATACATTTTCTTTGGGGGCTATTTTTCCTCACAGCACCCTGCATATTATGTATCCCTCCACCATGAATGGATTTTAGGGCCAAAATCTTCTCAAAACTATCATAAAACAATGTCTCAGTCATCGGGCAGTGAATTCATAACCATTTCATGTAATAACTTTCTGTGAGGGAGCTTTTAGAGGTGGATGTCTGGTTCCTATCACCACTGCTGTGAACAGTTCTGACTCAGCAAGTTTCTCTTGAAACCAAACCACTCTGAATGACTCCATTTGCATCTCAACCATCTAATTATGCAAAGATTTAGAAATATCAGTGGAATTCCACTTTAACCTTTTCTATATCACTGTTCGAATAATGGCACACTTCCGTCATGCAGAGTTTTTTTTACATCATTTACGCATTTATGCAATATACCATTAGAAAGCTTGAAATCTCAGGATTCTATTCTCGCAAAGCGATTGTGATCTATTATTTGCAGCAGTTACGATTGCCTCATTTGCAACACAAGCACCAAACAAGCATACACTAGCAAATCTGCAATTTAAGATTTGAGCTGTGACTCAGTTGTGCTTTGTTAAGTAGGAGGTGAAGGTGAAGCAGGCTAGAGGAGCCTAGAGGAATAGGCATTTATTGGTTTAGAAATCTGAGTCAGGCCTAAATAAACTCCTCCATTGTAGCCTCTGTTACTCTGTCAGTAATTGATAGTTATTCTGACTGTGTGGACAAAGACCCGTGAATGTTACCTTTCAAATGAGAGCAGGATCTTGAAGGTAGCCCAAAACGTGTGAGAACAGATGCTCTGTTCATTTTGGGTATGCCATTACAAGCTTGAACACTTGAGGCGCTTTTCCACTGCATGGTACCGGCTCGACTCTATTCACGTTTTTTGGTTTTCTATTAGGCAAAATTTGGTAACTGATGCTCAGCATCTTCTGAACAAAATCTTCTTCACGTCTCGCCAGTTTTATTTGCTGTGACTATGACAACCAGCTACATTGAGACTATATCTGCAGTGGAAAACAAAGTAGCTGATACCAAAAGAGAGTCGAGTCGAGCCGAGTCAAATTGAGCTGGTACCATGCAGTGGAAATGCGGCTTTGGAAAAAAGGGGGCAACAATTAAGAGGTTAAGTGAGTTCTCTGTACTCGGTGGCTGGTTACTAAAGGCTGAATAAATTCTCTGTGTGTGTGATCAGGTTCATGAGCTGGAGAAGTCCAAACGTACGCTGGAGCAGCAGGTGGAGGAGATGCGCACTCAGTTGGAGGAACTGGAGGATGAGCTGCAGGCCACAGAGGACGCCAAACTGCGCCTGGAGGTTAACATGCAGGCCATGAAGGCCCAGTTTGAGCGTGACCTGCAGGCCAGAGATGAACAGAATGATGAGAAGAAAAGAATGCTGGTCAAACAGGTAAATTCCACTCCTGCTGGACACCTGGGAGAAAAGATTTAGTTCAGGCTCAGTGAAAACCTCAATACAAATATAATTCAGTCGAGAGATGATTTAGTTCAGTCCTCACCAACTCCTCATGGTCTTGTAGATCTCAAGTTCACCCATTAGACAGAAGATTCAATTCAGTACTCCAGTTTGGAGAGAAATTATTCAGTTTAGCCCTCCAATTTTCAGCACTCAGTTACATCCTCAGTACAGTATTCAGTAGATAGATGGTTCCATTCATTCTTAACAGTGTAGATGATTAAGTTCAGTTTCGGTTCATTCTTTAACCCAGCGGTTATAGAGAGAGATGAATCTGTTTAATCCTCAATAATGGAATTCTCAGTTCAACCCTTAATACAGCAGCTATTCAACAGAGAGATGATTCGATTCAGTAGGAAACTAATTAGATTCAGTAGATAACTGATTTGAATCAGTGGAGATGATTCCTTTCAATTCAGAAAGATGATTTAGTTCAAACCTCAATTATTCAAATCTCATTTTAACCCTTAGTTCAAAAAGCATTATAGGGCTCTTTTTTTATGGAGTAATAAGCCACGTCACCCCCTACACTTCCTGTAGTGTATTACAGTCTGTCACAATGACTGTGTGGATCACATGAACATCATAGAGCATTACAACTTGAATGGGATCGAAGGTCAGAAGGCAGCTGTGGGACAGTAATTACAGAAATTAATAAAAACTTTATCACGAGTGTGAAAAGTGGCCTTTTCTAATCTTTGCCCCCAGGTGCGTGAGATGGAGGCGGAGCTAGAGGATGAGAGGAAGCAGCGTGCGCTGGCTGTGGCGGCTAAGAAAAAGCTGGAAATGGACCTGAAGGATGTTGAGGCTCAGATTGAGGCAGCTAACAAGGCTCGGGATGAGGCCATCAAACAGCTGCGCAAACTCCAGGTGCTGCATGCCCTCCACAACACAGACGGCAAATCAGACGCATTTAAACATTGTTTATTAACGTTTTTAAGAACGAAAGAAATAATAAGCATGTATACTACCATTCAAAAGTTTGGAATCCCCGTTTTCATGAACATAAAGCCAGTCTTGTTGCAGATAAACATATGAAATGAATCTAATATGATGCTACTATTCTACAACTTTTTCAAATCATTAGTGTAAAGTTGTAAATGAAGTGTTAGATGTGTTTAGATTGATGACCAGAGGTGTAGATGATTCCTTAATGACTGAGAAATCTGCAGAACATTGAGAATATATATATATATATATAGACTTGAAATAGCAGGTGTTATTTGTCGTGGTCGACTAATTTTGCTGTTGTGGGTTTTGCTTGCAGGCTCAGATGAAGGACTATCAGAGGGAACTGGAGGAGGCTCGAGCCTCTCGAGATGAAATCTTTGCCCAGTCAAAAGAAAACGAGAAGAAGCTCAAGAGTCTTGAGGCAGAGATATTACAGCTGCAGGAGGTGATTATGTACAAACACATGCACTATATAGCCAAAAGTATGTCCTAGTTTCAGTCACACCCATTGCACACCCATAACAGGTGGATAAAATGAAGCACACAGCCTTGCAGTCTCAATAGACAAACACTGGCAGTAGAATGGGTCGCAGTGACTTTAAACATGGCAATTTTTTTTTTTAAATCAGTTATAACATTTAATAATGTATGTATGTGTATTTGTAGGACCTGGCTGCATCTGAGAGAGCACGGCGTCATGCAGAGCAGGAGAGGGACGAGCTGGCAGACGAAATCTCAAACAGTGCCTCTGGGAAGTGAGTTACTGCCTCAAACTCACTCTTTATACTTTAGAGTTGTGTGATTTTATGGGATTATCAGTTTACCATTTAAAATACTAATGTATGAGTTTAGTCATAAACCTATTACCACAAATAAGTGCCGATAATACAGCGTAACACAGTGTACGTTATGTTGGCCTGTTTAGCTCCGTCGTTCAGGTGGATCTGTGGTCTAATGACCTGGACCTCTGCTGCAGACAGCATGAATGATGAAATATTTACTAAGCTCCAGCAGACTCTGATGCTTTTACTGCACCAGAGAAGTTTATACCACAGGTTCATCTGTGTACAGATCAAGTCAGAGCTGAAACACATTTAGGACTTTGAACTGATCTTGGACTTTTGACTAAAATGCTTTTGCTCTGAGTGACCCTATCCCTTAATTGTGTTTATTTTATTAAAACCTATGATTGGACATTTCATTTTGTTTACCACAACAATCATAACTCTACCCAAACTTTGCCAAGTGTTTAAGTAATGATTGTTTTGGTTCACACAGAAGATCATCACATTTTTCATTAAAACACTAAAAAGTTCTTAACTGAAGAAAATATGAAAATCCTTAATGTTCCACACTGATTTTCAGAATTTGGGACACATTTACTTCAAAACAATGGGATCTAACTGCTCACCATGTGGCCATGAGGGACAGGGATGCAGCCTCACTTCCTGCTCTAAAATACAGGGGCGTGATGAAAATAAGTCTCCACCTTTAGACTAAAATATGAAAATGTGGGACATTTTTGGAATAAAGTTTTTTTTATTATTATTAAACTCAAGATAGATATAAATATTTTAACCTCAGTTTAAAACGGATAATTTTTATCTTTTTCAAAGAGCATTGAAAAATTAATGCAAAACTTAAGTATTATTTAGTTAAAATTAGGTTTTAGGGTTTAGGACAGACTCCTCCCAACAGAAAATGCCCTATAAATTATGATTTTGTAAATAATTAACCTTATTACTGTCTCTGTTTTGTGTTTAAATACATCAGAATATAATGACTGTAAATGACTGGGTTCCTGTACCAAAAAAAGTCTTTTTTTCCCCCTATGACTGTTTGTTCTTTAGAATTAAACAGGCTGTTATTGTTACTGTGCCTTTAAGACTGAAAAATAGAAATGAGCTCTCTTCTAATTGTTTGATGCATTGTGACTCATTTAAAAAGCAGTCTGTGCTGAAACACTCCTTCTAACTTCAGCATGAATGGGCTAAACCTGCTGTCTGCTGCAGGCTGAATAGGTGGAAGTAGGACATCATAAAAACAATGAATTTGTTTTTCTCAAGCTTTTATGTCTAAAATGGCTTTATTAGAAATTTTTGTTGATGGGGTTAATTAATTGATCATTTATTTAATGGGTAATTGAATCACCAAATAATTGAATACATAACTGAGTGTATGAGTGAATGAGTGACTTGTCTGTTTTGTGTGTGTGTGTGTGTGTGTGTGTGTGTGTGTGTGTGTATTAGGTCTGCTCTGCTGGATGAGAAGCGCAGGCTGGAGGCTCGAATTGCTCAGCTGGAGGAGGAACTGGAGGAGGAACAGAGCAACATGGAGCTCCTCAATGACCGCTTCCGCAAGACTGCCATGCAGGTACGAATTTGTACGGCATTAAGTCTAAAAATAATAAAGAAATGAAAGAAATCTTCTAGCTAGAGACAGTGAGTTTGTGAAGTTATCTGATAAATTCACTAAATAAAAGTTTTCTTATAGTAAATCTGTACAGTAAAGAGTGAAGTGATGTCAAGTTTGATATTTATCAGAGCTTTTCTATTTCTAGCCTTAAATGGCTGCAGTTGACAGTGTGCGGTAGTCTTTAGACATTGTGGGATAGCCTTTAGACAGCTGCAGTAAACTTTAGATGGTGTGCGGTAGTCTTTATACAACTACAGTATCCTTTAGACGGCATGCGGTAGTCTTTAGACAGTGTGTGGTAGCCTTTAGATGGCGTTTGGTAGCCTTAGACAGCTGCAGTATCCTTTAGACAGAGCGCGGTAGCCTTTAAACAGCATTTGGTAGCTTTTAGAGGACTGCAGTATGCTTTAGACGGCGTGTGCTAGCCTTTAGACAGTGTGAGGTAGCCTTCAGACAACTGCAGTATCCTTTAGTCGCAGTGCGGAAGCCTTTAGACTGTATGCAGTAGCCTTCACACAACTGTGATAAGCTTTAGACGGCTGCAGTAGCCTTTAGGTGGTGTGTGGTGGTCTTTATAGACAAGTGCAGTAGTCTTTCTGCTTCCTTCACTTTCCTCCTTCCTTGCCTCCTACAGCAGTGCTGCAGTAATCTCGAGATTCTTCCAGCTTATAGGCTGTAAAAACGTCTGATTATGTACCCTGAAGGTGTGAGGAATGCAGCCATTAGTTACGCCGTGTTTGTGTGCAGGTGGATACTCTGACCACAGAGCTGACCGGAGAGCGCAGCGCAGCCCAGAAGAGCGAGAACGCCCGGCAGCAGCTGGAGAGACAGAACAAGGAGCTGAAGGCCAAACTGCAGGAGCTAGAGGGATCCATCAAATCTAAATTTAAAGCCAATATCACCGCCCTGGAGGCCAAAATCCTGCAGCTGGAGGAGCAGCTGGAGCAGGAGGCCAAGTGAGTACAAACAAACACTCAAGGTTTACTGCCAGACTAAAGAGAGTAAATGGATAGCCCACCTTGCAGTGTTGGAAAAAATGGGTTTATATGGGTTTATAAAACTAAAATAAACAGAAAATCAAAATAATAATTGAAGTTTGTTGTGGTGTCAGGGAGCGGGCAGCGGCCAATAAGATTGTCCGGCGCACAGAGAAGAAGCTGAAAGAAGTGTTCATGCAGGTGGAGGATGAGCGTCGCCATGCTGACCAGTACAAGGAGCAGGTGAGACGCCAACATCACAGTTACTGCACAAAACTCAAAGTATATTCATTCTAATGGCACAATTGTAAGACCTCCAGGTCACTATTAGGTACTTTTAGCTCTGTCCTTCTCCTGTTGGTGGATTTTTAGCCCTGCTGTTTTCATAGTGGTGGATTTTTAGCCCTGCTGTATTCCTTGTGGTGGATTTTTTAGCTCTGCCGTTCTCCTGTTGGTGGATTTTTAGCTCTGCCGTTTTTCTATTGGTGGTTGATTTTAGCTCTGCTGTTCTTAAAGGCTTAAATCCTTTTGTCATCAGTAATTAAACGGCACGCTGAGCTCTAACACACCAATTTTACGAAACCACTAGAATTGCAAGAATTGCATTTTTTTTGTCTCCAGCAATACTATGCTGGCGAAAGTCGGCGTGAAAGAGTTCCGGCAAATTCAGGAGTTTGAGTGCATACTGAAGCTGAATGTGTGAGTCTGTATGATCTGTGTTTAGATGGAGAAGGCGAACTCTCGCATGAAGCAGCTGAAGCGTCAGCTGGAGGAGGCGGAGGAGGAAGCTCAGCGCGCTAACGCCTCCCGCAGGAAGCTGCAGAGAGAGCTGGATGACGCTACAGAGGCGAGCGAGGGGCTGAGCAGAGAGGTTAACACCCTCAAAAACCGTCTCAGGTAACACAAACACGGTACACACCTGTTTCACACACCTGAGAAAACTAGATTTTAAAAGGATGTGTAGTTGTTCAGTGTTGATTTACTCTATTAGAAAAACCCTGTTAGAATAAATAGAGATTAGTTAATACAGCAGTGATTTAGTGTTTAACCATTTCCTGCGCAGTATTATCTGTAATCACCACCCAGTACCTGTTTTATCTCCTCAGTACTACATTAGATTAAATCAGGTGCTGCTGATGGTATTTAATAAGTGTATCCAAATATTTGCTCATAGGCATTTAGTAGGGCAGGGTTAGAACGTCTGTGTGGATCAGGCCAAACTGTTGTAATATTTCTGTCTAATATTGGCAAATTTCTAGCAGATATTACTTTTTCATCCTGAACTTCAGAATTAACACTTTACACGATTTCAAACTAGTTTGTACACTCTTAAAGAAGATGGTGCTTCAAGGGTTCTTTAGTAAAGAAAATGGTTTTATATAGAACCATGAACACTTAAAGAACCTTTTGCATGATTAAAGGGTTCTTTGCATGGTAGAAGCCTTGTTCTGATTGATAGAAAATCTTCTATTGTTTCAAGCTTGACACCGTAACAGTAGAACAACCCTTTTTGGTGCTATATAGAACCAAAAATGTTCTATATAGAACCATCTACAGCACATTCTCCGTCAATCTGATGAACTCTTTCACGATGCAAAGAACTCTTTAATCATGCAAAAGGTTCTTTGAGTGTTCGTGGTAAAATGTGTAGCCTTGAAATGTTGTTAATTAACTTCTGAAATTGTAACTATTGCTGCATCATCAGTATTTATTAACCTCTACATAAATAGCAGTCAGAATTTCTTTATTTCGTCACCTGATGGATATATGATATATCTGTGTAATGCATGCTGGGTATTGTAGTGATTAACATTTAGATGCTAGATTTAAGTCAGAACGTCTCTTTTTGTTGTTGTTGTTGTTGTTGTTGTTGTTGTTGTTGTTTTGCTCGGTTAAAGCTACACTAAGTAAGACACCAAGTCATCATTTGAAATCCAGAGGTTTTGAGTTTTTCACATCACGTTGTATGTCTTTACACATTAACATCAGGCCCAAAAAGTATCTCTGGCTTGATGTTTCAGCCTCAAACAATCTCAAAATCAACATTATACTGATATGATGACTGTAGTAGATAATTCACTCACATCCTCAGAAGACGCGTCCTTCACCAAGAGTCCTCTTATAATACCCTTTCAATCGTCAGAGTCATCCACCTGGGGAAGGACAACCCACGTCTTCCGCACACGGGGGGTGCAGTTACAGATTTCCACCAGAGAGGTCTCCAAATCCCTAAAACTTACATAATGCACCTTTTAAGTAAAGTCAGTGGACCTCATTTACCAACCGTTCTTAAGAAGAAATTTCTTCTTCAAACCCACTTAAACAGTTTTAATGAAGATTCTGACATTCACCAGTGTTTTATTATTTGGGATTTGTTCTTATGTAAGAACAGAATCTACACACACTCGAGCACAAAGGCGAGAACAGTTGTGTGCTTTAAGAACACGTCATGTCTGACGTAGACTTTTTCTTAGGACCTTTCTCAAGAACACGCTTAAGAACAAACTCAGGAGGATACTGGTGAATGTTGACAATTTATACTGTATTTATTCACTTGTTGCAGGTCGTCACAGTGTGAATTACTGCCATGGCAAATCCCAAGACCTCCAATCTGGGAACTTATTCACCCTGAAATAAATCTGTGTAACATAGAATTTTTTCTCCCCCTTATAGACGCGGAGGCCCGGTCAGTTTCCCCTCGGGTCGCTCTGGCCGCAGGCAGCTGCAGATGGAGGGCGAGTGTTCCGATGACGACGCCGAAAGCAAAGCCAGCGATGTGAACGAGACCCAGCCTGCCCAGCCTGAGTAGTTATAGTGTCCCCCTGTGGTCCTGCAGTGCTATTACACCTTCTACCCCAAAACAGTCAGCACGCCAGAAACCGTAACATGTAACCCAGTTCGTTCTGCTGCTCGCGTGGTGGAGAGCAGGACTGAGGGTCCACACACACACCTCTCTAAACACATTTATACACACATGACTCCTCCACACACCTGCGTTCTGTCTACAAGCCTAAGCTGCAACGAGCATGAGAACGATTCAGTACATACGGTCATTCCCTTCATATTCAGGGAACCTCAACTCTGCCTTACTCAATGCAGCAAAGCTTCAAGGTTGAGTGGAGTTTTGTTCTAATTAGCAATCTGTTGTAATGTTAGCCTTCAGAATAATTGCTTAAGGTGAAAACACTATAGGTACAAGTGCATTTTATATGTTCAGTTTTTTTGTGCACACAGTCATACATGAGCAGCAACTCGAGTCTAGTATAAATAAATAACGATAAAGCCACTGCTTAGCTAAAGCAAGACAGGTCTGGCGTTAGAGTACGATGTGAAATTCCAACGAAGCACAGGTTCTGAGTGTTTTTGGCTGGCGGAAGTATGTGTTAGAGATGCATGGACTTCTGTTTTCTACAAGTAATAGAGAAAAAACACAAAAATGTACATGTAACCGGCCGAACCTGTGGCTGCTTCGAATTGGATTGAAAAGTGAAGAAAAAAACTGTGAAAAAGCTACTGCTTAAGCTTCTGCCCACATTAGACAAACAAAAACACTAAGATGAAAGTACCTTCAGTCATTTCCGTTCATCCTCATTCTATTTGGGACACTTGATTGTTGAAGTATTGGGAGAGATTCCGATAAGTGATGGTATTAGACGTTGACGAAACTGGATGTAAATGCAAGATGCGAAATGCTTTGTAACTGCACATTTACTACAAGCCATACGAGGCAAAACTGGAAAGAAATCCGTACATTTTGGGAGAATGTGCACATCCACAAAAAAAAGAATAATTTTTTTGTGAAGGTTTCTTCGGAAAATATCTCATCAAATGTGTGAACTATTAGCTGCTTTATTAGACACTCCGAGAAGTGCTTTAGTACATGAAGGGAAACCGACAGAAGTGAAGGAATCATTTCGTTCAGTGGGATCATCTCGTTCACTGCTGATTTTGACTGGAACACTAACATCAAAACACATTGATGATTCACAGGCACTTAGTTCGATTTGAATCATAAACCTGAGCCCTTGAGCTTCAGCCCAAAATGTATAGAAGAGCCACTACAGTTCTCAAACACACTATTATTTCTCAGTATCAGTATTATAAAGATGATGGATTAGAAACGATACTCACCTGCTCCAATATTAGTATTTAATAATGTTTCTTTAAAAAGTGCCTTAGTCACTAATTAAGAAAATATCCATGAGTTAAATGCATTGTACATCTATAATGGTGTGTATACAAGTGCAACACTAACATGAAGGCAAAACTGGCAAAACAATATAAGAATAATAAAAAAAACACTACGTAACCCTTTCTGTTTTGTATTTTACTGTGCTTTGAATCATATCCGTTATCTAAGTCTCTCTTCCCTAGTCTTCTAGGTAAGCCATGGGCCAGCTTCAGTGTTATCTGTAGGAGTTGGAACCCTCTGCCTTGGCTGCAGAGGGAGTTGCAGGATTTTATTTGGTTAAAAGCTTTACCCCTCCACGATCTAGTTACTATTATTACAATTATCATTATTATTGCTATTGTTATCACTCTTATTATTGGGCTGGCTGTTGACAACCAGACATTCAACTGCAAATATATCTCTCCTTTTTTTCTTGTATACTGTTACTGTATTTCTAGACAACAGTGATTTTTGTAAAGGAAAAAAAAATAAAACCTTCATTATAGAAGAAATACGGTTTTAATGTTTCTGAGTGTCAAGATCTCGGTGATTGTTCATGCAGGGCTTGCTTCAGCCAGGCCCACCATGATCTGAATGTTTTCGAGTATGCAGGATTTAGGCAATTTACATTTGAAGACCACTGAGTGTCTTATTAAAGGTGTGGTGTTCCTCGAGGCGCCATTCTAGGACCACTGCAGTTTTCATTGTATGTGCTGCTATTTGGTGAATGATGCTAGGTTCCTTTGCTGTGTTAACGTGTAACTGCGTGTTTCAGCCAAACCAGATGATGGACACCAACTTGTCTGAACTAAAGTAAGAACATAAGTCAATTCAGATTACAACAAGGACCAAAACCCAAACTATCAAATTACGTTAAAGCTGCACTATATAACATTTGGGGATATAGAGATCTTTCTGCAATGTGCGGAAGAACATTTTGTAGCACAAGTCGTGCTTTGGCCACCTTCCCTGTGGATGAATCTGATGATTGAAAAACAATTTGAAGAGAACTAGGGCAAAACTTGAAGGAAGCATCTTCTGAAGTTGTGAGTGAATTATCTATTATTGTCATCACATCTTCATCAGTGTAATGTTTATTTTGAGATTATTTGAGGCCTGAACATCGAGCCAGGCCTTCTTTTTGTGCCTATGCGTGACATTAATACGTAAAGACATATGATGTGGTGTAAAATCATTTCTTTTTTATTTATTTATTTTTTTTTTTAATGTTTGTGTCAAAATCCCAGTGTTTGTTCATCCAGGGCTTGCTTCAGCCAGGCCCACATTTTCCATTATGTAGGATTTATGAAATTTACATTTAAAGACCACCGAGTGTCTTTTTAAAGGTGTGGTGTTCCTCAAGACTCCGTTCTAGGAACCACTTCTGTTTTTATTACATGTTGTCACTGGTTACGGTTATCCGTAAACATGATGTTCGATTCCTCCCAACCCAATGCCTCAACTTTTAAATGATTATTTCAGGCTTTACAGGGCGACTCATAGCAGCACACACACCATATTTTATCTGAATACCGGTGGAAGTGAGAGGAGCTGCTTAGAATGTGAAAAAACCTTGACAACTACTGACTCTTTTGACTTTAAGTCAGAGCGTTTTTCCTCCCAGCTGTGCAAAACCCTCCTACCAGTGTTTGGGTCCTTTTCTGCTCACATGAAGATGATGTGGTTTGACACTGTGTGACTACCAAAATGGACAAAAGCACATATATTAGGAGGAATATTACTTAATTTTGTAGGCAATTCTCGTCACCACAAACAACAACTTGTTATTACTACTACTAAATACTAAATCGTAACATTTCTAATCATCAGTTCAGCTTAACTGTAGCACACTTATCTCTAAAAATTGACACTGACTATTCAATCTTGTAGATGACATCACTACTGCTGATTATTCACTCACATTCAGCAGGAATGATGACGCTACCAAAATAAGAGTCCTGTATAATTGTACTGTTCGAAATAAGTTCACATCTTTCAGTTGAACACTTCATTTAACAGTAGGATTATACAGGACTCTTATTTTGGTAGCATTATCATTCCTGCTGAATGTGAATAGCAGTAGTAGTCATTTATAAGAGTGAATATTAAAAGTCAATTTTGTCATACAGTTAAGCTGAACTGATAATGGTGTGTATACAAGTGCAGCACTAACATGAAGGCAAAACATAAATAATGACTACATAACTGTGATAATTAGAAATGTGATGTTCTTTCTCAGTGAGGAGCTGAATTGAGTCTGTTAAAGTAGTAAAACATGAAAATGTGAAGCATTAATATGAAATTACAGGCAGAAAAAAACACTCGTTTGAGACTCATGACAGAAATGACAGCATTTTTATTACAGAATCACAGACAAAATAATCTACCTCAAAGAAAGGAGACGAAACATGAGCTTTACTCCAGATCAGCCTCGTTAGAAAACAAAAATAAAGACAATATAAACTTTTTAAAAACTCTCTCCACCACAATATCCACGCACAGAAAACCCAGGAGCACGTTTAGGTCTGTCTACGCTAGAGATGTTACGAGGATCGGATACGGGCGCACTGGAATAAAACACACACACACACACAGTTCTGCCGAGCTGCAGTCTAACGCCGGTCGTCTTTGGTGCCGTCACTCGATTCAACACGACCCTAAAACTCTAACGGAGCTCTGTAACGGAGGCCAGACAGAAAGAGAAACTGGAGGACAAGGAAAGAGAAGGAAGAACTGATCGACAGATGGAGGTATTTCTAAGAGGTTTCTCAGCTTGAGACGATGAAGGCATGTCGTCACTGTTGCAACAAAACCTCAGCGGTCTGAATCAATTTTACAGGGGAAAACGTTCTTAACACTCATCTTTAACTGAATTAGTATGAGGAACATTTTTTTTTTAGCAAGTCACTATAAACAACTACCACTATTTTTTTAAAATAATATTACTACTATTAGTATTAGTAGTCATAGCATAAAAACATTGTAAAAACAAAATAAATATTAGAGAATTAAACTTTGTGTTTATCAGCAGAATTGGGCCTTTTATTTTGATAGCATTGTTCCTTCTGAGTGAAGTGATGAGTAGTTAATTCAGTGGATTAGCTTAATAACTCCATTCATTTCCTAATTGCTCTGCTCTGTATCTCCTATCGAGTCCTGATAAATCAACACAGGCATGTTTAACTAACTATCCCTCCTTCTGCATTAGAATAATAGCTGTAGCTGAATTACAGTCAGTGTGCAGCGTTTGTGCTGTAGCAGGTTTGTGTTTCTGCTTTAACATCCTGATCGTCAGTCTGAGTTGATTTTATAGAGCTCATGTTGGGGAACCAGACAGTGTCTGAAGGGTGGAGCTGATTTACTGTCATGAAGCTCGTGGGTAGTCCGAGACCCCTGATTTAAATGCTTCAGTGGTTTCATTACATACAAAGCATATATGCATATACGTATGCCTTACCTTTACATTCAGTTTAAAGACAAAAATCACTAAAAGTACTTTAAAAATAATAATTATGCCAAACAATAGTACCCATTTGATTTTTGGTTTTTATCCAGTGGGCCCAAAAGCCTAAATTTAATATTACAGCTGCATCGAAATTTTTTGAAAGATAAAGTTAAAAATTTCTTGTGAAAGCACATTAGATTAAATAGGTCCACTGTAAAGTGTCAAAATCTAACACTTGACAAATAATCTGATCATTTGAACAGCATTTTTAATCACGATTTTCATTCTCAGTTTGATGAGCAGATCAACAGTGAAACACCCACTGTCCTCAGTGCAGCTGCGTTCTATACGATCTGGAGATCACAAATAACACTGTGTTGCTCAGATCCAGCTGGTGTGGGTTCACGGTTGTTTCTGCTCCGAATGACAAACAAAAGAGAGACTTGTGTGCTAACAGCGCCACCTACTGGAGAAACAGGAGTTTTCCATCATTATAGCAGCAGCACTCTGGAATTCAGCATTAGATGCTTTTAGGAAACTAAGAAGTATTTAACTTTTCATTTGTTAGATTGTTTTGCAAGCTGTTTGAAATGAAACTGCCGCTCTAGTTCTCTCAGTTCTCTTTCCCAACACAGAGATAATCACCTTTGAAGTAGCAGCAGCACTTAATTCAAAAGCATAAATAAACAGCAATTTATATATATATAAAAAAATACTCAGGTTTTCAGCTGTGTCCTGAATTTCAGTTAAAGGGGAGCCCCACTGATGTTTTTTAGGGATTTTACATAATTCCGTCATCGTGCTGTAGTCATTCAGAGTTCTTTAATATGAAATGGTTAATTATAGAGAAATGTACAGAGTCTGATTTCTTTAGAGTGGTGTTGATAGGAACCAGAGGTCACCATGACTACAACACAAATATAGCTATTTTATTTACTATCCAAAACCACCAGTGAACCTACACGTGTCTTCTAAGTTTTATATGGAATGTTGATGATGGGAAAATAGTGGAAAATCTGAAATAATAAGTTTTCTTTGGGGACTAGTTCGCTTCACTGTGCCCTCCATATTTTGTATCCCACCAACATGAATGGAGTTTAAAATCTTCTCAAAAATAAAACTTAAAACAGTGTCTCAGACATCAGGCAGTGAATTCATAACCATTTCATGTAATAACTTTCTGTGAAGGAGCTTTTAGAGGTGGACGTCTAGTTCCTATCACCACCACTGTGAACAATTCTCACTCTAAGTTTCTCTAGAACAACGCATTTCACACCAAAGCATTCTGAACTACTCGTCTCAATCATTTAATCATGTGGAACTTTTAAAAATTCTTAAAGTGCAACTTCACTGATTTTTCAAAATTTTAAATGTGAACAGTGTCATTCATGTATTAATTTGGAGCATTTCTATTGGTCTGTTCATCTCAAAATATTTACACTGTTTTTAAATAGGTTTAAAAACAGTGAAATAAAGAAAAACAAAGTTGGGAGGTTTTGATACGACAGTGACGATACAGGAAGAATAACACAGTCATCTCTATAACACACACACACTCACACATATATAACAGTTCTGGGACTCTGGGTCAGCTTCCAGACCGGGATTAAGCCTAGACAGGGATCTCTGCATCTCTGTTCAGAATGCTAGGATTAGGCCTAAACCCTGTCCGGGAAACTGACTGTTTAACAGTTGACCAGAAAACGAGGCAAGCTAAGCAACAGCTTGTGTTTTTGCATTGAAGCATTTACAGTCCTGCATAGTTATTTTGTTAAACTTAACAAACTAAGGCGACTCTGTTTTATTGAAAGTGTTTGGAGTTTTATACGGAAATCCTTCAGAAAATGAAAGTTCAAGTAGAAGCTACAATCTCTAATCTCCCCTCAGTCACGCACAAACGCTCAAAACAAACCACGCGCAATAAAAGGAACTTATTCAAGTGTCGTTTCTCCTTTTAGAAGGTCCAGTGTGATCCACAGCACCAAAAACACTGAGAAAGTGAGAGGGGTTCATGATCTCATGTGCTCCCCATTCATACTGACCTGGAAATATAGCTTAGAATATTTATACGCATATATAGATATATGTATATTTTATGTACATACCCAGTTTTCTTCTTCTAAGCCTGAAAACGTGTCCCTGTATCAAACTATAAATAACAGACTCACTTTATTATTGATAGCTACGGCTTTAACAGTCTAATATAGAAAACGCTGCGAAAAGCACAGGAACTTAATAATAAATTAAATTATGTTGCTTCTATTTTCCTTCCACCCCCCTCCCCCGACCCCACTCCTTCCACAGTGATTAAGGTCTTGTTGTGTAAACATATTGACGAAATTAAAACGCTAAAACTGTAATCGCTCCTCCAATCAGCCCAAAACAACAAACGTTAAATAAAAAGATGTTAACTGAAGAAACGGGTTGTTAATCAGGTCCAAAACAGAAGCAAAACTCAGGTTCTTGCTTCTTGCTAGCTTTTAATCTGATAATAAGATAGTCGTTATCTGTTTAGTGTCGGCTGACTGGTACGTTCTGGTGGCGTCCGGTCAGTGGGACTTCCTCTTCACGTCTCCTGCCTGGCTTTGGTTCGTATCTGTGAAGAGAGGAGAGAAAGATGGAGTCACTCTTACATCACTTTGCACTTGTTTCTACACAGCTTTGGTAAACAAGAGCCGATGGCTGACCTCCAGGTGAGCAACTCTCTCCACAGGTATTACACAAATGACGTTTAAAGGACGTTTTGGTAATGAGGGATTTTTAAAATGAGCTACACTGGCCTGGAAATACTTTTTTGCTGACAAAGCTGGAATGAAGAACAACTTGTTTTGTCTACTTAAACAGTTGTAATGTAATCGTTTAAAATTAATGGACATATGGAGCCTGTAGCGCTATCATCTGTAATCGTTAGCCGCACGCAGAGCCTGTATCACTATCGTCTGTAATCGTTAGCCGCAAGCAGAGCCTGTAGCGCTATCGTCTGTAATCGGCAGCCGCAAGCAGAGCCTGTAGCGCTATCGTCTGTAATTGTTAGCCACGTGCAGAGCCTGTAACGATAACGTCTGTAATTGTTAGCCGCACACAAAATCGTCTGTAATCGTTAGTTGTATGCAGAGCCTGTAATGCTATCGTCTGTATTCGTTAGCCGCACGCAGAGCCTGTAGCGCTATCGTCTGTAATCGTTAGCTGTATGCAGAGCCTGTAATGCTATCATCTGTAATCGTTAGCCGCACGCAGATCCTGTAGCACTATCGTCTGTAATCGTTAGCCACACGCAGAGCCTATAGCGCTATCGTCTGTAATCGTCAGCTGTATGCAGATCCTGTAGCACTATCGTCTGTAATCGTTAGCCGCACGCAGAGCCTATAGCGCAATCGTCTGTAATCGCTAGCCGCACGCAGAGCCTGTAACGCTACTGTTTGTAATCGTTAGCCGCACGCAGAGTCTGTAGCACTATCGTCTGTAATTGTTAGCCGCACACAGAGCCTGAAATGCTGTCGTCTGTAATCGTTAGCCGCACGCAGAGCCTGTAACACTACTGTCTGTAATCGTTAGCCGCACGCAGAGCCCGTAACGCTACTGTTTGTAAACGTTAGCCGCAGGCAGAGCCTGTAATGCTATCATTCGTAATCACTAGCTGCACGCAGAGCCTGTAGCGCTATCGTCTGTAATCGTTAGCCGCACGCATAGTCTGTAGCACTATCGTCTGTAATTGTTAGCCGCACGCAGAGCCTGAAATGCTATCGTCTGTAATCGTTAGCCGCACGCAGAGCCTGTAGCGCAATCGTCTGTAATCGTTAGCCGCACACAGAGCCTGTAACGCTACCGTCTGCAATTGTTAGCCGCACGCAGAGCCCGTAACGCTACTGTTTGTAAACGTTAGCCACAGACAGAGCCTGTAACGCTATCATTCATAATCATTAGCCACACGCAGAGCCCGTAACGCTACTGTTTGTAAATGCTAGCCACAGGCAGAGCCTGTAACGCTATCATTCGTAATCGTTAGCCGCACGCAGAGCCTGTAGCGCTATCGTCTGTAATCGTTAGCCGCAAGCAGAGCCTGTAGCGCTATCGTCTGTAATTGTTAGCCACGTGCAGAGCCTGTAACGCAATCGTCTGTAATCGTTACCCGCAAGCAGAGCCTGTAGCGCTATCGTCTGTAATCGTTAGCCGCACGCAGAGCCTGTAGCGCTATCGCCTGTAATCGTTAGCCGCATGCAGAGCCTGTAACGATAACGTCTGTAATTGTTAGCCGCACACAAAGCCTGTAGCGCTATCGTCTGTAATCGTTAGCTGTATGCAGAGCCTGTAGCGCTATCGTCTGTAATCGTTAGCCGCACGCAGAGCCTATAGCGCAATCGTCTGTAATCGTTAGCTGTATGCAGATCCTGTAGCGCTATCGTCTGTAATCGTTAGCCGCACGCAGAGCCTATAGCGCTATCATCTGTAATCGTTAGCTGTATGCAGATCCTGTAGCACTATCGTCTGTAATCGTTAGCCGCACGCAGAGCCTATAGCGCATTCGTCTGTAATCGGCAGCCGCACGCAGAGCCTGTAACGCTACTGTTTGTAATTGTTGCCGCACGCAGAGCCTATAGCGCTATCGTCTGTAATCGTTAGCTGTATGCAGATCCTGTAGCACTATCGTCTGTAATCGTTAGCCGAACGCAGAGCCTATAGCGCATTCGTCTGTAATCGTTAGCTGCACGCAGAGCCTGTAACGCTACTGTTTGTAATCGTTAGCCGCACGCAGAATCTGTAGCACTATCGTCTGTAATTGTTAGCCGCACACAGAGACTGAAATGCTGTCGTCTGTAATCGTTAGCCGCACGCAGAGCCTGTAACACTATTGTCTGTAATCGTTAGCCGCACGCAGAGCCCGTAACGCTACTGTTTGTAAACGTTAGCCGCAGGCAGAGCCTGTAATGCTATCATTCGTAATCGCTAGCTGCACGCAGAGCCTGTAGCGCTATCGTCTGTAATCGTTAGCCGCACGCAGAGTCTGTAGCGCTATCGTCTGTAATCGTTAGCCGCACGCAGAGCCTGTAGCACTATCGTCTGTAATTGTTAGCCGCACGCAGAGCCTGAAATGCTATCGTCTGTAATCGTTAGCTGCACACAGAGCCTGTAGCGCAATCGTCTGTAATCGTTAGCCGCACACAGAGCCTGTAACGCTACCGTCTGTAATCGTTAGCCGCACGCAGAGCCCGTAACGCTACTGTTTGTAAATGTTAGCCACAGGCAGAGCCTGTAACGCTATCATTCGTAATCATTAGCCGCACGCAGAGCCCGTAACGCTACTGTTTGTAAACGTTAGCCACAGGCAGAGCCTGTAACGCTATCATTCGTAATCGCTAGCCGCACGCAGAGCCCGTAACGCTACTGTTTGTAATCGTTAGCCGCACGCAGAATCTGTAGCACTATCGTCTGTAATTGTTAGCCGCACACAGAGACTGAAATGCTGTCGTCTGTAATCGTTAGCCGCACGCAGAGCCTGTAACACTATTGTCTGTAATCGTTAGCCGCACGCAGAGCCCGTAACGCTACTGTTTGTAAACGTTAGCCGCAGGCAGAGCCTGTAATGCTATCATTCGTAATCACTAGCTGCACGCAGAGCCTGTAGCGCTATCGTCTGTAATCGTTAGCCGCACGCAGAGTCTGTAGCACTATCGTCTGTAATTGTCAGCCGCACGCAGAGCCTGAAATGCTATCGTCTGTAATTGTTAGCTGCACACAGAGCCTGTAGCGCAATCGTCTGTAATCGTTAGCCGCACACAGAGCCTGTAGCGCAATCGTCTGTAATCGTTAGCCGCACACAGAGCCTGTAACGCTACCGTCTGTAATCGTTAGCCGCATGCAGAGCCCGTAACGCTACTGTTTGTAAATGTTAGCCACAGGCAGAGCCTGTTACGCTATCATTCATAATCATTAGCCGCACGCAGAGCCCGTAACGCTACTGTTTGTAAACGTTAGCCACAGGCAGAGCCTGTAACGCTATCATTCGTAATCGTTAGCCACACACAGAGCTTGTAACGCTATCGTAAGTTATCGTTAGCCTACACAGAGCCCGTAATGCGAGCGTTCATAATCATTAGACACACGCAGAGCCCATAACACTGCCATTTGTAATAACGAACGATAGCGTTACAGGCTCTGTGTGCGGCAAATTATCATTAGCCATATGTACAGCCAACGCTGTCGTTTACAGTCACTGGCTGTACGTATGTATTTTGAGAAAATAAACCATTATCTTGAGATACTTAGTCAATATTCTGACAGATCACTGCCCGAAATGGAAGAGGACAGTCCACCAATGTATTCTTGTTGTTACACAAAATGTCAGCTGGTCTATACAGTGTAAAGAATCATGACTTGTGTCCTTTAACACTGTTTGTTTCTTCATTTCAAACTAAACAAGAGATGTTCATTCTCCTTAATGTACACATGACCAGGAACCACAGCGCCCCCTGGAGGCCAATTTAGAGCAACTCTGGAAAACTGAACAGCAAAAGGATGAGCACAGCAGCAAAAGCACACAAGAAGGGGGGACGGCAGTCAGGGAGGATAAACAGAGAGAGGGAGGGCAGTTTACCTGAGAAAGCAAGCTGCAGGTGAGGAGGTAGAGCAGCCTGGACACCTGACTGCAAACTCTTAAACAAATCTGAGGGGAAACGAGCAGAGAGAGGACGAGGGAAAGACCACATCACCAGGCAGAGGGAGGAACAGAAACAGAAGGACAAACATGGAGGTAGAAGGTTAGACACAGAAGGGAGACAGACCGGCGTCCAGCAACAGCAGAAGCTTAAAATCACACAAACAGCAGTAGGGGTGCAACAGTTATTCAGCGTTGTCGACTAAAATCGACAACCAAATTAGTTGGCAACTAATTTAGTAGTCATTTAGTTGGTAACGCCATTATGTGTCTTTCTCGCGCTCACTAGGAACGTTACCGCTTACTGGAGAGTTAACAACAGCACAATGGCAGCCTCAAGAACAAAATCCTCAAAAGTGTGGAGCTAAACTCAGAAAAAAGGTTGTCAGTTGTGCTATTTGTAAGCCAACCTTAGCTGGCACAGAGCACATCCTCCATGTGGGAGCACCTTAAGAGGAAACTCGTCAGCTCACTGGATGAAGAAGATTCATCTCGGTAAGATACACAGCGTCCCAGCACACTACATAATGTGTAAAAATAGCGCATATACCATTAGAAGTGCACTCATTAGCGTAGTGTGTGAAGTACAGAAGTGTGTGGTTTGGGACGTGGCAATAGTTGTGCTAGCGAGCTAGTTAGCTAATGTTAATGCTAAAAGTTGTCCTACTTCATGTTATGAGCTGAGCTGTAACATGTTCTGTTTCGAAATGCTGCTCTCTGGAATCCTTAATGGAGCTGAAACAGAGAAGCAAGTAACTATTTTTCACAGCGACCCTGTTCACACTCCAGATAACATTTACAATAAGACCACAGGCAATAACACCACAAATTAATGACCAATATTTACTGTTTCATAATGCTTAATTTTAAAGTGCCCATACCACTGAAAACTGAATTTTCTCTATTTTGGAATAAAAGCCTATAGCAGTTTAGCCCCACCCATTCAGCCTACAGCAGTTAAGCACCACCCATTAAGCAGTTTAGCCCCACCCATCCAGCCTACAGCAATTTAGCACCGCCCATTCAGCCTTCAGCAGTTAAGTCCCACCCATTCACGCTAAAGTTATAAGAAGTATTCCAGCTCTGACTGCGTTCTGAATGAGGCACAATACAGGACAGCCAATCCAAACACATCCCATTTGCATATATCAGCATTTAAACACACAATAACAAAAAACAGTCTATTCAATAAGTGCAAAAATTTAAATACAAAGAAACTAATATACAGCACAGGCCCTGTAAGTCTGAACAGCATTTTAAACTTGAAGAAAACAATACAGCCAGTGCTTGCTAACTCTGCTAACTGAAAAAACAATCAACTTTAGCTAATCACAGACTAAACATACCAAACTCTGACTAACTTTGCTAACTGAAAACAGCAAACATTATTCAACTCTGCTGACTGACAACAGCTAACTAACTCTACTAGCTAACCACAGCTACCTCTGCCAAATGTCCCACTGTGTGCTGTGAGTGAACAGCTAGATTTCTTCTCTGTCCCGGTCTAGAAAAGACATACAGCACCACCTAGTGTACTGAAGTAGTAACCGTTCAAAGTTCAAGCCTTTACTGCTAATACTGAATTGAGGAACAGAATAATTATTCAGCACATTCTCCATGAAGAACCATCATTTTTAAGCATGTTCAGTGAAGCAGTCCTCAGGGAGATCTACTCACTCTGAGTCAGACTGTATCCTGAGTTGGGGGCGGGTGAAGCCCCCCCTGCGCTGGCCGGGCCGGGCGGAGTGAAGTTCAGCAGTGAGGGGAACTGGAAGGGCAGAGAGACGGGCACAAGACCACCCAGCATACCGAAACTCAGCGGCAGAGGCGCCCCCACTGAGCTCAGGAGATTACCGCCCGCCGAGGAAGAAACCTGCTGAACAGGGACGCACAGACACTCTGCTTACTGAGACATCAGATTATTTAGGATTGTTTTCTTGTCCAGTGCTTCTATTTAGCTTATTTTCTATTGCATTATAATATTTTGCGAAGAAATACAATCACTTTAATCTGCACTTTAATGAATGAGAATTGCAAGATAAAGTTTATTATTATTACTATTATTAAACACAACTTGCATGCAGTTTTAATAGTTTCAATCATTAAAACATTAAGCCTTAGAACAATCATAGTTCTCTCCGGGAGTAATAAAATTATGCTGTAATTCTATATGAATTATTCCTGACTCATAAATCATTGGAGAAATTGTGTGGAATTCAATGATGTATTTTTTATTTTAAATCTTATAAGTGTATAGAGTGAATAGAGGAAAGCATCAAACCCAAAAACAAATCAAACCTACCTGGGACAAAAGGGCGGAGTCAGATGGAGAGGTCAATCCCAGTGTTGATGCGCGATTGGCTGAAGACTTGGCACACTGACTGGCTCCTCCCACAGGCCTCTGTCTCTGTCCGTGATTGGCTGAGACAGCTGAAGGGGAGGGGTTACTGTCTTGGAAGCCAGCAGGCTGAGGTGTGGCTATGGGGCTGGGGTTAGTGATGCTTGCGCTGGTGCTCCCTAGAGGACTGGTGGATTTCTGCGCACCTGCAAAGCTGTAGCTCGCCTGCTGTGCGGCAGCTTTACCGGCAGGGCTGATGCTGAAGGGAGGCCTGAACCCGGGGCTTTTAGGGCTGTACTGGAGGGGCGGGGTCATGATCTGGGGGCGTGGGGAGGAATTGGGGGAGGGAGAGGAAGTTGGCGGAGGCGTTGGGGCAGGGGGCCGGTGGGTGAGTTTGATGATGGGTGAGCTGCTGCTGCTGTGGGAAGACTTGGTGATGGTGGCCTGCATGGGCGTTATGAAACCCGGCTGGTGGTGCGCCAGGGTAGGGGTCTGCATTTGAACTTTGCCCTGGGGCGAAAGGAGGCGTAGGAGACTGGCAGGGCGAGCTGTGCACCCGCACCACCTGCTGGGGGCTTTTGGGGTTCAGCAGAGAAGTGTGGGAATTCACACAAGGCTGCTGTGGGAGCCCTGCAGATCCTCCACTTCTGCTAGCACTAGCATCAGCCTGTTTGTTTACCAAGTTCTTGGGCTGTCCCATAGGGGGCGTAGTTTGACCGGGCTTCAGCCCAAACAGCTTCTGCTGTGGCGGGAGAAGAGGCGAGGCTGTTGGAGGTGGACGTGGCTTAGCTGGCTGTGTGGTGCTCACACTAACGATGTTGCTGGGCCTGCTAACAATGCTGTTAGCAATGCTAGCAGGTACCATTGTGTTTCTCTGTAGTAATCCCGCATCTTTCAGGCCAGAAAACAGCTCCACTCGTGCGGGAGATGGCTGAGGAGTGGAGGGGAGAGCAGAGGAGGCGAGAGTGGTGGGAAGAGTCTCTGCGTGAGAAACCAAAGAGAAGTGAGTGCTAACAGCAGGAGGAGAACAGGAGGCAGCAGTAGTAGCAGAGTTCACCGTGACACCGTTTGCAGCATTGCTGAGCAGCGACAGTGCCTGAGCGATGGAGTCCAGAGAGTTGGTGGCCAGGTCGTCGTCCAGGGAGTCCGACAGGCAGATGGGCTCTGAGGTTGGGGAGAGGGGTGGGCGAATAGGGCCGGAAACCGCTGGAGATGCTGAGGGTCCCAACACTGGGATCGGCTGCTGGTTCCACTCCCACTCCTGGAGAAGGGAAGTTACAATAAATAAACATGCGCAACCAATGCAGTGGTTCATATGCCGGTCCTCAGGGACCCCAGACGGTCCAAATTTTTGCTCCAACCTAATGTAACACATGGGAATAGTGCAACAATGTGGATCATCTGAAAACTGCTGGTTTGGAGTAGAGGTTTGCATTCCTGTAGGACCACCTTGTGGCACGAGAACAATGTTCAGGAGGAGCAGGATAACACATGCAGATAAATCCCAAAAATGAATGAATAAATGAGCAGGATTTTATTAGTATATATAAAAAATATAAAATCTAAAAATAGTATACATATATCTAACAGAAAAATTCCCAAAGTTAATAACTCATTCTAAATAGCAGTTTCACAATAAATCACATGAACACAACACAAATCTCATTCCTGCAGGCTACAAAAACGGCGAAGCCTTCAGTCAGTCAGACGGCCACAGCTGTGGAAAGTGGTTTTAATAAAGGTGAATATACAACAATAAAGCTGACTGTGTTTATCATTCTGTCTACCTGAATATTTTCTGTTATCAGTGAGCAGATATTTAGAGATTTCACAAAAACAGCTGAAATGTTCACTAACCTTTACTTTAGCCGGTTTGGGGGGCTGAATGATCCTCTTCTTTCCCCTGAAACAGAGACAGATATCAGTCACAAAGCACAAAGAACCAGTAGACAGATAGCAGTGTGAGAGGTTTAGGGCCCGACACATATATTGGGTCTTTTTTATGACATATGATTTTATCAGAATAGCTGAAAATACTCCCAGTAATGTGCTAACTGTAATATTATAAAGAAAATTGTTCTATACAGAACTATGAACACTCAAAAAATCTTTTGCATGATTAAAGGGATCCTTGCCTCATGAAAGCGTTCTTCACATTGATGAAGAATCTACTATAGGTGGTGCTATACAGAATCTTTTTTGAAGAGAGTTCTATATGGCACCCAAAAGAGTTCTTCTACTGTAACAAGGTTGACATTGTAACTATAGAAAAACCCTTAGCAGTGCTATATAGAACCCTTTTAAAAAAAGATTCTACATTGCACCATCTTCAACACTTTCTCCATCAGTCTATATATAGCCACTTTTTTTTAACTAAAGATCTCTTGAAGAACCATAATTTTTAAGTGTGTGTATAATATTAATACAGACCAAACTCAAAACTATTCACATCTCTACTTCAAAGGCAATAAAGAGAAACCAAATCACTGAGTACTGTAGGTTTTTAGCCTCTAAAATCAGTATATTTATCTGTGTCGGTTAGGCCCTTTTACTCGTGTTTGTACTCACAGGTCGGTGAGGTGACCGTGTACCGTACGGCTCTCTTTAAACAGCATCCTGTAATCAAACACATACAAACAGGAATATTACTGCTCATTCTAAAGCACAGAATACGACCTAAATAAACACAAACACATGCACACACCAACCTGGCCTGCATCCAGCCTTTGGGCCAGAGCGGTTTGACCTCATTCTCCATGAAGGCTTTGAGGTAGTCCTCTACAGAGAGAGAGCTTTTCTCCTGCTCATAGCACTTCAGCTTCACCCGCACCAGGTTACACAGCAGAGTCCTGCAAAACAACATGCACACGGATTCACTAACTTCACTAGAGCTGTCAAATGGAGTCAGAAATCAAATTGGAATTTTCCCCTTATTTGTTTGTCAAATACTCAAATATATTCAAATTCTAAATGCATTTCAATACATCCATTACTTTTGCATAGGAAATAAGAGAAAAGATACGTTTAAATGAACGTTAAATGAACGTGTCCAGAAGGAGCGCTAACATAAATCATAACCACACAGTTAAACGTCAACAAAAAATGTAAAGAGGCCTTTTCTGACACAAGAAGGAACTTATCATACATTTTCCACACTGGTGATTTCCTGCTGTTATTATATGATAAACAGAGCAGCTGAGCTGAAAGGCCGACTGCAGTGACAGAAAAAGTCTGTAGCTGTGGCGAGGAGCTGCTAAGGCTGTGCTCAAAAAATCTATATCATGCTATACTCCTTGCTGATGCAGATGCTAATGTATCGATAGGGAATCAAATGCTGTGAAGGCAGTTTTGAAAAAGAAACATTGGCACAATAAAGCCGATAAGTGGCAACAAAGACACAAATAGCACACGTCTCGGTTTAAAGCAAACAGGAGGACTGGACGAAAATATACAAGATCATGTTGGATTTTTGCAAATACCAGGAAGACGGGAGTTGGACATGAGTCATGCAGAATGCAAGCTATGCAGAAACAAAGTAAAATGGGTACTACAAGTACCACACAGAGCCAACGTGTGTCATCTTAGCCAGCCCTGAACAGGGCTTTTAACTTAACATCCCAACGGGCTCAGAAAACCACAAATGTACTTTTATGCTTTATTTGTAAAGACTTGCAACAGTACAGCATTGCTGACAACAAATAAAACTATATAAATGATAGCAAATATAAATGACATAAATAATAGCAAATATAAGTGCTGAATAGTGGGTTACATGTGTTACAGGTGCGGTTGTGTTAGGTTAGGTGTGGTATAGGCGCGGCTGTGTTAGGTGTGTTACAGGTGTGGTTATGTTAGGTTAGGTGTGTTACAGCGTAAAATGTTATGTTATGCAGCTAAAACAGTCAAACTGACCCCAAAGAACACCAAAGATGTGCACAAAATGTGTACACGATACTGAAAACATCATCATACTAATTTTATGTTAACCCAGTTCCCCAATTAGTGAAAGTAATTAAATATACAGTAAAAAAATATCATTTGTTTAAAGACACTGAACATTGAATGGGGTCAAACTGACCCCAAAGATAAGGATTAAGGTCAAGTGAAACCAGAATATTATTGTTGCATCAAAAAATAGAAGCATGAGAGAAAACAGAAAAAGGCCATTTTGAGTTTAAAAGCTAAATTAGATTTTATTTGCATTTATTAATATCTCTGGGATTAGAAAAAGAATTATTATTTTTAAGATCTTTGAGGGCCTGAATTTTAAGTATTTTGAGGTGCACGATCCTTAAGGCTTTATGTTTGCTGTTATACAGAATAACAGCTGTTGTAGAAAATTCTGCGTTAGGACATGGTCATAATTAAAAATCAACATGTACAGCGATAGTATTGTATCATGAGGTTGTAGGCAATACAGCCCTATTAGATGCAGTAGCTGTGCAGCAGTTTAGCCAAGCAGCTAAACCAGCATCACTTCACTACATTGTAAACAGTCGTCCACATTCGGAGAGTTGGCTCTGTCTGAAAAATCTGCCCTCTGAAGCAGATCATTCAGTTACCGTACATGAGGATGTATTTCTGAACATCAGTATTATTTAGCTTACAGAGTAAACACATCACCTCATCCAGATCAGCCCACACATTCTTTCAGCGGCCACGGCTGATGTCTTCCACAGTGCTGCCCACCTGAGTTTGTCGTCCCAGATGAATTTCTTCCGTGGGCCCATCACTCTCTTCCCCGGTCTCTCCTCCTCGTCCTCCTCTGAGCCGTTTCTCTCTCCATCCTCCATTTGCTGCCTGAAGGCCAGAGCGGACAGAAAACACTGAGGCTTCAGTCTCGAGTCTCTGAGATATGTTTGTATCCTAATAAAAACTAGTTAGGTTAGACACAACTGTAAATACAGAGCCTTTAAAAAGCTTAGAAATAACGAGCCTATAGACCAAATCAGAATGTTTGTAAACGTGAACGATGGCTGTACTTCCGGGTGGATAACACATCCAGTCTGCGGTAGAAGCAGCTTGTTTTAAGTAGCTGTAAATACAAACAGAACAGAAATATGGTCAATAATGGTCAAATATTGTTGTGTTGAGGCTGTAATTTCCAATGTTCTGGAGGGAAATAGGGTCCATATGCAAGTGTTAAGGCACCCCATTTTTTCCTGCTTTTGCTGAGAAAGAGAGAGAGAAAATGAAAAAGTGTGTTTAGAAAACAACCTTTTGCTCTCTGCTTTATCCACTTCATGGTTCCCCAATTATCGTTATTTTATGTTAAGTTTAATTTTAGTGCATTAAACCATTAATAAATGCGGCCGTGTTTTGGAGCTCTGCCATAATAAAGTTCCCCTCAGAGCAGTTAGCCCCGTCTCCGAGCCTTTTTAGAGTAACAAAGTTCCTCTCACTCCAGCTAGCCCCGACTCTGAGATTGTTTAGAGTAATAAAGTTCCCCTCAGAGCAGCTAGCCCCGACTCTGAGATTGTTTAGAGCGATAAAGTTCCCTTCCATGAACCCCATACAGTCCACTTAATGGCGAAGTGATTGAAGGGGAAGATCAGTTCAAAATAGAATTTAACAGCTTTATTTAACAGCTGACGACATCAGGAGCTTATAATTTACCAGTATGTAATAATGAATATGTAGAGGTACATAAATTTTAGTTAAATAATTCTAAAGTATCAGGATTGGTACAAAGTCCTGTCGTATCAGTGCAGCGCTGCCAGCATTATCCACCTGGAAGTGAGCTCTTTGTTGATGTGACGTTACGCTGATTTATGCTGTATAAGAACCTTCGGTCTGAAGGACAGAACTGAAGCGCTACACATAGTAAAACGACTTTAAATCGTTGGCTAGTCTGTAGCTTGTATAGAGCTTCGTTCTGTCCTTCAGATCGAAGTGTTTTAAAAACATTATAAAAGATGAGGCTGTACTTTGCCACTCTGGCCAGACAGTCCATGTTGTATCTGGCGGTCTGTTCGGGCATCACACTACACACAGCCAGCTTCAGCTTCAGCAGAGGAGTCCGCAGACGATCATCCTGAACACACACAGACAAATCAGAAAAACCTAAGGCCCAATCCCATTTCACCCCTCACCTCTACCACTCAGACCTACCTCGATGTTTTGCACATTCACATCTAGGGGTAGGGTGTCCCGCTTCTTAATGAGATAGAGAGGTAGGGTGAAGTGTTAGGGCTACATGGCCCTCCAAACAGAGTGTTATGAGAAAAAAAAAGAAAAACCAGCAAGATGGCTGCACAAGCGACCAAAGAAACCCACAAATGTATTTTCTCTGTTAAAAACTTATAACCATTGTATTATCTTTAAGTTTAATGTCGTTTCAGTGTATTACTGTCCTTTTCTTCATAACAAGCATAAAAGTCGCTAGTACTATGCTGATGTCTCCGTATCTAGCTAAATTTCCCACTCCACCTTAAATGGTGCAGCAGTAACATTCTGACGCCTCAGGCATCAGAACTGCTGCACTATTTAAGGTGGAACAGGGAAACTCGACAACTTTAGCTTTTTATCACTGAAGAATTAGGGGTGGGCAATAATAAATAATTGCCCCCCCACCTTTGAAGGCATATGATGCCCTAAATGTAACTAAAGCCCAGCAGTGAGGTTAGTGAACTCTACCCTCCTCTGCTATCACTGCAGACCGTCAGGGTCGCCTACAGAGCACCGCTAGCAGCCTATTATCGAAGTAATGTTCTTTTTTTATTTGAGCGTTGTCCCATTTCATAGGGAAGATTTCAACAACTACCCCTTGTAACACAGTGCCAAAGGGCAAAGTGACACTCGAAAACAAGGGGTACGGGTAAAAATAAGAAATGGGACTGGGCCCAAGACTACGACTCCTTTCCTCTACCACTTACTCTACCTGTGTGTAATCATGTGTAATGTTTTGTATTGTTGTTCTGTTACATTGGACCAACTACAGTTTCCAACTACAACTCCGTTAATGCCTTTTCCGTCAAAGCACAAAACTGTGCATTAAACTGTGCAGGAGTGTGTTCTCTGTAGAGGATGTGTTAATTTATTCTCACTTTGAACATCATGGAATTTGACCAGGGGCAGCAAAAGTTTTGCATACGACTTTATATTCCTATTCATGTGGTTGCTGAATTTTCAGGTTTGTTACAGCATGTTCTTTACGTATCACAACGCAACAAAATTGAATTTCCTACTATAAAATAAAGACACATTCAGTGAATGAGTTCTGGATTTACTTTTTCGGACCACAGTGAGGCAGACTTTGCATACCTGTATGTTGAGGCTGAGTTTTTTGAGGCGTTTGAGCAGAGTGTCTTTATTGCAGGGCACGAACGCCTCCAGGTGAGAATAAACACCTGAACGCACCGCCGGGGGCTGCTCCTGCACCTGTAGCTCTATACTGCACACACGGGGGGGGGGGTAAAAACATAGACTAAAGTAAGAATTTTGTCCATTTTTGCTGAAAAAAGTGCGCCATACAGTTATGCAGTTAGCACCATGCTAACTGGAGGGGTTCCATTCCTTTTTAGCTCCATTAGCTTCAGTGCAGAAAATAAAAAATTTCAGATGCTCAACATGTCCTGGCTGCTCAACTACACTTGGGTTAAGCCTGTAGAAATGGGGAATTTAAAGGGTTTTCGATTTTGAAGATGCCAAGCTTGCAACAACAGAAGAACCCTCCTCGGTGCTATACAGAACCATTTTCGAAAAAGCTTCTATGAAGTACCATCTACAGCACATTCTTCATCAATTTAAAGAACGCTTTGCATGATTAAAGGGTTCTTTGTATTGTGAAAGGGTTCTTTAAATGAGTGTTCAGGGTTCTATATAGAACCATTTTCTTTAATAAAGAACCCTCAAAGAGCGACCTTTTTAAGTGTGGACAGAGAGTGAAGAGCGATACTCACTCCAGTAAGATATTATTCATGTCTAAAGTGAAGAACTTCTTCCTGCCCTCCTGGTCAAACTGTCGTGAAGCCTGAGGAAACAAAAAAGACAGATTTAAAGTTCTGCAATACACTACAGGAAGTGTAGGGGGCGATATGGCTTCTATTATTTCATTTAAAAAGTGCTCTATAATGTTCAGATGATCCACACAGTCATTCTGACAGACTGTAATACACTACAGGAAGTATAGGGGGCGATATAGCTACTATTGTTAAGGCGCTCTATAATGTTCATATGATCCATAAAACTGAGAAACTAGCTCATTATTATGTTACTATTACGATCTGAAGGGGATCGATTTCTGAATAGTTTATAGGTTAACTGATTATTGAAATAATCACGAAATAATCACGAGCTGCAGCCATTTTAGTTTATAGATTAAATGATTATAGACATAACTGTTTGTTGCAACCCTAATTATTTTTTTCATCGAATTATAGAAATAATCAGTAGATTAAGTCCTAACAGCCAACAGATTATTTGATTATAAAAACAACCATTAGTTTCAGCTGTAATAGTTGATAGATTATTCAATTATAGTAATAATCATTATTTGTGTCCTTAATGTTTGATCAATTAATCATTACGGAAATAATTATAACTTTGCAGCTGTAATACTTGATCGATTAATCGACTATGAAAATAATCTTTGCAGCCCAAATACTTGACCGATTAATTAACTATAATCTTTAATTTGCAGCCCTAAAATTTGATCGATTAATCGACTATGGAAAGAATTACTACTCACAGCTCTAATACTTGATTGATTAATCGATTAAGGAAATTGTCACTACTCACAGCTCTAATACTTGATCGATTAATCAATTATGGAAATCGTCGCTGCTCACAGCTCTAATACTTGATCGATTCATTGACTGTGGAAATAATCATTACTTGTAGTCCTAAAACTTGATCAATTAATCAACTATGGAAATAATCTTTGCTTTGCAGCCCTAATACTTGACAGACTAATTGATTACAGTAATAATTATTATCTGCAAGCGCTATTTGAGAGTTTTCAGGATATTATCACTGTATCTTACCACTCGCAGGTCTTCGATGCGTTTGACCAGGGGTTCTGGCAGTCCCTCAGGTAGTGGAGGAGGGGAGAGAAGCCCTGCCCCTCTGCCCAAAGCCCCGCTTGCTGTCTTCTGCCCTGCCACCACACCTAGCTGGCCGTTCTCCCTGCCCACAGATACTGGCTGTGGCCCAGCGTCTAGAACACTGAAGTCCAGATCACTCAGAAGGTCCTGAAGCTCGCTCTCATTGGAGGAGGTCAGCAGTGACATCACAGCGGGGTCGGAGGTGAGGTCGGTGAGCAGCGGGTCATTGTTGGGGGCGTTGCTGTGGAGGATTTGCGGGTGATGTGGGCAGTTGATCAGGCCGGGATTGACCACCACCACATTCTGTTTACGCATCTCCTCCTTCTCCTTGGTGAAGCGGTGCAGCATAGCCGCCAGGCAGAGAGAGTCTTTCATCAGCTTCTTCCTCTTCTTCTTCTCCGGCCGGTGCGCATTCAGAGGTGCCAAACTGCAGAAGATTTTATACATAGGGCTGATTCATAACCAGTATGTATGGCAACAAGCAGTACAACAAAATATGAAAGCGGTGTGAATGTAAATCAATTAATGTTGTTAAAAATAAAATATAAGCTGTATTATGACGTTGTATGTCAACACTAGTATATAGAGTCTATATATGGAAACTGCAAAAAGAGCTCAGCACCCTTTACATATATCTACCCATTCAGCCTACAGCAGTTTAGCTCCACCCATTCAGCATACAGCAGTTTAGCCCTGCCCATTTAGCCTACAGCAGTTTAGCTCCACCCATTCAGCATATAGCAGTTTAGCCCTGCCCATTCAGCCTACAGCAGTTTAGCTCCACTCATTCAGCCTACAGCAGTTTAGCACCACCCATTCAGCCTATAGCAGTTTAGCTCCACCCTTTCGACCTACAGCAGTTTAGTCCTGCCCATTCAGCCTACAGCAGTTTAGCTCCACCCATTCGACCTACAGCAGTTTAGCTCCACCCTTTCGACCTACAGCAGTTCACCCCCACCCATTCAGCCTACAGCAGTTTAGCTCCACCCATTCGACTTACAGCAGTTTAGCCCCACACATTCAGCCTACAGCAATTTAGCCTTGCCCATACAGTCTACAGCAGATTAGTCCCGCATGTTCAGCGTACAGCAGTTTAGCTCCACCCATTCGGCCTACAACAGTTTAGCTCCACCCATTCAGCCTACAGCAGTTTAGCTCCACCCATTCAGCCTACAGCATTTTAGCCCCACCCATTCAGCCTACAGCAGTTTAGCCCTGCCCATTCAGTCTACAGCAGCTTAGCCCACCCATTTGACCTACAGCATTTTAGTCCCACCCATTCACAATGAAGTTATAAGGAGTATTTCAGTCTAGACTGCTTTTTGAATGAGGCACAATACAGGTCAGCCAATCAGAACAGACCTCATTTGCATAAATCAATGCACATCTTAAAAGAAACAGTAACAAAAACAGCCTGTTTGATTCTAAGGGATAAATGGAGTCATGTAAAAATTAATGTTTTTTTTGCTACATAAGTCCACACAAACCTCATAAGCGGACCTCAAGGAAAAATATACAAGATTTTTTTTTTAATTATGCATGGTTCGAAAACCACTTGCCAAATTCAACCCAACAACTCCAACTTTTAAACAATTTTAGCTAGTTTAAATTTTCCTGACTCAGTAATGATCCTTTTTTCACTTTAAAAAAAATTAAATACACAAATCTGCCACAGTGCAGCTTTCACCACACGTGTGCTTTCTTTCATACTCATTTTAGTGCATGTGAAGAGCATGTGTAGTTTGTTACATTTACTTCTTTTTATGAATAACAATTTTATAAAATTAATTTTTACAGTGCAGTGCAAGGCGGTGTATCATAAAAATAAATGAATAAACAACAATAAATTCCAGTAAACATTTCAGCATACAAATAACCATAGATACACAAGTAGTAAAAAATAAAATGAAAAAATTAGAAAACAACGAAGAGGGGAAACAACATCTTCAAGACCGCTCTATAAATCTTAAATATTTGCCCCATTTACATCTGTACAATTCGAAACACCCGAACAATTTAAATTATACATTTTCATACGCAGCTATTTTCCCCATCTCAGCAACCTATTCTTGAAATAATGGAGGACCCACTTCGTTCCACCTCCTAAGAATGATTTGCCTACCAATCATTAAACCGGTCTGAATCCAAATCTTTAAATAGTTGTCCTTGGTTTTTGGCACGAAGTGATCTCCTAAGACAAAAAGCCTTGGGCAAAAATGAATGACTACCTAATACTTTACAAATATAATCATAAAGCACCATCCAAAATTCCTCTAGGCAGCACCACACTCCTACATTACATTTCATTCTTAGATAATCTGAAAGGTCACCCCGGTTCGGGCAGCTGGACTTTCTTCGCTTTCTTCTCCTCCACATCCTCCTCTTTCCCCTTCTTCCTCTTCAGCCCCAACTCCTCCCCTTCCTGTTTAAACCGGAAACACGTCAAACTTTAACAAAGCTTTAATTTCCATCACAGAAGCAGAATTCATAGGTAAGAAAACAATACAGAGATATTATTGTTGGCACTGCTAAAACAGTGATAAATCTGAGGCTGTTTTCATAATAATGTAGCACTGGTTCCTCTCTGTCCTGCATATGGTTAGAAAATGCTTACTTAGAAAGCAGGTTTGTGAGTAAATAATAAAAGAAAAGGTGAGCTCTGACGGACTGATTAACACAGTCTGCAGGTATAAAAAGAGAAATTCAGGTTTTATCATCACCTTTATCGCTCCTTCATTTCCCTCAGCCTCGTCTCCCTCAGACTCCGATGCAGCGCGGAACTGCAGCGTTCCCGTGTTTATGTAGAACCCGCCAAGTTTCGTGGTGAGAGACGCTGGAACGAGCTCATCATACTGTAGCCAGAAAGACAACGATAACCATTACAGATCATTTAATGACAATGGTTATTAATAAGAAGAAAGAAAAAAGGAGAAAAAGATAAAAAAGAAAGAACAAGATGAAATCAAAAAATAAAAACAAGAAAAACGAGATGAGGAAAGAAAAAGTAAGGAAAAAAACAAGAAATAGAAAACAAGATTAAGAAAAAAGATAAGAATTAAACTAAGAAAATTCTGAAAAACAAGACAAAAAGAAGAAAAAAACAAGAAAAGGAAACAGAAAAAGACAAAAATACAAAGAGAACAAATATGAAATCAGGAAAAAAGAGGAAATAGTAGCTTATTAACCTAATTAACCTTATTATTAGCTGTAGGGTACAACCTTAGCAGGTATAGCTTATAGAATAGCTTACAGAATAAAAAATCTAATCTACTCAGGTGTGTAATGTCTGAATTGAGGCCTCCTCCTGCTCTAAAATCACTCCGTAACACAGCTAAATACTCACAGCCTCTGAATTATCTATGAAAGGGTCACTCTCATCATAACCGAATCCGATATCAATCAGATCCTGCACTCGGTCCCTCCTCTTCTTCCTGCAGGGCGTTCCCTGTAAAACCCAACACGCCCTGTTTATACACGACCTGAGAGTTACTCCGCTAATGCTTTATAATGTTCATATGATCAACACAGTCATTCTGACAGACTGTAATACACTACAGGAAGTGTAGGAGGCGATATGGCTTCTATTGTTTCACTTAAAAAGCACTGTATAATATTCATATGATCCACACAGTCATTCTGACAGACTAATACACTACAGAAAGTGTAGGGGGTGAAAAATTTTATGTTTTATCTCAGCAAATATATAGAAATCGAGCACTAAAATTTGCAGATGTCATATTTAAGTGTATTCTCTGCCAACCATGTGTAACTTATATCCTGCTGCACTCACATATTTGTTCTCAAACTTTTTGGCCAAGGCCTCCACCTCCTGTCTCTCCCTCTCATCGTCGTTGAAGGGGTCACTGGGGTCTCGAGCAGGTGGAGCACCTGACGGGTCCTTCTTGGCCTGCGAGTAAATATGAACAGTGACTCCGTCAAGCACGCTACAGTGATTAAGAGCAGATCAGACAATTTCAGGTGGTGACAAACAAATGAAGCGGACTTATGCAAAACCATCAGAGTGAAATTCAGACCTTCACTCTGAGCAGAACCTTCAGAAACACTGACCAGCCAGCAGTCTGCACTATGACCCGCAACACTTATATTGAACTGAACATATTCACATTAAACAATAAACAACAGAGAGAACCAGAGTTATTATAGCTTTGAAATGTATGTTAGTTTTTATTTTCACTTAGTTTTCCAGTTTGGTTTTTATTTCTGTTTAGTTTCATTCAGGGTTAGTTAAGAGTACATTTATAGTTTTGATTTTTATTTTCTAAAAGATAATGGTTTTGGATTTGTTTTTATTTTCTGAAAAGTACCAGTTTATTTTAGTTTTTATTTTCTGAAAAGGTATTACTTTATCGTAATGTTATTTTCTGAAAGGTAATAATTTTATTTTAGTTTTGTTTTAAGTGTTATGATGAACCCTGTAGGGAGGTAGGAGTAGGTATTTAATAAGAGTAGAGCGTTCCACTTCTAAACTCTCATTCACCAAAAAAATTTAACAAATGCTATTTTCCTCAGTAATTCTATTTACTATTAGTTAGTTTGCAGTGGGCATTATAGTCATTTTAGTTATTTATAGACATTTTTATTTTTAATTCAGTTTACAAGCACATTTTTCATTAAAAAAAGTTCTTCAAGGGTTTCATAGTAAAGAAAATGGTTCAATGTTGAACCATGAACACTCAAAGAACTCTTTGCATGTGTAAATGGTTGTTTGCATGATGAAATGGTTCTTCAGATTTACAGAGAATGTGCTTTAGATGGTGTTATATTAAAACTTTTTGAAAAGGGTTCTATAGCGCAAAAAAGGGTTCTGTTATTATGATGTCGTCAAGCTTGTAACAACAGAAAAACCATTTTGATTCTACAGGCCCATTTACTAAAGAACCCTTAAAGAACCATCTTTTTTTAAGTGTGTCGTTTTCATGTTAATAACAGTTTTAGTAAACTACAATAATCCTGGAGAGCACAGGATTGATAATTCATTCTGTAGGCAAATCTTGCAGAAACACTTGATGGCCAACCAGGTCCCTCAGCAGGTGTTCCACACGTAAACAAAATACAGAATAACAGATTGCGACTGTTCACATAAACAGAACACTGAACAGGTGGGACCGCTGATCAATTTAATGATGATCTTCAATAACGGCCATGAAACTGATATGGATGAGCGCTCTGTGCCCCAACCTGCTATCCAAAACTCAGCCCCCATGTTAAAACACCAAACAAACCAAGAGCAACCATGAGCTCTGGTGTGAAGTTTTGAAAATGTGCTACTCATATTAGCATATATTCAAGAGTATTATATAATTAGAAATTTGTTCTTCACAACGCTGGCCAGCTGGAAAGTGCTTGTGCAACATCACACATAATAAACTGATTGAGGCAAACTGAAACCAAAACAGACACAGAACATGCTTATGCAAAAAACACTTGCTGGCCTGTGCTGCTGCACTTTGAGCTAAAGAAACACAAAAACACAGCAAAAGGCTCATCATTCTAGAGTTTCTACAGGTAAACACTAGCGGGGTTATTATGTCTGGTATGAGACGGCGCATACACTGTCGCATACATTGAGCAGAGCAGCTTCCCTTCACACTGTGAAAAGTTTCATGATGAACACACCAATAGAAATGCTTCAAATAAAATCTTTTTTTTAACTTACATTAAAAGTTAAAAAAGTGCGCACACACACCTGGTAGGAGGTTCAACCCTTCAGTAAAGCCAGGGTTAAAATACACGGCCACATTCTCAGTCTGGCTGAGTCTGAGCTGGTCGGCTCTAGTCTGCAGGTTTTGGGTCAGTCGGTGTCGACAGTCAGAGAGAGAAAGAGTTGTGTGTGAGGGGCGCAGAGTCAGATTTTTGGTCTCCTGATCGCGTTTCAGACCAGTCACGGTTTATCAAACGTTTGAATTTTTCGACCCGACTCTGAGCTGAATCTAGTAGTGTAAACTGGTCAGAGACTCAGTCTGAACAGACTCCTCCAACAGCCAATGAGAACTGAGCGTGCAAAAGAAGAAAATACATCAAGCACACAAAGAAAAATGGCAAAAAGTCACTCACATGTGGAGCAAAGGTTTTTTAATAAGCTGAGTTTAAGGCACAAGCACAATCAAGTTTATGTATGTTTAAAACTCGTACGTTTTAAAACCACACTGATGACATTTCCATGACCATCACCTAAACATGTTTACCTGCTGCTTTACTACGTAGGCGCAGACTGCTAAGAAAACAGCAGCAGCAGCTCCACGTATGTTTACCTGCGTCTCCTAATTACTGGAGAACGTGAGTTCGTGAGAGTTCGGTTAAGCAATAACTTATAGGTAGAGTAGTGTGTGCTCCCTAATCGTTTAGTGTGTGATCCTCAATATTTCAATGGCCCAAAAAATCTGCGGAAGCCAGTCTGAAAATGTGAGACACCCAATCTGTTTATAATCTGTTAGAACTTTAAAAGTCGTGTACTACCCAAAGCTTAATATTCTGGGTTGCAATGACATCAGGCTGGAAATGCACAGACGCTCATAAACAGCAGCAAAACAAACACACGCTGCTCTTATTGAGAACTTATCCTGCACACAAACCCACAGAAACACCTGCTGGATCAGGAAATGCTCTGTGGAGACATCAGCAGATTAGAGCACTGCAAGTGTACGCATTTATACTACTGTAGCAAAAGCAATCCACAGTTATATGAGAGAACTTAGCATACAACAGCTCTGTTTGTGCTTTAGCTTCACTTTTAGCCAGACAAGCCGCAGCCTGCTGAGGCTGAATGAGGCCTGTCTGCAGAACTTAAGGTCAAATAAACCTCAGAAAGTTTAAAGGAACCCTACTGAGTGCTAACACTTGCTCTTTCTGTACTTTACTTATAGTAAGCTATTTTTTTAAGCTACCATCACTTTATTTTTCTATTTTTGTTTTTCACTCTTAAGCGCACTGTCGTAATTTTTCCCTCTGAATGTTCGTTTTTGCTTTTACTTATGTAAAGTACTTTGAAATTACCTTTGTCTATGAAATTTACTGTATAAATAAACTTGCCTTGCCTGTGGGATGTGGTTTAAGTCTAGTCTTGGAATAAACCAGAATCATGAATTCTGTCAGACTGATGGGGCTGAGGCTTCGACTCTGCACTATAACGCATTACATCACCTACAACTTATCACCTCAAATTGAAGTTTTATGCCTAAATGTCCGTTTAACGTCGTCTTCCTGCAGAGTTTTAGCTTCAGCCCTAAACACCACAACTGACCCAACTAATCATCACTGTCCAAAGAAAAACTTGGCAAATGTTAAATGGCCCAGAAGAGTAGAGGCTGTACTGCAGCATAAACTCACTATTACTCACCATCACAACATATTTACATGTAAATTGTTGGTGTACTGTCTAGATAATGTTTATATATAGTATGTCTTTTTCTATATTTATTTTACTGGACTTAATTGTATGTTGACACCTGCACCATGAGAAACTTGTTCTAATTCTAATACCATCCATATCAGAAGAAACACTGAATCTTTTGGAAATAAAGTTAATTTACTGACAAAAATATTCATTCCCAATGAAAAAGATGACATTTAAATGTTCTTGCAAATGCTGAATGCAATCAAATCCTCAAAGCAATGTTCCAACACCTAGTAAAGCCTTCTCAGAGAAGTAGAGGTTGTTAATTTACAGGAAACGGAAAACACGCTCTTTACTTTTAATGTAAGTTAATGCAAAGAGCTTTTATTCAAAACCTTTTTTGGAGCGTTTCTCTTGGTCCGTTTACTACATATTCACACTAGGAAATTTTACCCATCAGTCATTGCAGGTCTCTTGAGATGTGTATTTGATTATAGCACATAGCATCAATAATAGGTTATTCTGTTGTTACAAGCTGGACGTTTGTCACTAGAACCCTTTTTGGTGCTATATAGAACCAATTAAATAAGGATGATCCAAACACGCACTGCACTTCCCTTAAACGACATCCAGTGCTCAAGTGTGTAGGGAACATAACAGTACTGCTTAGGGACCCTGTGGAATGGAATGTGCCGCGTCTAAATGATGAGAAAAGTAAAGCTTGACATAAATAAAGATCTTTTGGGAGCTTTTTTTGCACAGTGATGAAATGTTATCTTCATTAAATGGTTGGTTAGCTGGATCTGTGGGGAACCTGCAGTAAGGCTGTCCAAAAGTTTCCAGACAACTGTTCTAATGAGTGCATTTAAGGTCACCCATTGCTGACACAGCTTGTATAACCTCTATAGAAAAACACTGACTAATAGAATGGGACATTCTGGAGCAGCTTGAGCTGTGATAGCAGGTATCTGATAAGTGTAGGATAAAATTAACAGTAGACTGAGCTCAGCTTGAGCTTTCCTTAAAGACCAAATATAGAAATGTTCTTCTAAACTCTCATTCACGCAAAAAAACAACAACAAAAAAAAACACTAATTCTATTTAGTTTTAGTTAGTTTTGCAGTGGAAATTACAGTTTTGATTTGCCGTGTTTTGAAAAGTGTCGTTTTTATTTTTATTTCAGTTTATAATCCTAAGGTCTCCATGCTCAATGCCAAACATGGGCTAGAGGGGTACAAAGCCTCCCAGCTTTGGGCTGTGGAGCAGTGGAACTGTGCTCTTCCCAGAGTGATGGTGCTCCATCCAGTACCTTTGGGATGAGTTGGAGTGATCCAGAACTGATCCAGAACCAACATCAGTACCTGACCTCACTAATGCTCAATCAAATCCTCACAGCAATGTTCCAACAAACCCACTATTACTCACTATCACTTCATATCACATGCAAACTATTCGTGTCCTGTCTAATTAATGGTTATATAAAGCATATATTTTCTATATTTATTTTACTGGACTTAACTGTATGTTGACACCTGCATCACGAGAAATTCCTTGTACATCTCATTCTAATTGCCTTCTTTTCAGAAGAAATAAAGTGAATTTACTGACAAACAGTGCATTCCCGATGGAGAAGATGGCATTTAAATGTTCTCGTAAATGTTGAATGCAACCAAATCCTCACACCAATGTTCCAACATCTAGTAAAGCCCTCCCAGAAGAGTAGAGGCTGTTACTTCAGCAAAATGGGCACTTCATTTCAGATATCAGAAAGAAAACAAACTTTTTGGACCGTGTAAACTCTTAAATTTGTTCTTCAAGGGTTCTTTAGTAAAGCAAATGGTTCTGTATAGAACCATGAACACTCAAAGAACATTTTACATACTTAAACAGTTCACTGCATGGTGAAATCGTTCTTCAGACTGATGGAGAATAGTTGTATATAGTTCTACATGGCACCAAAAGGGTTCTGCTTGACATTTGTCAGTAGAACCCTTTTTGGTACTGTACAGAACCGTTTTCAAGAACAACACATTCTCCATTCATCTGAAGAACCACTTCACCATGCGAAAAACCACTTAGGCATGCAAATAGTTCTTTAGGTCTTCAAGCTTCTATATAGAGTCATTCTCTTTACTAAAGAAACCTTTAAAAACAACCTTTTTAAGAGTGTAGTGTGACTTAAGCCAGGCTTGTGTGCACTTGATTAGAATAAACAGTGTAAACACGAAGCTGAAGTCAGCTTCTTTTTCGAATTTCCCCGTTCCACCTTAACTGCCTCAGACGCCAGAATGTAACTGCTCCACCATTTAAGGTGGAACGAGAAAATTCGAAGAAGATGCCAACTTCAGCCTCCTAGAGTAAACAGAGAGCCCACCTGCAGGGACTGGATGAGCTCTCCGTAGTTGAACTCAGGGGAAGAGAGTTCGTCTGGCTCGGACAGGTCCAGCTGAAGCCGGACGGTCCCCTGTCCAGCCGCAGGTCCATCCTCTGCCTCTGGACGCCTGACCCTCCGGGTGGCCGGGTCGCAAAGCCCCAGCGGCGGCGGCGCCCTCCTGCCGGCCTCAGCCATCCAGCTCCGGGATGAAATCCGCGCTGCTTCAGACCGCCGCTGCTCCACCACACAGGCCGCAGCCGCGCTGCCGACACCCGTGGACGGCTGGCGTAGGTGCCTAAGATCCGCTGTGGGTCACGGAGCCTGGGCCGCCGGGCTCGAAGCGGCTAAAGCCGCCACGGAGGCTCCCTGCGCCGCTCTGCCTGCGGCCATCTTGGATCTGGAAGAGTAAATAACATAACGGGAGAGAGAAGAAGCACTGCGCGTGCGCGCGTCAGAGCGGGAATACGCTGTACCCAATCAGAGGGCGCAGCCACGCCCATGGCAACACAAAATCCCGCCTTGTTGTCACGAAGCCCCGCCCCCTGTGTCATCTGTAATGCGAGATTATGAAAACATTGCTGCTGTTATCTCATACTAATAGTGTAATTTTGACTCGAACTTCACAGTGAGCTCAATTTTTCTTGGACATGTTAAAAGAACAGGGTTATTTGGTGTTTGTCAGGCGTTTGTTGCGTTTACAATGGCAAAATGTGGGACATATTCTCTTCCACTGTTGGGCAGACGTGGCCTTTTAGTGCTGCACGTACACAATGGGAGAGTGATGCAGCCACACGGTGGCAGGAGGACATTAACCTGCAGGGCCTGAGTTTATGAAGAAGGTGCAAAAAAAAAAACAGTCCAGCATGTTTATTGATGACTTAACAGTATGTTTATTTGTGTCTGGGTTTAATGCACTTATAAACAGCCTGTAGCACGTTCAAAACTTCCGCAGTTGTTGCATTTTCATGACTATAAATGTGATTTATTTCAGACTTTTATTTTGTAATAAAAAGTACATGTAAAGCATAAATACTTTTACAAAACTGGCCACATTTGGAGGAAATGAGAAGTTTGTTCTCTACATAGTCAGGAAAGCAAATAGGATGCATCGTAAGTATTGGTTGACTCTATCGTGCTACTCTTGTTTTTGGCTTAGCATGGGCAACACCTCCGTCTGACTGCAGAAAAAGTTGATTGATTGATTGATTGATTGACTGGATGGTTGGTTGGTTTATTAAATACAAATCAAGTGATTCTTTCATATGTACGCTCTCTCTGATAAGTGAATAAAAATTAGTTAAATTGACAATTTTGAGCACACAACAGCTGTCAAAAAAACTCCCACTGACAAGTTTAGCTTTTCAAAGTGTTTTTAACGTTTTCAAATGATTGTGTCTTATGTGTCAGGCTGCAATAGCAGACCATCCAGAGAACCAGAAAAAATAAATTTGAGAATTTTAGTAATTTTAAGATAAAGTAAGTCTATTGGCTGAAAAAAAAACTTGTCACAGTGATTTTTTTTTCAAAAACACTTTTTATTTATTTTTTATGTAATGTTCTTTATAATGGACAACAGGACGTTGGATAGTAATTATGTTGGTGTCATTTTTCTTGTTTCCTATTCTGCATCAGACCAAAACCTTCCATAATGCAACATCAGCTACAACTTCAAAAACCTTGTAATCAGTCTTCAAAGTCCTGATCATAAATGCACTGCTCAAAGTAATTCCAGGCCACCCAGTCAGTACCGCTTTGGGTGTCATTTAGCAGCAAACTGTTCCATAGTAGGGATGAATCTTAGGTATAAATGGAAAGGGATGAGAATTAGTTCACTTTTAGTGTTTAATTTTTTAAGTGTTTTAATCAGTTGTGTAAAAAGAATTAAACTAAATGAAATAAAGCTCAGATTGTGAGCCTAAATGCCTGCATAGACTTATTCCAGTTGCCCTTTTAGCAGTAAGAGTAATACTTAAAATACTGGCGGTACAAAAAAATGAGGACCAAAAAGAAAAAAATAGATACAGTAATATCACAGGAATGTATTTAACTGCTCAGCTTACATGTTGTTGCTAACCCTAACTGGATCAAGAGGGGTGATCATCCTTTAATTTTCTCTGCCTTAGTCAATTTCCTGTCATCTGTGATACCATGAGTTTCGTGTAAAAACAGATTAAGTTAGTTCCAGTGTCCACCACAGAGGACATCAAAAAAGTATACTGTTAGGTGATTAAATGTTTATACATATCAATAAAATTTGCTCTGAAAATGAGCTACAACATTTTTCTACCTGAAATACATCACTAATAGACTTTAGAAACATCATAAAAGCATATTTTTCAACTACTTCTCTCGCACCCATAAAATGGTTGCTGAGATGGCCGCCATTTTGAAAAGGCAGAACTCCAGTTACAAATAACAGACCCCAACAAATGTATCATTGGAATGGCCAGGATGTCCTCTACATTGCGCTCCCTGTTTCAGCACTGTAGCTAATATGGTTTTTGAAATATCCTTTTGGGGACTCCCACAGAGGACAAAAATGAACTACCAGGTCTCATAAGCATATGGCCTATAAGGTTTATTTACAACAGTATTACACATGCAAATATGTGTATTGTATTTTTCAGTTTTTATAAATGCATGTTTACAGTGACGTAAAATAATAGAAAAAGAAAAAAATCTGTCAGAATACAAAAGAAATCAGCCTCTTTAGGCCAGCCAGATGAACCACACTACGTCCCCTGGCTTTAACCCTTGTGTAGTCTTAACATTCTGTATTCTCCCCTTGTCCCAAGGGTCAAAAACGCGCTGTCTTCACTAAACCCCTAAAATAAAGTGCTTAACTGAATTTTAAACCCCAAATCTATTTTGTATCAAGAAACAACCCGTCATTCATCACAACTGTTGTGAATATCCGTGTTTTCCCTCTTCACAGAGCAGAAAGACTGAAACTGATCTTCACAGATACTCTCTGTATCTATGTACTCACCACACATTCTTATGTCACTGTGAGTGTAAAAAAGCACTGTTGTCCATCACTGTACAAAAGATGCACAAGGCTTCTTTTATAGTGGGGTTGCTCAGAGCAATTTGGATCAGTAAGCATTTATAAAACATAATTAAATTGTTTGGGAGTAGTAATAAAAATGTTTCATGTATTAATTATATTACTATTTAAGTGTTTACTTGTTTAAAATATGATTTGTGAGACTAAACAAAAATCTATGCATTTCAGTTTTGTCATGTTCGTCACATGCCAGATAAATGCAGTAGAAATTCAGAAATCACTTTATTTAAACAGAAGAGCAGATTAAACAGCATGAACAGCCATTATTGTTCAGCCTTAAAGGAATAATGTTTCCTGACCTGCTGAATTTGCTCTGATAAGAAGTTGCTGCTGTAAGACTTTTGAAATATGAGGCTCATTTGCTGCGGCTCTCGATGAAAAAGTGTTCAAATGTCCATCAAAATCTGCGGTTCTCAGTGCTAGTTTGAGCTTTATGGCTGCAGTCTGGACTAAATGTGGGTCAGTAAATGGGTCTGCAGGTCTAGTCAGAGAAGAAAGGCTCTTAAACTTTAGCTAACTGTGTGACCACAGTGCGGCACATTACACTGTAATTTTACAGCACTGCTGCCACCATCAGGTGAAAGGAACAGCTGCAGTGTACTGGCTGGTGAGCCACTTATAACACACCCTGAAACAGAAGCCATGGGACAGGTAAATCTGTCCATGGGTCACATTTGGTCCAGAGCTGTACTCTATATATATATTATATATATTATATATGTTTATACATGTTTATAAAAGTAAAACCATTTTGCAAGTGACTCATCCAACTGCACGTGTGCTATGACCATTGACCAGGAGTATGGGTTTGTATATGTATATGTCTATGCGAGAAGCAGTATAAGCCAGTTTGGCCAGGCTAAGCTGCCAGTATAGCAGCAATGCTCAGAACACAGCTTACGCATGACACATTTTGTAACGCCGCACACACAAAACAGTGTTTGCGTAGCTCATAGTGTCTGAATTCTCATGAAGTACATTTGTGGTCTAACACACAGGAAGGCCAGTTCAGTGTAGCAGCGCTAACGCTGCTATTGTTAAAGGTGACGTTACCGTATTCACTGGCTGAACCACCAACCAGCTGGAAAAACTGCTGAGCAATCTTTAAATGATCTCTCTGAAAGAGAGAAACACACACAGATGAGCTCAGATGAGAGTCCACAGCTATGGGATGATAAAACAGGGCTGCTAACTTTTACAGTTTTGGTACCTTTCACTTCTTATGTTGCTACAGAACATTGACATAACTATTCTATAAGCATGTCATAGCAGATGTCATATGTTGTCATGCGAATGTTAATAAATGCTACTGAATTTGCTGAATTTAATCAGATTCATACAATCTAATTAAATTCATGTTTTATGTTCTCATGGTTATCATCAGCAGTACTGGACAGCACAGACCAGCACAAAGTCCTGGTTTGTCCTGGTCTAAGCTGTACCAAGCTGGTATATGCTGGTGTTATGCCAGTCTAAGGTCAATTTGTCTGGTTCCATTGACTCACATTAAAAGTAAAGTATGTTTTTTCCTCCTCCTGTAAAGTCAGCATTCTGGAGATACAATGTTTTGCCCCGATAACAGTGATATGCTGGTTTTGATGGTGATCAGGCATGCAAGCCTGTGCTGGTTTTACTAGCAGGGAGGATGACTACTGAGTTGACATCACGCTCACAAGGCTGCATGTCTTTAAAAACACAGTATCAGGGTAAGGACTTGTCACTTTTTGAAGCAAACACAAAGTTAATCATTTTTGACTTGCAAACACAAAGTTAATTATGAGTATACAAAGTGAAACTGGCTCTTTCTGAACTAGAAATCTGAAACAGCTTGTTTAACTAATGTTCTCAGATTAATTTTAAATGCTTATATATTTGGTTGTGTAGTTTTTGCAGCTATGTGCTCTCCTGTTTCATCTTACTTCTCATTTGAGAACCACACAAATATGTCATAATGCCTCCCCCCCTCTGGGAGACTCTACCTTAACCAGCCCAGTCTGGATTGGCCCATTCCAAATCCTGCTCCTCCCTGACTCCGCCCCTCCATCATTACACACACCTGCAGATAGTTTATAGACTCATCTACACTGACATATACACCCTCAGTGTGGCTTCTCAGTTTGTGATTCTCTGCTGAGCTCCTGCTTTGTTATCTGGTTTTTATACCACATGTATTTGCCTCATTTGACCCACCTACCTGCTTTCTGAGTATATATATATATATATACACACAAAGT